AACGAATGGATTGACGGGGAACAGCGGGAGATCAAGGAAGAATGTGGATTATTACGATGGCATGGATTAATCTGAACATTTCGCGTGACGCGTATGGAAGATCGGCCTCCGAGTCACTCCGACTCTGGGGGTGTAATGGTCCACTGGCTCGCTACTTACGGAAGTCGATCACAGAGACGGTGATCAAGTCATGGCTGGTGCGGGGCGCCGACGTTGGGGTTGAACTTGTTGCGGAGGCGCGGGATCCGTTGAGCTGGGAGGTCCTGGGGTGGTCGCGATACTGGTTCCGCCAGAGGGCATGGGTGTCGGCCTCGATCAGGGCCGTTCGGAGGTCGGTCGCTTTGCCTTGGTGCTGGGTGGGGTTGCCAGCATTCGCGGCGCGAGACACCACACCGGGATACCAGGTCACAGCGTCCCGCTGTCGCACCAAGATCGGCAAGAAGAACGGGTCCAGCAGCAGATCGACGTCTGCCCACATCTCTCACATCACGGGCAGCATCGCGTCGAGGAGTCGGCGCCACCGATCACCGAGGCGCATCCGTCGGGCTCGGCGATCGCGATGGTATTGCTCAACGATCGAGTCCCGACGCTGTGCGGCCGTGATCGGGAGATAATGAGTGGTTTCCCAAAAGGCCTGGCGATGCTGCTGTTCGAGTTGAAGATAGGCAATGGCGATCCGACCCAATCGAGTGCCGGCGCCTCGATGGAGCGCCAGATCGAAAGTCAACGGGTTGGCCGGGTTCCGCAGCACCTGCCAGGGGCGATCGGCCATCAATGCGGTAATGGTGGGTCCGGTGATCAGGTCGTCTCGATAGCCGATCCCGGCGGCAGGCTGTGCTGTGCCCCGAACGGCGAGCGGGAAGAGCCACCCCTCGGGTAGGAGGAGATGGTGGGTCAGCGTCGACAGGATCATGGCTGTGATGTGTAGCTGTCTCAGCAAGATCAAAGGCCAGGGGTCCGTATCAGTCTGAATGAGTGCCCTGGGGGGCGTTGAAACCCGGGATCATGGTGCCGATCGGGAACAACGGCGGGATCAGAGGACGACGCCTCGACGATCAAGGTGAAGAACCGGGCGGCGGCGAACCAGGTGGAGAACCGGGTGGGGATCCCGGAGGCGTCTATCTAGGTGAGCGATGACGGGACGGATGCGTTCCGTGGGACGATTGGGAGCGAGCCGATCCGGATTGGGAGTGAATTGACAAGACGGGCCTGCTGAAGTGCCTTCATTTGAGATTTTGTGAGCTGGCTCTCTTCGGAAGAATCGTCGTCGTCCTCAGCAATGTCTTCGGAAGAGTCATTGTCCACAACGATGTCCTCGTCGGAGTCATCGTCATCAAAGATTTCACGGCTGCTCCGTAGAAATCGCTGGCTTTGGATACCCCCTCGGAGATCTTCAGTTGGGTGGAGACTGTGGTCGTTAGTAGAGCTTCACAGGTGAGCAAGAAAGAAGCCGCGACCATCGCTAGAACTTGAGAAAGACGCATAGTTTGTATTTGCTGGGACTGGGGGTTTGGCGGCTGGAAGGTAAATTGGCAATGAGAACTGGAAGCTCCCAGAAATTGATGATAGCGAAAATTATCGTATGTAGCACAATTCTACTGAGTCAACAAGATGACAATGATGACAGGCACCAATGGTGATGAATACACTGTATTGCAGTTGGCATTGTTGTTGCCAACACTTGGTAGCAAAATTGATTCACGGCTTAATCCCACGGGCACACATTGCTGTACATATAATTTTCGCTTGACACCATAACAATGCTGCTGATGGTGGTCACCTTGGTGTTGGTTGTGCAATGGCTACGTGAATATTGTCACGGGTCACGTCTGAGACCTCGACTGACAGCTTTCCTGACGATGCTCGAAGGCGCGTTAGAGCAGGAAGAGGCGCGACTTCAAGAGGAGCAAGGGCAGGACGGGCAAGCGTATCAAGTGTGAGTGGTTATCCCACTCTTCAAGGCAAAGATGACGCGATATGGCGGGCTGGGCGCGGAACGTTCGGTCGCCAGCCGCCAAGGACGGGTGTCATGGACGCCAGGAAGCTCGTGCACGGGAGGTGTGGCGTCCCCAAGTGGTTGCAGTAGGAAAGGAAGCGGGCCGGCGGGGTAGCCGTCGGCCGCGTATGATGTGGTGAAGGATTCAGTCGTGAATTCTCCTCGTTGAAAGCAAAACACCCTTTGCATTTTACCGAGATTGCCTTCCTTTTTTCTAGCGTCTTACCAGCAAGCTACGCGTCTACTCTTTGTTGGCCGAAGTACTCGACCCTAACGGAGGAGGACCGCGACAAACTTAATGGGGTGAACGGTGTGCCGAGGGCGCAATGCCGTCGACAATAGCTGTCCCCAGGTGGTAAGATGCAAGTTACATGGATCGCGGAACTGAACCACCACGTAACTGGAGACACTCAGTGCCTGCATCTTGCGGCAAAATCGATGGGACTAGAGATGGACCTTGTTAGTACCGGTAACGAAATTTGGGATCATCCAAGCGCTACATTCGAGACCAATTGACAAAACAATCAATCATTTCAAAAAGGCTGATCCTTTCTCAAAAACGAAACAAAATATCATCGGCATCTTGTTTGTCCTCATCCAACCAATTCACGAGCGATGACTACGTGTGTGGTGGATTTCGCGTTACAGGAGTGTCCCGACCTGGGGAGCTTCGAGCGTAACACCAGAGCAATCTCTTGCTTTCTGGGTCCACCGCCAAGTCTCCTACTGAGCGAGGCCTGCAGGTCCGGAACCGTTGCGACGTTGGAGTGGATTTGAGCCGCTAGCTGCACGATCGCCGAGAACAGAGCCCCGAGATGGACGCTGACCAACTATCTGCGCTCGGATCAGCATTATTACCGCTGGCAGTTTATGAAGTCGCTGCTTGCAGCCGCTGAGCGAGGTGACATTGCGATTCTAGAGTGGCTTTTTGCGCACTTTTCCGGCATTGAAGTCTCCGGAGAGAGGCTGCTCAAGACCGCCGCAGAACGCGGTCACCTCCGTGTGTATAAGTTTCTATGGGAGCGTCGATCCAACGCATAAGATGGCATCGGTCAGCGGACAACGAGGACCGAATCAGTTCAGGGAAGCAGCGACGGCGCTCAAAGCCAGTGTACGATCCGAGTTGAAGACACTTATGACGCGAGTTATTGGGGGCGTTTTGTGATCGAGGGGGCGACTGAGTTTGGACAACTCATTGAATGTTTAAATGATGGTCTGCAGCTTGGAGATGCCGACCTAACATTCGCTATCCGACACGCGTTAAGGCTTGGCAACTACAAGCTCGCTGAGCGGCTACTACCTGATGGAGAAGACTTCTTGGATTATTGTCCCTGGCGCCCTCCTCCTGAATTGGTCGATAAGATGCTCGAGATCGGGCTGCTTCGGTGGAACGAAGAGAGAGCGGCGGACATCTTGGCTGATTTAGCTGCAAAAGGCAGGTCGGACCTCATGCAGCAGATTTTTCTGCTGTATTCACCACTCCAAGAAGACCACACAACCTGGCAGCAAGCGTGGCATATTGCGCTCCCAGCGGCATGCACTAGCGGCAACTTGTCGATGGTGCAGTGGCTTATGAAGCACCCATTAGGCCGCGAAGAGCTGAAATCTTGCGATGCCCGCGAATTCCATCGTCTCGAGCTATTTCATGGTGCATCTTCGAATGGCCATGTCAACGTGATGCAGTATCTGCTTGACGAAGGACTGTTTGAGGAAGCCGACGTGACGCATGATATGATCCTGCGCGTCAGTAATGATCCAATCGATTCTATTAAGTGGCTAGCGAACCACGGCCTGCTCAGCGATCAACACAAAGCCAGCTACGCTATCGCCAGAATCGCTCAACGCGGTCGCTTGGACATTTTGCAGTTGTTCCACGCTCTGGATTCGAACTGGCGAACGGGTAGGCAGTTTTCAATTTGGGGTGGTGAGCGAGATACGTATTGCTGGGCTGCTTTCGGGGGTCACGTGGCAGTGCTGCAATGGCTGCAAGACAACTACCCCGCTGAATGTGATGTGGATGCCATGGATGCAGCGGCTTATCAAGGACACCTCGATGCGATGAAGTGGCTGCATTCTAATCGCACTGAGGGGTGTACAGACAGAGCCATGCGCGATGCCGCTCGCAACGGACATTTCGAGGTGGTCAAGTGGCTGTATGCAAATTACCCAGGGTTTCACACCTATGAAGCCATTGCGAAAGCCGTACAGAATGGCCACGTCCGCATCGCGTACTGGCTCAGCAAAAAGTTCCCTAACTACACCCTGAGCCGTTATAGCGTCCCAGGTCACAAGAAGTTGATCTATGGTGCCTGGCACTGGAAAAATACGCTGGAGGAGCTGCTCTTCTTACGCGACGTGTACCCGAGCGCGTTCACACCAAGCTTTCTGGAAGAACTTCGCGGTGATTATTCGAAATCCGCCGGAAGATTCACTTGCAACATTATTCTGGGCTGGCTCGACAAACTTTCCCAGAGTTGAAGAGAGCGACGGCTCGGAGCTGCACTGAGGTCTGCACAGCGGGAGTGATGGGGCAAGCAGCCAATATTGACCATTTGGGATATTCACGTACGCTCAATCAACACTGGGTAAGGGCACTTGGTTGCCTGCGATTGCATGACAAATGATGGAGAGCAGCAACCGGGATTGCCTTCGACGTTAGTTGATAGCAGGATTGTAGTATGATGTTGCTGCAGACTGGGTCCATTCGAACAAATGCATTCTACTTTGAATCAATCCATTTCCGCTTCAACAATGATGAATGGATTCATGAACACACTGGTTGCATGCACGAGAAGCAAAGCTCATTAGCTCAAACAATTATCCTAAGATAGTTATTAGCCACTTGATTTCTTATTCTTTCTTGGTCACTATCTCATTGTTATGCATTATCACCGCTACCAGCCGAAGGCTGAATATTATTTTCTATCAAGGACACTGTGAGATGATTCGCATGCAGCGCCTCCAAATTGGAGGCTCCAATTGCTGCAAGATTCATCGCATCAGTTCAAGATTCATCCTCTATGCGCGGGTATCGGGCACAAGCGCTCCCTGTGAATAGAGTTTGAAATAGCCATCGCACAACCTCTAGGTGGCCATTTCTAGCCGCGTACTGGATGGCTTTTGTAGTACAGCCCTCCGTTCGGTTAGCGTGGAGCCACTGAACAACGTTCAGGTATCCATTTGCTGCGGCCTCATCCATCGCATTGGCTGTGCATCCCTCTGTTCGGCTCACATTTTAGCGCTTCCAGCTGTCCATTAGCAGCAGCTTCATCCATTGAACGCCATTCCGAGCGGTGGGTGCACCGCCACTTGGATACTCGCAAATGACCGTCCGTTGCCGCTGCCCATCGAATTTGGTATCGCCTGTATTGCTGAGGCACAGACTCCACTCCTGATTGCCGCTCTGGCTCAATGGACACAGGAGAAAAGCCCGGGACTTCTGAAGGGTTCAAACTCTGGAAATACCGGAGCATTTCCAGTCGGCCATGCCGTGCGGCTTCAACCAGCACACAGAAATCTGGCATGCGCTCGGACTGCGGGAAGTGCTCCACCAACCACTTCACAGTCTCCAATCTGTCTCGTTGGATGGCGCCTAGCAGTGCGTCGCCGCCAAACGAATCTACCGCAGTCACACTCGTACAATCTCCACGTGCCGCAGCGCAAAGCAATTTATACATTTTTCCAAGCGAACGCATCTCCTCGCACACATTGCGACCCAGGGGCTGTTTAAGTAGCCACTGAATTTGAAGAATGCTGTCGCACGAACACACAACGATTATTGCCTTTCGCCAAGACTGCGAATTATCCGCAGACGGATGATGCTCCGTAGATCCGCTTCATCAAGTCCAGCCGCCCAGTTGGAACCAGATTCCAAATGGCCTTTGCAGCAGCATACGGGTCTCGCTTGAGGTATCCGCCACGCGCTGGCCTAGAAGCACTTGGTTTTTTCGGGATCGGACGAGATATTCCAGATCCAATCCAAAATTCGGATAGAACCGAAAACGCAGGCACTCGCCAATGATAGAGTTGGCGGTGGTCCCAGAAATTTGGATAATATCCAAATTTATTATTATTATAGGCCCCATGTCCTGCAGAGCAGCAGCGCTCAGGTGTTGGCGCAGCACCAGCTCTACGCTCTGCAACGACAGTCGCGGCACCGTGAGATCTTGGAACGACCTGAGGTAGCGATTTGTCCAGTGCTTGGATTTCGTATGCATTTCCGACTGAATCCGATTTAATCCAACTTCAGCTGCTACTGAAGTAGCATTATTTGGTTTAGTGTAAGCTTAAATTGCATTTTCAGAAAGCATTTTATATATTAAAGTTTTGTTTTTGGTATTCGTGGGCTCAATCCCATACCTTCTCTTCGCGAAGCATCCGAGCTAAGCCTCCTGAGGCCCGCTGGGATAGTTTTCGTCAAGCCATCTCAAAAGGGCGTCGGCTGATTTCTTTTTCTTGGGGTAAGGATCTGAAAAATCCCTCCGAAGTTCTTGAAGGAAGTCTGTCGTGAAGATGCTTGGATATGTAACCTGCAAAAATTGTAACATCTCCAGAGATTTCTCGCCGTACGGGCTAATTAGCTGCTTGTCTACAGCGTAGCGGCTCAGAGTGTACTCAGGGAACTTCTTGCTGAGCCAGTGCGCGATGCGCAAGTGGCCGCACTGGACGCCTTTCACGATACCTGCAATCGTGCGAGACTCTGGGCGATTCGCATACAGCCACTTCACCACCTCGAAATGTCCACTAAGTACGTTGCGTCTATCGTGCATCCCTCCGTCCGATTGAAATGCAGCCATTTCACTGCGTCAAGATGTCCACCGGAAGCTGCGGTGTTCATAGCATCCGCTTCACAGGGCGCTGGGTAGTTCGTTTGCAACCAATCCAGTACTGCCACGTGACCTCCTTGAGCGGCCCAATAGAACGTATCTCGTTTGCCACCCCAAATCGTTCGCTTTTGTTTCGTACCAAAACTTCCATCTTCTTCGTCCGAATCCAGAGCCTGGAACAGCTGCAAAATGTCCAAGCGACCGTTTTGCGCAGCACTTGCAACAGCACAACTGAAGTGTTGCTGACCACCGATCAAGTCGTGGTCGGCTAGCCATCGTATGGCGTCAATGTGGCCCTTACAAATGCGATCGATCATATAACCATCCATGATTGCATCTTTAAAGACGCCTTGTTCGAGCAGATATTGCAGCACACCGACGTGGCTATTCGTAGTTGCACCTCGAATCAATTCGCCACACTTGTAGCTCCGGTTCCGGGAGGAAAACAACTCATCACGGCCCAGCGGGTGGTTCATCAGCCACTGCAAAACCAACAAGTGGCCATGTGTGCATGCCGCTTGCATAATATTAGGCCAAGTCTTCTTCCAGCACTTATGATCTTCTTTCAGAGGTGAAAAGCGCTGGAAAAGTTGTTGCATGAGATCCAACCTCCCTTTCGCCGCTAGATCAGCCACAACATCCATTGTACGGTCTTCATTCCACCGGAACTGCTCTCGTTTGACTATCACTTCGACTAATTCAGGAGGCGGGACCCAAGGAGTATACTGCAAGAAAACTTATCCATCAGGTAATAACAGCTCAGCGAGCTTGAAGTCCCCGAGCGCCAAAGCGTCGGAAATAGCGTAATATCGTTCGGAGTCGTCAAGCTGCATCCCATCCTGTACACATTCGACGAAGTGCCCATTCTCGATAGCCCGCTCTATCACAAATCGCCTCCAGGACCCGACTTCATACGTGTCCCTAACTCGAATAGTACACTGGCTGGGTGCGATAACGTTGCCTTCCTGAGTAGATTCAGCATGGTTACTGCTATCCCGCGCCCCAGACCGGCGCTGCCACAGAAACCGGAACACGCCAAGATGGCCAAGTTCAGCGGCAGCTATTAGCAGCTTATTCCCGGACACTTCACAGCCGAAGAAGTGTGCAAACAGCCACTCATGATCGCCATGTCACCTCGTTTAGTGGCTGCAAGCAGGGAACTGCCAGCGATAGTACCGCTGATCAGAGCGCAGATAATTCGTGAGCGTCCATCCCCGAGTTCTCTTTTCGGCGGACGTGCAGCTAGCGGCCCAAATCCAGTCCAACGTCGCAACAGTCCCAGACCTACAAGCCTCGCTGAGTAACAGACTTGGTGGTGGGCCAAGAAACGTAGAGATCGTCCTCGTGCTGCGCTCGAAACTCTCCAGATCGGGGCATTGGCGCAATACGAAATCCACACAGGTAGTCATCTTTCGTCGCGCTGGTTACTTGAACGTTGAAAAGAAAAATGACCAAAATCCTGCCCCATTCCCCACTGTTTGGGACCGATTGGAACTGACTTACCCCCAAATTATGACGCGATGAAACTTGGAAAGAGGCTCATTTTGATAGTTCTGACCAAGCATCACTCGAACATTCAGTGCTGCCACGGAGCGCGACCTCATTAATTAACGTACTGCATGGTTGGTTGGGTCACAAAGTACATTCTAGTTCTTCAGATTGTCCAGAATGAGATCTCGAAGCTCGAACCCTGTCCACGACGGCGCCACCACAATGGTGCGCACAACCTCCTGCCTCTCGTCGAAGAAGATCACGTGGGGCGGCTGAGCAAACTCCTTCACCTAAGGGGCAATAACAATACAATACAACATCTTCAATATCATCCACTGGAAACCCATGTAACTTCACTTCAGTACGTGCCTCGAAGTTCGGCACTTCGTGGTGCTCAATCTCGCTCACGAACGCCGGCAGGTGCGGGAATGCTCGGAGCTGGCACGGAATGTGGAGCGGAGCGCGCAGCTCCCCACGCACCACTGGCCGCTTGCTCTGCAGTTGAGGAAATCATGACAACGGATCAATCTATCTAGCACCTGGTCACTTGAAGTGGATGGGTACCGTCGGCTGGGGCAGCAGTTGTTGCAGTAGATTCTGCTCCTCGGCGGACAGCGGCGCCGGCTCCAGTTGAGTGCGCACGGGGGCGGAGCAGGTAGCAGTGGACGGATTGAACCGAGACGCCGCAGATACCGACGAGGGCAGCGCGGCGAGCAGCAGCAAGATATGCGCGCAACGCATGACTGTCCGGCGCCTTCGAGATGGCTACACGTCGGATCGCGTGGAGTGGCGCACGCGAATTATCGCGCGGTAAAAATGCGTCCGACTTTTACCCGCGCCAAATGGCTGGATTCTCGAGTATACAGCCATCGACTATCGCGGGTTAACAACTTATACAACTCCAGTAGCACGGGTTAAGGGTAGCGTTGAAGAACCGCTTGGCAATGCGTTCTCACAGGTGGATTCCGTACTTAGCGGCGTGCAAGTTTATGCACCAACGCCATCGCCCGGCCGTAAACGTCGAGCTTGGCACCGGCACACCGCTGCCGCAGCATGCACCCGTCGGCAATCCATCCAAGCCGCCTCACAGCACCCAAGCACCCTCGTGTAGCAGGCCCCTCATCATTCCGTCACCTCCCGTTGTCGCTTTTTGTTGCAGTACGCCAAAAATAGCGTCTTCCCCTACCCCTAGTAGTCAGACGAACAATCCATCGGGTACCATGTACCGTTCTCTCCTGCTAATTCCGATCCGACCAACGCTCTTCCTCTCTCTTCCGCTGTCGGCACATTAGCGCGGCGCTCAACCACTCTGCAGGCAGGCAAGGCAAGTCGCAGGCAGGCAGGCAACATCCGCGCCCCCGTTGAGTCGCCGTCGCCGTCCCAGCGCCGCCGCAGCAGCGTGTCCCCGCCCGTGCCGCTGCTCCAGTCGCCGCGCGTCCTCATGCACGACTCGCGGCCGCGCTACAGCCGCCCGGCGTCGTCCTCGCGCTCGCTCGGCATCTCGTCCTCGACGCTGTCGGACCCGGACGTCAACATGCTGCAGGAGAACGCGCAGAGCCTGGACGCAGAGGGCGCGCCCCCCGCCGCCTTCCGCACGTGCCTGGCCTCCACCACGCGCTGGTTCCAGCTCGTCATGTTCTTCGCCTTCGTGGTGGCGCTCGTCATGGCCATGGCCAGCAGCTACGACAACCTCAGCCCGGGGCTCATCTGGGGCGGCATCCTGTCCGTCTTCTCCGTCTTCTTCGTGATCCTGTCGTACGCCAGCGTGCCCAGCTACCGCCAGCACCCGAACCCGCTCGTCTTCTGGCGCACCATCGCCGACGCCGTCTTCGTGCTGCAGCTCATGGCGCAGCAGTTCGTGCGCTGCCTCTTCTTCGACTGCGTGCCGCTCTGCAGCAGCACCAACCTGCAGTGCGGCTGCAGCACCGACAGCGGCGCCGGCTCCACGTGCGAGGTCTTCGCGGGGCTCTTCGAGTTCACGCTGCTGGCCTCCGAGTGCTGGTTCTTCTGCATGACGGCCAACCTGCTCATGAGCCTGACCAACCCCTTCACGGACTTTAAGCGCAACACGCGCATGTTCCACCTCGGCTCGTGGCTCGTCCCGCTCGTGCTCGGGCTGCTGCTCATGAACACGGACGACTGGGCCGGATACTCGGACCTGGGCGTGTGCTGGACCAACGCGCTCAAGAACCTGCAGGCCGACAACATGCAGAACTGCCCGCCCGGCTACGAGGTCACGGATAACTTCACGAGCGACTACAGGGCCGTGAACGCCAACATCATCAGCTGGCTCTTCTTCTACGTCTGGATGGGGCTCTTCATCATCTTCGGCATCGCCGTCTGGGTCTGGGCCTGGAAGCGCCTGAGCGAGGGCATGCCCGAGACCTACGCCGTGCGCGTGCAGAGCATCAACCGCGCGCGCTTCAACGTGTTCGCCGTCACCTTCTACTGGATCATCGTCGTCATCGTCTACATCAAGTTCCTGTCGCGCGACCGCTCCAAGCCCGACAAGTCCAGCGAGCTGCTCAACTTTTTGATCGCCGGCAAGGGCTACCTCGACCTCGTCATCTGGTTCGCGCTCAACGACTTCCACGTCGCGCACTTCACGCGCTGTCTGGGGGAGAACGCGGGCGAGATCGACGTGGACCTGAACCCGCAGGTGAACGCGGCGCTGAGACGCGAGGTGCTGTTCTACACGACATCAGGCATCATCCAGGCCGTCCAGGCCGCGGAGCGGCTGCCCGCCTCGCAGCGCATTCAGCACTTGGCGCTGCTGCCGCAGACCAAGGCCACGAACGTCGCGACGGCCGCGGCGTTCACTGCAGTTCCAGTCAGCGAGAGTGGAAACGCTGCCCATCCGTCGGCTGCATATGCCGCCTATCTTCAACAGCAGTCGAACGCTGCTGAACGTGAAGGGACGAACGGCACAGGGGCATTTGACGAGAACATGCGTGTGGCCAAGAACTCGCCGCGTACCAAAACCTTCCACGACTACGAGCCGCACGCGTTCAAGAAGATTCGTGAACGCTTCGGAGTGAACAACGAAGCGTACCTGCAGGCACTTTCGGCCACAGCCAAGGAACGACTGAGCGAAGGTGCCAGTGGAGCCTTTATGTTCTACTCAGCTGATGGATCTCTGATCGTCAAGAGTACCAGCAAGGAAGAGTGCTCCTTCCTGCGCAGCATCGCGCAGGACTACGCTGATTATCTGTGCGCCAACCCTCGCTCTCTGCTGCTGCGCTTCTACGGTTGCCATTGCCTCGAGCTGTACGGCAAGCAGTTCTCGTTCGTCGTCATGGCAAACCTTTTCGATACCGACCAAGTGATCCACTCGCGTTACGATATCAAGGGATCGTGGGTGAACCGCCACGGCGACCTACCGAAGCGTGGCAAGAAGGTCACGTGTCGCCACTGCAATCGCAAGTACATTTACCAGAACTCGGCTCCGGAGAATGCCAATTGCACGGTTCGGTTGGGCGGACACGAGCCGAACGTCGTCTTGAAGGACTCGGACCTGACGCAGAAGCTGAACCTCGATCGGGACGTGGCTTTGGAGCTCTACCAGCAGCTCTGTGCTGATTCGCAGCTGTTGTGCTCGTTTGGAATCATGGATTATTCTCTCCTGATGGGAATCAACGAAGTGGAGTATGTGGTCGACGAAGGTAGCAGCACGGACGACGAGATGGATGCAAACACGCCTACGCAGTCAAGTGCACAAGGTACTAAGGCAGGACACAACCAGCAGCGATCTTCTGTATACAACCCGTTCACGGAGAAATCGATGATGGACGCACGCAGTGGTGGTGTTCAGAACTTGGCCAGGTCGAAGGGCCCGCCTCCTGTGCAAGGTCCGTCGTCTAAGACTCGGCACCACGCCAGTGTGTCGTCGAACGTGGGATCTTACAACGCTCGGTCAGCGCTCGGCGAGCCGGTGATGCAGCGAAAGGCGTCAAAGCCGCATGAATATTCGAAGAACAGCCGCAACGGACGACATAACGCGAGCAATACGTCTTCGTCTGGAAGGAGGCTCCCGCGCTCAGGCATGCGCATGGCTAACACCGTTGTTGGCCCGGCGTACTACCATCTTGGTGTGATCGATATTTTGCAGACTTGGACATTCCAAAAACGGATGGAGCGATTCTTCAAGATTGTGTTCAAGGGCGTGGACGGCGATGGTCTATCTGCCATCCCTCCCAAGCTGTACCAGGCGCGCTTCCAGCTCAAGATGGCGGATATTCTCGGCGTGGAGGACCTTGTGAGCGGCGACAACGCCGACCTAGACCTGTTTACGCAGCAGAACTCGCACATGGATGTCGACACGCAGCAAGTGGACCAGCAGTTCAACATCCAGTCCATCCGGTCATTGGCCTCCTCCGAGCTGGTGGCTATCAACCCATTGGACTCGCACTACGCGAACAGCAGGTCGTCTTCGAATCTGCGACAGCGTAGCACGGAGAACTCGCAGTCTGTTGGGCAGGACACGGAGGAGTACACGGGCATCGATTACCACCTGTAGAAAAGACCGATGCAACGTCAAGACAACGATGACCATTGCGTAGCTGCTGCCCAGGACGAGGTGATAAGGTGAAGGCATTCATAATGCCTGCCACTGACCACGTTCGTGAGGTGATGCGATGATAGAGTGCAGTGAATTGGAGCTCGACTGCCGGCAAGATGCAGCAATTTTAACGATCCCATCCTGCAGAGGATGCTTATACGAAAGTGCATGTTAACAGCAAGAACAAGACAAACGAGTTGCGTCACTGACTCGATGTACGTACACATACAATGTTGATGTGTTGCTGCCTATACGAATGCTGCGAGTACCGTCGTTTTGATTGAAAGGAGTGGAGTGCGACTATCGCCTGCACTTTCACACTTTCACCCTAGCTCGGTTTTCTTTTTTTTCTTCGTAGACCTCGTGGGAGTGAAACCATGCTCGCTATCGTGAATCTCGTGCTGCGCTACCACCATGCCAACGCAGCCCTGGAGCAGAGTACCCGTGTTATCACCGATTTCCTGGGCCCATCGCCGTTCCTCTCGCTCAGTGACGCGTGCAAATTTGGGTCTATCACGCTGTTGGAGTGGATTTGGGAAGCGAGTTGCACTCGTGAAGCCGACAGAACGCCCGGATGGTCTCTCGCTAACTTCTTGCGATCGGATCAGCATTACCTCAAGTGGCAGTTCGCCAAGGCACTGGAAGCAGCGGCTACCCGAGGGGATTTACGGATGGTGGAGTGGATTTTCGCGCACTTTCCTGGATGTTAAGCCCCCGCAAGTGTGGCCGATGGAGCGAAGAAGAAGGGTTATCTTCGTGTGGTGCGCTGCCTGTCGGCACACACGTCGCCGTCACGCTACTCACATGGGGCTCCTATTTTAACGAGCGAAGTCGTTGTATCGGCAGGAAACCCTGCCTATTTGTCGGGAACTGCAATAAGGAAAGCCACTGAGAACGGAGGGTTCGTTGAGTATTTGAACGAAAGGATTCCTCTGGACGACTTCGATCGAGATATTGCCATCCAACACGCGTTAAATATCGGCGACTCACGTCTTGCAGAACGGTTGCTTCCCATTAGTAGATGCTTGCTAGACTACGCTGTTGGTTGCCCAAGAGTCGAAGTGATTGAGTGGATGCTGGAGTGTGGATATTTGCGACGAAATGAAAAGCTTGCTCCGTCCACACTGCCAGCTCTGGGACGCAGTGGACACTTGGATCTGGCGCAGCAAGTCGTGCTACTTCATTCTCCGCTCCCGGAGGATTGCAAGCATTGGAAACCTCATTGGGTCCGCGCTCTTTATGAAGCTGGCACATGTGGGAACACTTCGATGCTGCAGTGGCTTCTGGAGCACTCTTTGGGAAGAGAAGCATTCAACCATATATGGAGCCTCCAATCGACGAGTGATTTTTTTTGCTGTTGCGGTGAAGAGAGGCCATCTGGATGCGCTGGATTACCTCTATAAGCAAGGCTTTGCCTGTGGCATCTATGATGCTATGCGTCATGCCATCGAAGGAGGCCAAACGAGCATTGTCAAGTGGCTGCTGAGTAATCACTCATTTGAAGATGACTCCATGTCAACACGGATTGATAATTGTGCCGAGTACGGCCACCTCGAGATTTTAAAGCTGTTCCATGAGGTGCACCCAGCAACCGCATATGAGGGTAATGGAGCCAAGAGAAGGCGGGTTTATCGAGCGGATTCGTGGTGGTCTTCCGCGAGGGACCCCATGTACTGGGCTGCAAGAGGTGGCCATTTAGATGTACTAAGTGGTTTCAAGCGAATCTCGAGCTAAAGTGCAAGGCCGATACTATGGACACTGCAGCGACCCACGGTCATTTAGAAGTGGTGAAGTGGCTTCACGCGAACCGGTCCGAGGGATGCACAGACCGCGCAATGAATTGGGCAGCGAGAAGCGGCCACTTGGACGTTATACAGTGGCTGCACTATACTTGTGCTGAGAAGTGCCGTAGTGATACGATTTACAGGGCTGCGGAACACGGCCACCTCGAAACGGTCAAGTGGCTCTACGAACACTGTTCCAAGCCTCACACAGACATGTCAATTGACAGAGCCATTACTTGCGTGTTGCGTATTGGCTGCACGAACGCCTTCCGGGATACAAAATTGGAGACTATTTGGCATCTCACAAGGAGCTCGTTACTGTGAACGGCTCGTGGTATTCAGCAAACACGCTCGAGGTGCTACTTTTCCTGCACGCGCGAGCCGACGACAAGCTTGACTTGAGTTTCGTGGAAAACTTAAGGGAACGTCTATCAGGAAAAAGACTCGATAACCCTGACTTGCTGGTTCAGCCAAAAATGCAATGTAGATCGGATCGCTACGTGTTTTTCGCTATGGGTTTTTGCCAAAAACACGTCCTCTACTATGTAGAAATCCAAAATGCAGTCATGCAAGAAGAGATAACGATATTTTACATGTAGCTTCCTCTGGGGTCAAAAGTTTGACAAAAGGAGTGAGAATGTTGTGTGATAAGTTGCACTTTCGTGGGGGGGGCATCAATTTCAATACTGCCAAAACAGTGCACAAGCTTGAGAACGTGCTACCGAAGTCTTTGGCATAATGTCGTACCGACTTGCGCAAACAGCTTCAATAAAGAATCCCAACGCTCAATAAAAAATATGAGTCAGATAAAAGCTGTTTCCATTGAAAAGAAAATGTTAAGCTGTAATGTGAAAAAATGACAGCAAGAGCTGCTGAACTATGGGCTATGTTTTCTTGGGTGATTCTGGATAATGGTCTGCCAACCACCATGTAACGACGTGTTTTTCGATCCCGTCAAGCCGTGAGAGGGGGGTCCGCTACGGGGTAATCAAACCGAAATATACGTACGGGAGCAGCATGCCTATGCTTCTTCGTAAGGGTGGGGGGGGGGGCCTGGATGACAAAATTTGTCGTGGTTTCAAACGAAATGATGCTCAGGCGCCATTTGGAGTTATCGAGATAATCGCATTTGAAGTTGACCAATCCTTTTTCGGAAATAACCGGACATCAAACTTTCGAAAGTGAAAAGCACACGTAAAAAGCGTAAAACACTCTGAGTTGCTTGATTTTAGCGCGAGCTTTCCGATAATATGCAATACGTTAAAATTGAAAAAATATTGAGTCACACGCCCCAAATAAAATCGTGAGTTTAGGGGGTCCGAAAATGGAGATAATTTTTCTAGACCGATGTCACTCCGCGAGTTCTTAACATTTCAAAGCATTCGATAGCTTAAACGAAGCACAAGACACGCCTCTTTCGATTGATGCGGTTAAATCGCGATTCGTACTTAGGTTCGTAAGCATTTTTTCGTTTGAAACCGTCTCAAATAGTTGGTCGTGGGCGCATGTGCCGTCTGTTAGAAGCCGAGTGCTCCGTAGTTTTGCCACGGTTTTTTGATTTTTCGTATCGCTGAACAGCCGACCACTACGGAAAACCCGTTGTCAAAACCACGTATCAGCGCTACGTGTTTTTCACAACGTATTTTTAGAATTACCGTGCTTCTGAAAGGATGATAAAGCGGGGCTCACTTACGGACCCATATATCGTTATATTATTGCAGTTTCACTCGCTTCACGACGGTGAATAACTCTTAAAATCAAACCACACATACTCAGTCTGGCGTTAAATACATGTTCGGACCAACCGCACACTATTTCCACGCTCTTAGCATCATTGCTTGACGTTGCTGAATAAGAGCGACTTTCGGACAATCCTCATCGGTCCACTACGTATCAAGTCGCCGGTCACGTACGTAGCTGCTAAACAACGGTTGTAGTGTACAGTAGCGGTCACTCACCATAATGTAGTGTGCCTAATACGGTACATCTCCTGAATATCAAAGATTCAAATCTATGCTTACCTGCATCGCAATCATCTTGCTGCGGTTTTCCAGAATATGCCTTCTAGCCCCAGACCTTATTCTGTATCCTACAGAATAAGCATTAGACTTGATTAAAGTATACTTCAAAACCTGTCAAAGATTTGATGTTGGAAACCCTTTCGCATCTTGCGGTCAAGCGCTGGGTACATTGTGCACAGAACAGCTACGAAAGTGAACAAAACATGCTCAATGTATCCACCATATGCCGAAATGGAGAGCTTTTATTGGTCGTGGCGAGCGTAGAGCACGCTCAAAACCTGCTACATGGTAATACCTTGCAAGGCTGCTAAGGCAGCATACTTCGGCTCAAGCCACCCATCTTCGGCACGTCGCGATAAACGCGGAGGAAGAAATCGCCCTGTTCCTAACTGACGTAGTGAGGAGGAACTGGGCGAATTCCTCCTTGTGCTTGACATTAGCGCAGCATTAGATTTCTTTAGCCCACCTAACAAGTTTGTTACGATTGTCTCTCTAACAACACCAGGGTGCTTGCATGCTCAATAGCCCGTAATGACACGCACTACACACGGTTCCTCTTGTACGAAACAGGACAATATATGATATTCATGCCAACGTCTACTTCTTCCTTTACATGCGCACGCTCTTCAATGTTCGCGCCAGCCGTGGGTCATCTTCGCCATTTTGGCAGCCTCCGCTTTGCTCTGTAGCCTCCGGCACTGCCGCTCCATTCCTGCCGCTTTCATCGGTAGCCTCCGTCGTAGCCTCTGTCCCTTCTTCTGTGATCTCCGGTGTAACCTCATCACGCGGAGAGCTTCTTCTGTAGCATCCGTCGTAGCATCTACCGCTTCTTCTGTAGTCTCCGGTGTAGCCACACCATGAGGAGCGCTTCTTCTGTAGCCTCTTGAGTAGCCACTGCATCAGCTACTATATAGCGGTAGACCCGGCTGTAGCCGGCTTCGTAGGAACCGATGAGGTTGTGCGCTGACTCCGCAATCGATCTGTCAACCGGGCCACACGCGAGAGCTCATAGCGTCGTCTAGGCCGGATCACCAGGTCTGGTAATCAACATCGCAACGTAGAATCAATATACCACTAGTACAATGTTACAGAGCAAAGTACACGCTCTCGCTTACCTGTAGATCACAATGGCGCTCATCATGATCGTCTTCGGCCATGGTCCTTGGCCACTTGGGCGCGCTCGACGGGCCCCAACAAAGCTTGCATTGCGACGTCTTGAACAGCGCAGTTTCGGAATGAAGGAAAGTACGAGTGGCTGACACGCGGCGGTTTTAGGCTTCCACCCGAATTTTCAAACCTGTTGGTGGTTTATACTCGTCCGTCTATTACCGCGGAATAAACCCCGTTTATCTTCCCATCGCTAATCTAACAGGAAGATGTGCACAATACCGACTATACAAACATCCATATGCGAAGTTCGAAAGAGAGGACAAGTTTGCTGGATATTATGTCCTGTGACAATGCTTATTCTGTAGGATACAGAATACGGGGTTAGAGGGGATATGCAAGCTGCTACCATGAGGCAATACCAGTCCGTTCCAGATCTACTGGAGGTTTGAGCACGTTTGGCTCGCAATTGGTTAAAAATAGTAGTATGCCCGTGTGCTTGGTAGTAATGCAACCGCCTGCTCATAGCGGTTTGACTGGTGTGCAGAGCTCCGCACAGCTCGAAAAATTGGCGCCAGGGGAAGCGCTTAAGCTCCAATGATGCTTTCACCGATGAAGAAGCCACCACTGCCATTAACGATTTCGCCCCCCCCCCCCCCCGACCAAGCACCCACCTACCAAACCCAACAAGCTACTCGATGTCGCACCCCAACAAGACCTCGCACCCCAAGACCAAGCACCTTTCGGACGCGGAACGTGCCCTCGTGGTGTCGGCCCTCCTCAACCGAGCGACAGTCGGCGCCCTACCGCGTGGTGCGCTGTCTGCTGCTGCAGACACCTTCGCGGTCAGCGCTCAGACCATCAGCCGTGTCTGGCGTCGGGCCCTGGGCAACTTTCAACGCACCGGGGTGTACGCATCGCCCACAAGAATGCGCAGCACTGGGCGCAGACGTGTCGACCGCTCCCGCGAGCTGGAGCGCCTCCACGCGGTCGATCCACAGCGCCGGAGCACCATCCGTGCAGCCGCCCAAGCCTGTTTCCTCCCACCAACTACGCTGTTCCGACAGGTGAGCATCGGGAAGCTCCGTGTGGAGACGTCCGTTGCCAAGCCCATGCTGTCGGACGACAACAAGAAGTCGAGGATTGCATTTAGTGTGGGGCACGTAAGTGCAGCAACGCATCATTTCAGTGACATGGAAGATGTAGTCCACGTGGATGAAAAACTCTTCTATCTCTGCAAGGTGAAACACCCTCGACGACCTGGTGGCCAACGGGAAGGTGGCGCTGGACGAGCTGCCGCCGGCAACACTGGACGCGGGCTTCTTGACGCTCCAATGCGTGATGAACGATTGTGTTGTGCTGGTGGTGACAACACATTCAAGATTCGACACATGTCGAAGTCGAAGCTTGCGCGGGAGGGACGACTTCCACGGTGCATCAAGTGCTCTGTTACTACTGCCTCATTTCTGCCTCCACTCGATCGATCTGCAGATTCTGGCCATAGTGAAACTAGTACTAGTATTTTCTTATAGTTTAGGAACAAGCTAAATAGTGGTACATATCAATAGATTTGGAACGGACTGGTATTACAAAACAAATACAAACTGCCTCATTAACAGTTGGTGAGAGCAAGCAATACATTCAAAAATGTGTGGCCACTTGCTCCACCAACAATGCTCGTGACGAAGTTGACATCCACCTAAGTTGAGTAGACATCAATTACAGAATGTGGTTGTGGATCTAAGTGTGGATTACAAGCACTAAGCGTCTACCCAAATCGGCAACACATTGGCAAATGCAAGATAAATCCCACCAAGAAAGGTGTTCAAGTGCAAGGCATCTTACCTGTCCTTGGCAATAATTCTACGCGAGAGCTAGGCCATCCTCTACGCTACGATGGAGCTGCAGTTGTAGAGACTACACAGTAGCTGCTCGAGAGCAATTACAATAGTGATATGGAGCTGCAGTTGTAGAGACTACACAGTAGCTGCTCGTCAGCAATTACAATAGTGATAGTAAGGAGGGTTTTGATAGTCAGTCGGATCTGGCGCTCGTAGACGCATGGGAAAGCTAAAGTGACGGCGACAGATTCGAGCTTCTGACCCCGTCCACAGTAGGAGTCGCCAGTATTCGCTAGGTATGCCGGCCGACGGAGATTTAGCCGCTTGAAGCGCAAAGGGTCCCCATTACGGGAGCTTTAGCAACGACGGAATAGAAGCTGAGCTTCAAGTGCAGTGGCGCTGCACTAAGCGACACTGTCTGCAAGAAACTATTGGAAAGGCAGCCTTAGAGACGCATTCCTTACAGTAGTCCATATAAATGTGCGTGGGTCAACGTCTCATTAAATATCAAACTACTAGCTCGATGAGATCGTGAGGTACAAAAACTTCCTGAACCCTCAATGCAAATCTGAAGTCACAATCGAACTGTACATCTTCCTGCGGAAGAATCTGAACCTCATCTACTGTAGGCCAGATGATACCATATGAGCTTTGCATTTGCCCCGAAATGGGCTGGTGATGCAGGACCAAGATTGTACGCAGCCCCCCTCTCTCACCACTCCATCCACTCTTTATTCTCCCAACAAGCGCTTACAGCAGCCACTTCACCCTCCTCGGTCGTCGCCGCTTCAAGCAGAGACCATGGCGGCTCTTGTCCGATACGGTCTATTGCTGGTTGTGCTTGCCGCGGTTACAACTTATCTCCATGTCACCGACAGCGAAAGAAGCTTGGAGTCAGTTCCCGCGACGGACTCTGTCACTCAAGCTCACGACACCAAGCCCCTCCTGAGGCAAGAGGTCAAGACGGCCCCTGACGCCCGTGATGTCGCTGCAGGTGGAGAAGAGAGGGCATTCATCGGTAGCTACACCAAGAACGTCCTGTATGAGCTCCTCGCAAAGCTTCGCGTTACACCGCAGACTATCGCCGTCCACCTGGGCATTAAAAGCGGACGCGCCCCTGCGGTGGTCCATCGGTTTTACAACAGTTACCACAGGTGGTTCGCTGCCCACGGTCGGTTCTAGGTGAGCAGCTCCCGTAGTGGAGGCAAATGGAATGAGTCGCTTATCAATTGTCTTGTTTCTTTTTTTCTTGTCGTACTTTACCTCGTTTTCTCCCAGACGGCTTTATTAGCTATTTCACCGCCAGCATTCATCATTGAAATCTTAAAATTTATGGACCATTGAGCGTGTTAGCTCCACCAACTCGATGCTAACGATCCCAGCAACAGGGTAGCTCGAGCTATTTGTCAACAACAGCTAATGGGTCATTATTAGCTTTTAGTAACTAGCGGAGCATCACGGTCGCTGCGCTCATGTTGCTTTAGGGGTCGACCCCCAAAATTATGCTGACCACAGAGTTTTGGACGACGTCCCCACTTGTGGAATTTGAGTACAAAGCCGCTTGCAAATTCTAGCGCTTTATTTCCTCTTTCACGCTCCCCGATTTGCTGGCTATTTTGCAAGCAACATAAGTACCATTCATACGTTGTTATTAACGGTAGATTGATACACCTGATTCATACGTTGTTATTATAGGTAGACTGATACACCCACGCGGATATGCATCGAGGAGGCAATTTATATGGGAAACGTTCGGGTCGCGTCCTGGATCCAGCAGAATTTCCCCGAACTGAGGCCTACAAGAGCCCGTGTATGCTACTTGGGGTGTCCTTTCGAGATGCTGCTGTACTTGCGCGAGCACTACCCGCGAGTCTTCAAGCGGGGCTTCATCAAGGAAAATCTGGACTTTGCGATGGAATCTAACAGATCAGCGAACCAAATGAACGTCGTCGGATGGCTTCTGAACGAATTTCCGGCTGAAACCGGGGACTTTAAGGAAATGCTTTTAGAGGAGAGACCAGACGTGCTTTTTTGCAGACACGCTGTGATATCGTTTTCTGGTGAAGTCTAGGTGCATAATTATATGCGTTTGATATACAGGAGGTCCAATAGGGTGCTTGATCCTCGATAATCGGCAATCTACAATTCCTTTCGAGTTCTTTTCTACCTCGGGGACTCTTAAAATGATTTCGAGCTAAGATTCATATCGAGGTAGCACCTTGATGCAGGTAGAAGAGTTTACATTCATGACAGCTATGCTAATGTTCTCGACAAGGTTCAGCACATCTACCGTACCCATTGTTGGCGCGGATCTAGCCAACACTGTAGTATGTTTCTATCTGTTTAGCCCACGTAATACAACCTTCAAGACATCTTAGTTAGGATATTGCAGTCGATAATGGCGATGGTAGAGTTTTAGCAGATCGAAAAGGCTTGACTATGATGGTAGGATTCCGGGATGCTTGATGTTCGTTTGATATTATCGATTCCGATGCATTTCATCATCATACCAACTATAGCATCATGAAAGTTCTGATTATTGGATGTTTCACTTCGTAAGTACATGTATGATGTCACAGGTGCTCATGTGTAGTATCTCCTTTTCATCAAGGCGGCCCATACTTTTACCTTCAAAGTCCAATGCGTAGATCAGCAATGCCCGTTTTCGCCTGCATGAATTGTCTTGCTTATTCTTACTTTTTTCGTTGTACTGTACCTCGATTTCTTTCAGACTTTTTTTAGTTCTTTCACTTCCTGCAGTCCGTATTGCAGCCTCAAAACTATAGATCGTTATTCGCGTTGGCTCACCAACTCGATGGCAACGATCCTACGACACTTTTCTGGCACGTTTTCCGAGCTGGGTATTACGAACCTTTTACACGCCGGCGGCGTGACGCCGATATATTCCTTCCCACGAAATGGATTCAACACGACCCAAAGCTAATTAATGCATCGACTGCAGCGTGCGGTAAACCCAAACAATGTGTAAGAAAACTATCTTCAGCTAGCGTACTAGTAGTTCGAACTATTTACCACAAAAAGGTAATGACAAATTATCAAGCTTCTATTTTTTCGAGTTCCGCGATTGCACAGCTCATTCGTCCACTTGCAGCCAGCCAGACACGTGTCTCCAGCCAAGCTTCAGACGATGGGGTTCTCGCTAACTATCGTGTCCCTACTTCACTCGGCCATCGCCGGTCTCCCCCACGTCAACCAGCTCATCACCACTTTCCTCAGACCAGGCCGATTTCTCTCCATCAGCGATGCCTGCAGATTTAACTCTATCGAGCTACTAGACTGGATCTGGGACTTCAGTTGCACTTCAGTTCACGCCAGGACGAGAGAATGGTCGACCCACAACTACCTCCGCACTGATGTTTACTATCACTGCTACCAGTTCGGGAAGGCGTTGCTCTATGCTACCAAAGAAGGCAACTTGGAGCTGGTCAAGTGGCTCTTTACCCACTTTTCGGGTTGCATCGCACCTGCGGATGTGGTGGAAGTCGCCGCCCGCAATGGATTTCACGACATTTTGAAGTGCCTACTTGACCACGACGCCGGGCGCTTTGGACCTCACCTTAAATACCGAGACGACGAGAACTCGAAGATAGACTGCGATGTTTCAGTGGGTTCCTCAACGACCAATAAAAGGCAACGCTGTCACCTGGAGCACGTGCTGTGTGGTGAATGCCATCAAATATAAACACTTTGAGCTCGCCCAGTGGCTGATCAACAGTACCCCGCGGCCATTCGATGAGGAAGAAGTGGCGAGTTTCATCAATGCTGCTTTATGGCACGAAAACACGGAGCTGGCCGAGCTGTTGGTACCGGGAGGTCGGAGTCTGCTAGAGTACGCTCGGAAGAATCCCAACCTCCGGACCATCGAGTGGATGCTCGCGTGTAAGTATCTACGACGAGAGGAAGACATCGACCCGTGGCATATCCTGTTTCTTGCCCGGCAAGATCGGTTGGATCTGATGCAGCAGGTTTGGGAGCTTTACACTGCAGATCGCAAACGTATCGACATGAATCTGTGGGTTGGCCATTGGCACGCAGCGATGCTTGCCGCAGCTTGCCGTGGAAATTTGCTGATGGTGAAGTGGCTGGCAGAGCAAACAGTTGGGCGAGAGATTTGCGCAAGTAAAATGAAATATTCGCTGTTGGATATGGTCTGTGAGGCAGCGGAACGAGGCCAGTTTCCCGTGGCAGAATATATCAGGCGACAAGGCGAGCTCAAACCTTCCGACCCCTGGAAACACTGGAATCAAATCCTCCTCGCGATCCGAAAAGGGCGTGTGGACTTAGTGAAGTGGCGATTGGAGCTCACTACGCATATTTGGGGTCTCTCTCCTATTGATACTATCGAAGAAGCGGCTGCGTGGGGACAATTGGAGATGTTGGAGTATTTCCACGGCCTCAACATGTCGAAAAAGTTCATTTCACTGCCGCAACCACAAACAAGACAAGTCAAACGTCAACGGACGGAGAAGGAAAAGATGCCGTGGTGGCCTCAATGCCCCTGTGCAGTGGCAAACGCCGCAAGCAATGGGCATCTTGCTGTAGTTCAGTGGCTGCACAAGAATCGCTGGACGGAATGCTTACCATCCCGAAGATCTACAGCCACCATGGATGAAGCCGCCTCCCATGGCCACCTCAAAGTATTGAAATGGCTTCACTCTCTGAAATCGATGCATTGCTCGACCGCAGTTATGGACGACGCAGCAGCCAGAGGATACTTAGACGTCGTCCAATGGCTTCACGAAAATCGCACCGAAGGCTGCACCACAAACGCTATGGACAGCGCAGCGCGAAATGGGTACCTGGAAGTGGTGAAGTGGCTTCACACCCACAGGACGGAGGGCTGTACGACAAATGCAATCGATTTCGCTGCAAAGCATGGCAGGCTGAATGTCGTGCAATGGCTGTGGGCTAATCGAACGGAGGGCTGTACTACCAAAGCCATTGACTATGCCGTAGAACACTACCAGGTTTCAGTGGTCCGCTGGCTTCTCTTCAACACGACAGCGAAATGCTCACCACCGACGATGGACAGTTCGTCACATCTAAGGATGATGCAATGGCTCCACGCAACAGGACGAGGCGTTTTCACGCACGAAGCCATCGTAAACGCTTTTCGCCGCGAAAAAGTTGGGGTCGTGTCGTGGCTCCTACACAACTTTCCCGACCTGGCGCCAATCAAAGTCGATTTCTGGTATAAAGGGTGCTCGTTCGAGATGCTGCTCTTGTTGCGCGAACATTGTCCGTTTGTCTTCACGAAGGACTTCATTATGAAGAATGTCGAGTCTCGTTTGGGGAACGATAAAACCACCCACGAGATGGACGTCATCGGATGGCTACTGAGCCAGTTTCCTGGTGAAACTAACTTCGCGCTTCTGTGGGAGGGTCCAGACGACCTGCTCTCGCACTTGCTAGAGTAATCGTGGCTAGCATCTTTCCCCTTAACTCTGTTGTGTCTTGTGTGTGTGTGTGTGTTTATTTTTTTTTAATTATTATTTACGGTAATGCGTCATAAGGATTTTTTTAGTAGTAAATCAATCCCACCAAATTGCCAAAAATCCGAGAACGTGCCCCTTTATTCTTCAACTTGCTGCGAAGTAGACAGTGATTATGGACGCCAATGCGGCCATTACTCAAGGTCTTGAAGCTTAGCACTTAAAGTAATCTTGATCAAATATATTTGAATTTTTGTTTTTCTTGTTTCTTTTACGCTAATGCGTCATTATGATTTTTTTAAAGTAATTCAACGCTCCAATCGGTTGCCTGCGGCCAAAAAATCCCGGAACGTACCCTCACTTCATCATCCCCAAACTGATATGGACCGTGCGAGTACAGCCACTTTGCTAATTCATCGTGTCCTCCCTTCATGGCATTCCAGATTGATCTCCCTCCCCACGTCACCGCGTTTCCCTTGGCGGGTCTCTCTCGCATCCACTCGTAGAATGTGGTATCAACTTCTGAGCTCATCGCCTTCTTGAAGTATTTGCCACCCCGTCCAGCATCGTTTCTCCACCGCATCTCGAGGATTTCACGGCGACCGCTACGAGCAGCGACTCCCATCACTTCAGCTGGGGCGATACAGCCCGAGAAGTGGTTGAACAGCCATTCCACAATGGCCGCGTTTCCTGATTCTGCAGCCTGGTACAGTGCCTGGCTGAACTGATAGCGGTGGTAGTACCTGTCCGCTCTCCAGTAACTGTGGATCGTCCACTTGGACGCTCTGGCCACAGCCGAAGTGCAACTAGATTCCCAGATCCAATCCAGGCTTGCAGGCGGCACTAAGTGACAGGAAGGGGGGAGGGCCGAGGAAACTCGTGACGATTGTTTGCACCCCGTCCAGGTTACTGAGAGCGTGGTGGTCGCGAAGAGCGAGTTGCACAGCCTTGAGCAGTGGAGGCATTGGCGTTCGGAGCCGAAGTGTCGACTTCGCTGCAAATTGAGGAATGAGGGGTCTCATTCGACTTGCATTGGCGACGGAGCACACGCCATTGGCTTTGTTTATGATTCCAGAAGATGGCAATGCTTTGGATTATCCCCACGCCTCTGGTTATCGAAGCCCTATTGTGTAAGGGATTGCTGTTACCTCAGCACCAACAACTGGCCTCGCGAGTTGTGAGTGAATTCGCGAGGCGAGGTCGTCTGGATCTGATTCAGCACGTCTGTCCGATTTGCTCCCCTGCTGTAGAGACCCATGAGATCTGGATATCATCGTGGGATTTAGCGTTATCCGAAGCGAGTGCCGGTGGAGGTCTTGCCATGGTGCGATGGCTTGCAGAACACCCGCTGGGTCGTGAACTAATTGGACGCAGAGGAGAGGCGCCTATCGTAATGACAGTCAACAAAGCAGCGCAGAAATTTCACTTTGGGGTGATGCAGTATCTCTGTGAGCAGTTCTTCCAAGAAAGTGGCGAAGGCCCTTCTGGAGGTACCGTGCTATCTGCGGTCGAGAAAGGCCGTGTGGACTGTGTCAAGTGGCTGCTTGAGCGATTTTCGTTTGTCAACAGCCTGTCGGCAGAAGACGTGGTTGAAAAAGCAGTGTTGTGGTGCCAGGTTGGGATTCTGCCATATTTTCACGGCGTTGACATGTTAGAAAAATTTCAGACGATACAGGAGAATGACGGACGAGTGAAGCGACAGCGTACAGGAACTAGCAAGCCCCGGTGGCCGCGCTGTTGCAACGTTGTCAAGATGGCCGCGGAGAATGGCGACCTACCTGTATTTCAATGGTTGTACGAAAATCGGTGGAGCGAGTGCTCGCCTCGTGAAAACTCTTCTGAGGCCATGGACACAGCAGCCGCCTCGGGATGGCTTCACATTGTCAAGTGGCTCCACCGCATACCCTCAATTGGTTGCTCGGCAGCAGCTATGGACCGGGCCGCAGCAAACGGATCCCTGGATGTGAGATGGCTGCACAAGAATCGAACGGAGGGTTGCACAACCGATGCGATGGATGAAGCTGCGTACGGCGGATACCTCAAGCTGGTGAAGTGGCTTCATGCGCATAGGAAGGAGGGCTGCTCAACGCACGCGCTCGACTCCGCGCAGCAAACGGCCAGCTGGAGGTGGTCTAGTGGCTGTGGAAGAATCGGAGCGAGGCTGTACTGACAACGGTGACCAACGCGGGATGCGAGGATCATGATGCAGTAGTACGCTGGCTTCTTTTGAACACAACGGCTCCATGCAGGGCAGATATAGTGGACTATGTGTCTACTGTGCCGATGATGGAGCAACTGTATCGTACGCGACAGCTAGATTATACGACCAAAACGCTCGAGCGTGCTACAACCTCTGGGAATGTCGCGGGGGTTTCTTGGATACTCGACAAGTTCCCGGAGCTTCAAACTGAAGACGTGGCAATTGAGGGTGATTCGGAATTGTGCTTCGAGATACTGCGTTTCAGAATGGCGCATGGCTGCGAAGGCGGGGAAGCGACAGGATGGAAACGAGCTTTTCCGGATTGCTTGGAGGCCTCAACTCAACGGCAACTGGCTACGGAAATAACGGACGACGGAGGGAGGCAGGTAAGACGTAGAGCTCATTCGCAATTAGACTCCGAGCGACGAACCCGCCACTCCACACCCAAACCAGGCTAAACACGATGCATTTACCCCCCAACGCAGTGCAATACTTGGAAATGTTGCTGCTTTTACGAGACCGAGTTCCTTACGCGCTCACGACGGATTGCGCCCAACACAATGTAAGATGGCGTTTGTTGGAGCACTTGTACGATCCACCCAGAAATCGACGTCGTTGGGTGGATTCTGGACAATTGTCACGAGCATACCAGCGATATGAAGGCGGAAGTTGTAGACGCGAGGCCGGACGCCGTTTTCACACAGTCGGTTTAGTGGTGGTGCATCATGTAATCTTTATTTTCTTGCGTGTGAATTAATCGACCTATTCATCCTTTTTTTTCGAGGGCAACAGAAAGATAGAGTTTGTATGACTGGTCGGTCGTGTTTGAGTGTGATCACATTGGGGTACCGTTGCTGGTGTACTACTGTTGTTTCTGGTCCAAATATATTTTAGGAATGGACCAAAGACCTGTTAGAAGTAAATCTATCTCACATCCACATCGTCGCGTATGGAGTTGCCGGCCTTTATGTTTACCACTCACCTAAGGTGTAGAAAGCCGCTTGATGTTGTGGACGAGAGCCATCGCATCGGCATCCGCAGTCTTCCACTCATTCGGACCATCGCCTCGCCCCAAGCGAGCATGAAGGTTTCCGGTCTGGGTGAAACTCTTCGATCAGCAGCTTTTCTACTGAGGCTCATCCTCGCCCATCACGGTGAAGAAAGCAAGTGGCTGGTGAAAACAAACAGTGCAGATGATGTATTGCAACGAAACATTGCTGAGCCTAACAGAAACTGAGCTTAACTCAGGAGCCTGAGTCACGCATCAGGGCCATTCCTAGAAAGCCTACCTCGTTTCAAATACTAGCGTGACTGGCACTGGCAGGATCACCGACGCTAGCAGTGGCACAACCTTCAGCGCATCAGATAAATCCGTCGAGCTCAACGGATACACCGTCCGGGAGTGCGACTGAACCCTCCGGATAAGCCTCAATCACGTCGGCGAATGCGACAATAACAGCGACCTTCGCTTCCACCTCAGCGATTCTAACTGCGTGACGGTGCTGCTTTGGACCTTGGTGTCCATGAAAATGGCAATCTGATTGCTTCGGTACCGGTGATGAGCATCTGCCGTCCACTTTCTGCCCACGTGGGTCTCGAGGCCTCTTGCAGTATTCTTCAAAACTAACGGTAACATATTGGTCAACCAAGACGCTTTGCGCGCTTTTAAGGTTGTCTATTCGAGTATGAAGGGCATACTTCGACTACCGATTTATCAAACTTGTATATTTATGCGAGTCAGTGGACTACAGTTACTCCACCGTAGTTCTTCATAATTAAGAAATGGTAAACAAAATGAATCAAGTATTTTGCCAGGCTGTAAAACATTAGCTGGAACACAATGTATACTTGGCATACGTGTGTTGTCCGTCTCCGCTCAGGTTAGTCTCAGTAGACCCACTTCAGACAAAAAATACTCGACAAAAAAGTTATGTTATGTTGTATGATCCAAAATAAAAATGGCGTTGGTGATCTCCTTCCCAACCTTATCTTGGTTACACAATCCCACATTCCTTCTCGAAACCACAAGGACAAATCTTCTCAGTCCAAAAGCCTCGTCGGAACTACCCCACTTCACAATCTGCAGTATTCGGTACATCAGCTTCATCGCCCATTAAACTCAAGCAACCATGAAGGTCTTCGGTCCGAGTGACACACTGCTAGCGGCAGCTCTTATAACGACACTCGCCCGAGCTCACGACGGAGAAGATGGCAAGTGGCTGCTAGAAACCTACAACGAAGATGAATCCTGCACCAAACTGACGTACGCCAAGCTCTGGGGAGCTCCTTGTCCCGACGGCGACAGCTGCGACAGCGAAACGGTGTGTTCGTGAAAACTGTAGGCGGCGGATCGAGACGTGTACCTGGACACGGTGTTCAACGGAGCTCCTTTCTTGAAGATCGAGGAATACAGCACAAATTGCACCGACGCCGACGAAGAGCCAGCCATAATGGTAGCCTACTTGGCGGACGGTGGTTGCCACCCGAACAAGTACAGCCACTTCAAGATCGCTGAGCGCGATAGTGGCAGGTTGTCTGGGAGGGGTGTGACTACCAGTACTGGAATGAAACTTGGGCAGCCGATGTAGTCACTGAGATCAACACAGGAAACTGTGTCACCACCGAGTTTGGATCGTGGAGGGCCTACCTCGTCACGAATGCAAGTGGCGCGACAATCGACAACACGAGCGGAAGCACGACAGCTGGCTCTTCCAGCTCCACGGATTCTACGTCAGGAAGTGCGACAGGTTCTTCCGGGTCCACAACGTCCGCTACGCCAGTAACAGCAACAACTTCCGGCTCGAACGCAGCGATCGTGGCCGGTGCAGTAGTGACGCTTTGGAGCATACTGGCCTTTGGAATGACGCTGTGATCCTGAATTGTTTATTGCAACTTAGAATTATCTCAATAGATCCATATCATGTCTTTTCTGATTGAAGGATTGATTGATTGAAATACGTGTAGTGGCCAGCCACGTGCCGTCGGATCGACGGGGTTCTGGATTTCGACGAGAAGAATCTTTTCGACTTGTTGCTGCCTGAAGACGGCGCTACGCTGGAGGCCTTGCTAGCGTCCTCTAGCCCATTTATGATCGAGCTGTCGTTTCTCGCTGGCCTGCTTGACAGCGAGTTCGGTGCTGCTGCTACAGTGGTGCAATCTGGAAGCTTGGATCTTATGAAGAAAATGTGGGAGAAGCACGACCAGCTCACGGAGCCGGGTGCCTGGATGAAGGAATGGCTGGACGGAATGACTGAGGCGTGTCGGACAGGAAATCTCGCTGTTTTGCAGTGGATGGTGGAGCACCCGTCAGGTCGAGCGGCTGTCGAGTTCATCCATTCTCAGGAGGGAGTAACCCCTGGCTTGTACTACGCTGCAGATGGAGGCCACCTCGATTCGATGCAGTACCTCGTCGAGCAAGGGCTCGCTACCGATTTTGGGAGCGCCTTACTTTGCGCGATTCGCAGAGGCAACGTGGACGCTGTAAAGTGGCTGGTATAAAACTTCCCACCCGCGGAACAAATCCCAGAGTATTGTGTTCTTGTGGATGCTGCGAGGCACGGACGTGTGGGGATACTGCAGTTTCTTCAGAGCTCGGAATCGCTCGTGGTGCCGGGTTTCCCGGGCTCAAAGCCATCAAAAGCACAGTTTGCTTACAACATGATGCTTGACACATCAGGCTCATCTCAAAATGAATAACAATGGCGACCGACGGACGCAATGGACGACGCTGCTGCAAACGGACAACTGGAACCAGTAAAATGGCTCCACATGAATCGATCGGAGGGATGCACGACGAAGGCGATGGACGAGGCCGCCGCAACAGGACAACTCGAGATGATGAAATAGCTTCATGCGAATCGGTCGGAGGTCCACACAATCAAAGCCATAGTGAACGCGTGCTGCAACGGTCATACTCATGTTGTCAAGTGGCTGGTGTCACTATCTCGGAAGGGGTCGAGGAAAATTGCCATGACACACGCTGCCTCCTACGAGAACTTGGACTTGGTGCAGTGGCTCCACACAAATGCCAAGGCTCCGTGCACACCAAAGGCGACGATCGGCGCTGTAAAGTATGGACACTAGGAGATACTCGCACCGACCTAAGGCTCTAGCTCTCACGAGCTGTGCTGTTGCAGTAGAGGAAGCGATCGCCAGTGAGCATTTCCGCGTTGCAGACTGGTGTTTTCAACACTTTCCAGCCCGTTGCCCCGGCTCAGTGACCAGCATTACCGCTCTGTATCCGTTCGAGTCACTGCTATTTCTGCGTGAGCACTTCCCGATCATGTTCACGGAGGCTTTCGTGGCGGCAATGCGCGAGGAAGCGAGGTCCAAGGCTTCGCCGACGTTTGGTGTCCTTGCCAAGTGGTTAGCCTCCATGGTGTAGGCTGCGTCATTGGTTTCCACGTGCTGGTTAACCTTCATTGTCCATTCATTGAAGTTACAAGTTGTAACTTACAACCAGAGACTCAGTCCTTTTATAAATTTCACTGTAATGCTTGCATGAATACCCCACGTTGCATTCCACTGGATACGTCAGGCAGCACAAAACATTCATTACGGCGTATCGAACCCAACACTATATATAAAATTTGGCATTGGAATTTTGCGTGTTTAGATTGGTGTGATTGCCTATTAGGGGTACTTGTAGTTCTCCTGGATCCACCTGTTCACGTCGTATACGGATACGGATGCACGCCAAATTCTGCGTCGTATTTCTGAGGTGAAGGCCTTTGGCTCGTGCGCATGCAGGAACAGTACTATCTCGAACAGCTTCTCCGAACCGAAGTCGAAACCTTCCCAATCCTGCAGCGCATCGTGCTCTGGATAATGACCAAGAAGCCACGACGCTATTTGTAAATTGCCATGAATGAGCGCGAATTGTATGGCGTCAGGAGTACAGCCTTCAGGTCGGTTAGAATGCAGCCACTTAACCATTTTGAAATGACCATGACATGCCGCATAATCCATAGCCACTGTGGTACACCCAGCTGTTGCATTTGCATGGAGCCATTGAACCAAATCCGCGTAGCCCTGCAAATCCGCGGAATCCATGAATTCAGTCGTAGAAGCTTTAACGCCATTTGCATGCAACCACTTTACCACGGCAAGATTGTTGTTGTGTACAGCGCACTTCATGACATGCTGCGTGAATATAAATTCGTCAGCGTGATGTTCGTGTAACCATTGCAGCATGACCAAGAATCCCGATGAAGCAGCAAACTCCACCGCTTTGCCGAACTCTACCGAAAACTGCCAGCTAAGAATTATTATACGTCGCTGCTCCTGTCTTGGATGGTCCCGAGAATACACGCTATCAAAAAATGGTGCTGAATTTCGATCGGAAGATTGATACGAAAATTCACCAACCAATAACTCGATAATTCTCATTTGCCCTCCTTGAACGGCCGACAGCAAGGCAACCCCATTCATGTCTGAGAATCCTTGCGAGCAGAGGCATTTCACCACTTGTAAATGGCCACCGATGCTCGCCGCCTCCATAATATACCTTCTCCCTCTCGGTACCTTTTGCCCTACAGGGCTCTCCATCAGCAACTGCGCGTTTGAGAGAGCAACGCATTCGTCGCCTAGCCACATTTTCCCATTCGGTGATGATTGGGCGCAACGATTCACCAGTCGCTCTAGTAATTCCAGTTCCCCACGTTCAGCAAGTTTTTCCACAGCAACACGCACATCCTGCATACTTGGCACTTCCCCTCGACTCAGCTTCCACTTGATTGCATCCGGTTGCCCAGAGACAAAAGCGTAATCTGAAATGTAGTTGCAACCAGAAGGTTCTAGCTCTTGCGCCAGCGCGAACTGGTCTTTGTATAGAGCTTTTCCAACGACGACAAGCCATTTTCCTCCGTTTGTGTGGCGTCCATTTCTTCATCCCCAAAACGCACCCCAAAACCCCAAAAATCCCTGCTTGCGTGTGAGGTGTGCTCATTTAACCATCGAGCAACGTCATAATGACCGTTTTGAACAGACTCAACCATGTCGCTGCCTCCCCAGCTTACTACCAGGTCAGCGACTCTACTTGATCTTTCAACTTCTGCAACACAGAGCAATTCTTGATCATTGCTTGTTCGACGTCGTTTGCCACCATTTGCGTACCAGAAAATACTGCAGAATAGATAAGCGACCATTTTTCGCTGCTGTTTTCACTACCTTTTCATCCACGTTACGATAGGGAAAGTGTGCGAAAACCCACTCCAGTACTTGTAAGTTCCCACGAGCAGCTGCAGCTTGTAGCGACTCTGAAAACTGCCAGTGATTGTAGTGTCGGTCAGAGCGCAAGTAGTTGGCTAGTGACCATTCCCGGGTTCTTTCAGCGGAAGAAGTACAGCTAATCCCCCACATCCAGTCCAATAGCGACGTTGACCCGAAGACGCATGCCTCGCTTAGCGATAGATCCGGCGATAGTAAAAAGATACAGCTGTTGATTCCATCAACAACGTGGGGGAGGGCTTAGACTGCTGGGAAGTTCTGCAGTACAACGTCCACGGCCTTGAAATGCATTTCGCTTCTGTCAAAATGTGAAATGAAGCGAACTAAAGAACAACAAATCCGTAAACATACATCAGCAATTCGAAATGTGGCGGCTCGTACACCGTGAGGCGTTTTCTCGTAGAGGAACCGTGCGATATCATGCCGCTTCACTTGCAGAGCCTTCGTGATTCCTTCTCCATCCCAGCGCACGACATTGCCTCCGTCTTTTTCATCGTCATTGGGCAAAGCATCTCCCTCTTCAGTCCCCATTTTCCTCTTCTTGCGACTGGAACCCTCCTCGACTCGGTGGCTAGCGTCGTGCTCCAGTAGAAACTGCAGTATATCCAGTCGGCCTCGCTCTGCTGCGATCTCCACCACTGTCACTGGGACTTCACAGCCCGAGAAATGTTTCATCAACCACTTAATTACTCGTAAATCACCCTTTCCAGCAGCCGCCAGCATCGATTCGTGGAATTGGTACTGGTAGTAGTTCGGGTTTGACCGAAGATAATTCGTCAGCGACCAGTGTGGACTTCTGCCCGTCGTGGAGATGGAGCTGCATCCCCACATCCAGTCCAGCAGCGTCATGGAGCCGAAATTGCACGCGTGACTCAGCGGCAGGTTCCGGTCTGGGCCCAGATAGTCGGCGACGAGATGTCCGAGATCCTCTAGAGCAGCGCCGTGCTGTTGGTGGAGCAGCACCAGCTCGACGACCAGCAGCGGAGAGGGCATCGCTAATTGTCGAATGGAAAAAAATCGGAATGGCCGGTGGTAGTGTGCCCACCGTTAATGAATCACTGCGTATTTTTTATTATAATTCAGAGAAAAAACTTATCGGAGTGGCTGTCTAGGGAGATGATGGCATATTTGAAAGCTCGCAATGACGTAACTCACGCTGTATTCATACTTTTCAACTGAAATCCAGGGGTGCTTGCTTACCCGAAGACCTTCAGAGATTAGCTTTCTCTTATGGACTCAAGTCGGAAATGTACTTTGGTCCAGGACTGCGTTGGCTTGGTGGTTTTTAAGCACGAAATTCAGAATAACAGGCCCGAATTCACTGGAGAAGAAGAGAAACAATCGAAATTAGGAAACTCCGCGAATCCGTACGATGGAGTCTAGTTGCTCCGAGCACATGCTGCCAACACACGCTTTTATCTTAAAAACTCGACTTACTCCAGAAACGTAAGTTCTCACGGCTTTTTACTATTTTTTTCTTACATGAGCTGGTTGTAACAGATTAAGCTTCGATTTTCGTTCTCAGCAGCATATTCGGCGCTTGGCTCGCTGCAAATCGCCACGGTAGTTAGTAAGAACTTCTCACTAACTACCGTGTCCCTGCTTCATCCGGCTCTCCGCGGCCTCCCACACGTCAAGCAGCTCATCACCAGCTTCCTCGGGCCAAGCGCATTGCTCTCGATCAGCGACACCTGCAAGTTCAACTCTACCAAGTTGCTGGACTGGATCTGGGAATCGAGTTGCACTTCTGTGGACGCCAGAACACCACAATGGTCCATCCAGAACTATCTTCGCACTGATGTGTACTATTACCGCCCCCAGTTCGGGAAGGCGCTGAAACATGCAGCTCAAGATGGGGATCTGGAGCTGGTTAAGTGGTTATTTACCCACTTTTCGGGTTGTATCGCGCCTGCAGATGTGGTGGAAATCGCAGCCACGAATGGGCACTTCCACATCTTAGAATACCTGCTGAACCACGACGTCGGCCAATTCGGCCCTCACCTTAAATATCAAGACGACGAAAATGCCGAGGACGAGTGGGCTATTTTCCAGTGGATTCCGCGACGACCAAGAGAGGGAAACGCCGTCACATGGGGCACTGACGCTATCCTGGAGGCTATCCAGCGTGGACACTTCAAGCTTGCGCGGTGGTTGGTCTTCAGTACACCGCGAACATTTGATGATGAAGAGGTGACTGAACAACACGGAGCTGGCGGAGGTGTTGGTACCAGAGGGTCGATGTCTGCTCGAGTATGCGCGAAAACACCAAGCGTCCAGACCATCGAATGGATGCTGACGTGTGATTATCTACGTCCTGATGAAGATATTCACCCGTGGCTTATTCTCTTCCTTGCTCGGAAGGATCGGCTGGATCTGATGCAACCGATTTGGGAGATTTTCGCTGCATCTCAGAAAAATTTGAACTTGGAACCGTGGCTAGGACACTGGCGTACAGCGATGGAAGAGGCTGCTGCTTGTGGAAATATGACGATGTTGAGGTGGCTGGCAGAGCACTCGGTCGGGCGTGAGGTTTGTGCAAACAAGGGCTCTCGGCGAAGGATGCTATCGTTGAAGCAGCAACGTGGGGCCATTTATTGATTTTGGAGTACTTTCACGGTCTCGATATGTCGGGAAAATTCTGGTTGCCACAGCAGACACGAAAACAACCCAAACACCAACGCACTGGCAAGCCGTGGTGGCCCCGTTGTGATAATGCGGTGGTGAAAGCTGTAATCAAAGGCCAGCTCGCCGTGATCAAGTCGCTGCATGCAAACCGCTGGACAGAGTGCTTCCCGAAACGGAAATCCACGGGGCCATGGAGTTCGCAGCAAGTTGTGGGCATCTCGACGTGTTGAAGTGGCTACACACGATCAAACCGATGATTTGTTCGACGGAAGCAATGGACCGCGCAGCGGCGAACGGACACTTGGATGTCGTCCAATGGCTGCATCATAATCGAACCGAAGGCTGCACGACTAACGCTATGGACGACGCGGCACACTATGGTCACCTAGAAGTGGTGAAGTGGCTTCACACCAATCGGACTGAGGGATGCACGAAGAATGCACTCGTTTTTGCTGCAGCGAACCATAAAATCAACGTCGTGAAGTGGTTGTGTAAGCATCGAACGAAGGGCTCTGCGTCCAGTGCTCTCGACCAAGCTGTTGACAGCTGCCAGGTTTGAATGGTTCGCTGGCTGCTCTGCAATACACCAGCAAAAAGTGCACAACAGCAATGGAAAAAATATCCGCATCTGGAAATCATGCAATGGCTCCACTCCACAGGACGAGGCTTTTTCACCCAGACAACCATCGAGCAGGCGATCATCTATGGAAATTTACGCGCCGCTTCTTGGCTCCACTAGAACTGCCCCCAGCTCACCAAGCCGAACTTCAGAGTCAACCTGTGGCATAAGGGCTGTCGTTTTGATATGCTCCTGTTCTTGCGTGAGCACTACCCGGGCGTTTTCACACAGGAGTTCATCGAGATGAATGTCGAACTTGGGGTAGATGGATACCAGTCCGCACATGAAAGGAACTTGGCTTCTGAACGCATTTGCTAACGAAACGAGAGGCCTCAAGGACGATATTTTATCGAGGCGGTCCGACGCAGATTTCACGGGAGTGTCAGCCTGACCTTGAACTCAACCCAACCACAATGGGCTACTGCTGCTGGCTCGTGTCCATAAGACGTATGCCCTGTAGGCGAGGCTGTAGTAGTGCGCAGTATCGGGGGTAAATAGTAACATAACCCGTAACAAATTCAAATTCATCAACCTCCAGCTCCCAGCCAAAAAACTACCTTGGTTTATTTAATAAAAAATATGTGTGATGATTGTTTTCTTATTTGTCAAATTGTAATGGGTCATTATATATTTTTTTAGTAAATTCATCCCGCCAATCAGCTACCATCCTTAAAATTCTTGGAATCCTTTCAATTTGCAAAGTCCAAGTCGCTACACACAGACGCCAATGCCGCCATTACTAAAAAGTGTGCAGCTTGCTCTTCGTGACCACCCCGCTCTCTCCAGTTTTAAAGGCGCCCAAGCGGTCGTCACGAGTTTCCTCGGCCCTCCCCCATTCCTGCCGTTCAGTGCCGCCTGCAAGTTCAACTCCATCGACCTCCTGAACTGGATATGGGAAACCAGTTGCACCTCCACAACTTCCACGTGGTCGATCCACAATTATATAAGGTCCGACCGGTACTACCACCGCTACCAGTTCAACCAGGTTCTGCTCCAGGCCGCGGGATCAGGAAATAAGGACATTGTCGAGTGGACGTTTAGCCATTTTTCGGGCTGCATCGCCTCTGCTGAGGTGATCGCAATTGCCGCAAGGAACGGGCACCAACAGGTTCTCGATGTGCTGTGGGCAAATGACGCAGGACGGGGCGGCAAGTACTTTAAGAGAGAAGTGCACTTTGACGATGAGGGTTCGAGCTACGAGTGGATTCCAGCGCGACCGGCCAATGGAAATGCCGTGACGTGGGGAGGAGCTGCAATCTGGAACGCGATTGATGAAGAACACGATGAAGTTGTGAAGTGGCTGTACACCTATTCGCAACACGGGTTTGGAGATGCAGAAGTGAGGGGTCTCATCCGACTAGCGCTGACCAAGGGAAACACGGTGCTGGCGGTCTCTATGGTGCCACAAGGTGCAGAAGTTTTCGACTACTGCCGAGAGAAGCCTACGCCTGAGGTTGTTGAGATGATGCTGGCTAGTGGAAATATTCGCTCTGAGGACCGTGAACTAGCTGCGTGGATTGTGGGCGATTTCTCGAAGCGAGGACGCCTGGACCTGCTACAGCACGTCTGTCAGGTATGCAGCCCCGTTACGGATGAAGTGTGGCTAAGAGCTTGGGACTTGGCATTGGGAGAGGCGAGCGTCCTGGGGGATCTTGTCTTGGTGCGATGGCTTGCCGAACACTCGTTGGGTCGTGAACTAATCGGACGTGCGACCGAGAACGCCGCCTCAATTATCGTCAACAGGGCAGCTCTCCACTTTCAATTTGTGGTTATGGAGTATCCCTGTGAACAGTGTTGCCAAGCAAGAGGCGATGAACCTCCTGCGGGTTCCATCCTGTCTGCTGTCGAGAAGGGGCGGGTGGACTGCGCTGAATAGCTACTAGAACGTTTTTCCTATACGAAGTACCTATCGGCTAAGCACGTGATTGAAAAGGCAGCTTCGTCGGGTCAAGTAGATATTCTGCAATATTTTCACGGCGTTGACATGGCAGAAAAGTTTCACTCGGGTGGAGGAAAGCGTCAAGCGCAACCCAAACGACAACGGAGAGACGAGAACATACCTTGGTGGCCGAGCTGTTGTAGCGTGGCGAAGAAGGCTGCGGAAAATGGACATCTAGCTGTACTTGAATGGCTGCTCGATCACCGCTGGAGCGAGTGCTCGCCACGAGAGGAATCTTCCGATGTCATGGACGTTGCTGCAACAAATGGGCATCTGGAAGTTGTCAAGTGACTCCATCACACCTCACAATTTGATTGCTCAGCTGCAGCTATGGATGGCGCTGCGGCGAATGGGCATTTGGATGTTGTCCAGTGGTTGCATGAAAATCGAACTGAAGGTTCCACCACAAAAGCTATGGATGATGCTGCACGTAATGGCCACTTGGAAGTGGTCAAGTGGCTGCACACGCATAGGACGGAGGGCTGCACGGCAAACGCGCTGGACTCGGCTGCAACAGAGGGTCGGCTTGAAGTGGTCCAATGGCTGTGGGGGAACAGTACCGAGGGCTGTACTACGAGGGCGATCGACAGCGCTGCCTTCCACCGCCATGACTCACTGGTCCGTTGGTTGCTGCTCAACACGACCGCCCCATGTACGACGCTAGCGATGGATAGTGTGACCACGGTCGAGACTATGGCGCTGCTGCAGGAAAAGCGACAGCAGACGTGCACGGCTCGAGCGCTCGGCAGAATGGTAACTTCCGACAATGCTGCGACAGTCTCTTGGATCCTCAGTAACTTTCCTGAGGCCCTACAGCTGATGACTGAGAACGATTACACGCCGCGATTCGAAGTGTTGCTGTTTCTGCGAGACCAGTACCCAAGCGCACTCACCACGAGTTCCATTCAGCACAATATTCGATGGCGTTTGGACTGCATCGACGAGGCAACAGGTGAAATCGACGTCCTCGGATGGCTTCTAGACAACTTTCCCCAGCTTATGAGTGGCATGAAGGCAGAAATGAGGGAGAAGAGGCCGGATGCCTTTTTCACGGAGTCACTTTTCTAGTGCGCAACTCCTAATTCAGCTGGAGAACGGTTAAGAGTACCAACAACATAATTAAAAAATAACCGGAGCAAGATAGTTTTTTGTTGCCCATGCTTTTCCCAAGAGTGAAATTATTAGGCGTCAACGTACCATGGTTGTAGGCTCTGTTACTATCGCGTTAGGGCCATAAGCGTCGAATCTTGAGGAATGTGTATACCACTTTAATAATAAAAGACCAGTGACTCTACTAAAAAATGGAGGAAAAACGCCTCAGCGTAGTTGGAGCTATGAGGGGCCAACAATGAGGCCCTCGGCCCCGGACCACAACCAGATTAAAAGTTCACAAAAGGTCGGTTTAAACCAAGTATTACTCATCCAATACTGACACACACTACAACAACTAAGCACCATGCTGTTGACTATGCTCTTCAGGGCCCGGGTACACACAGGTAGTTTCTGGCCGAGGACATGATCTCGCAGTAGATGTCCACCAAAGTCGATTTTGGTTCCCCTCGATCCGTCTGTGAGCTGTGTTATCAAGATAATCTCTGTGTGGGTGGCAGCAAATGCCCTCCCACTACGACGTTGACCCTCGTCTCGCCTCAGTCGACATTCCGTATCCAAGGGAAATTGTCGTGGGATCAATTATACTATCATCCAGCGAAACGGCGCACGATCGAGGCAGCTAGTTGTCACCACGCCGCTGGTTGTATTTTCCACCATGCGAATAATGCTCTTGAAGCCAGCGTTTGAGGTGAACCAGCACGCCGTGACTCGCTCGTGCATCGGAGAGCCTTCTCCTCAGATTTTTCAGAAACCACGATGGGATCTCGTATTTGGCAAGCGAGTGCAGGTAGAGCAGCACCTCGAAAGCATTCCCGGAGTCCCATCTACCCCACACACTCACGAGGTCCTTAAATCGATAGCCAATCTTGTATTCGGGGAAGCGCTGCTGCAGCCAACATGCGATACCCAAATGACAAGATCGTATAGAACTGTCGATCGCCTCCGGCGCATAATGAGATTCCGGACAGTTCCCATACAGCCACTTCACTGTTTCCAGATGGCCAGACCTTGCCGCCTCGTATATGGCACGACTAGTGCATCCTTCGGAGCGATTAGAGTCCAGCCACTGCAGAACGTCCAAGTGGCCGCTTTGCGCAGCCCAATTCATTGCGCGCACTGTGCATCCCTCCGACCGGTTCACGTGAAGCCACTTCACAACTTCCAAGTGTCCGTGTCCTGCTGCAATGTCCATCGTGTCATCCTCACATTTCTGCTTCCGGACCGTGTGAAGCCATTTGATCACTGCTAGCTGGCCACCTGTTGCAGCCAAATACATGGGGTCGATAGCAGCAGACCCCCACGGATCCGTTATCCCAACCCGCCTTCGGTTCGACCCCTCAGCCTCGTAGGCGCTTGAGCTCAGCCGGTGGAACACCTTCAAAACCTCGAGATGGCCATGTTCGGCAATCCAGTGAATCGCATTCAGGCTTGATATGGACTCCGTATCAAACGAATGGTTGCTAAGCAGCCACTTGACAGAGTTCGCCTGCCCCCCGTTAATTGCCTCCCGCATAACCTCACGAAAGTTACACACGAGGCCTTGCTTATAAAGGTAATCCATCGTATCCACATGCCCTCTGTTCGCCGCAACAGAAAACAAGTTGCTATTCGATAGCTGCTCGAGCGTCTTCATCCCCATTGGGGGCTCGACAAGCCACCGCAATATCGCGTTCTGCCCACAAATGCCAGCTTCATAAATTGCGTGAGCCCAATGAGTTTCCCAATGCTCGATGTCACCCGGAAACGGCGAATGAAGAAGCACGACTTGCTGTGCCAGATCCAAGTGTCCACAACGGGCCAAATTCGGCAGTGCGGAGGCAGCAAGAGCTTCATCGCGTCGCAAATACCCACAATCCAGCATCCAATTGATCATCCCAGCCGTCGGACAACCAGCAGCGTAGTCCAGCAAGCACCGACCGATAGGGAGTATTTGCTCTGCTAGCTGGAAGTCTCCGAGAGCTAATGCGTGTTTGATCGCGACCTCCAGAGCGCAGTTCTCCAGTCGCAGTCCTTCCTTCAGATACTCAACGAGCTCTCCGTTCTCGGTGGCCGTCTTTATTGCTGCATCGGTCCAAAAAGTGGTAGTATCACTGATGTGCACCGTGCCTTCACCAATTTCGATAGAATCTCTGCCTGCGAAGTATGGCGGCGATTTATGGGCCAACAGGCAGTGCAGCACGCGAAGATAGCCCTTCTCTTTGGCTCCGTAGGCGACAGCTTCTGGCGCCTCACAGCCAGGAAAGTGGGCAAACAGCCACTCCATCATGGCTACATCCCCTCGACTGGCCGCTGCTTCGAGAGATTTGGCAAACTGGTGGTTCTGGTAATGCGGGTCCGACCGCAAGTAGTTCGTGAGAGTCCACCCAGGGTTTCTGTCGGCAGCGCGGGTACAACTTGAATCCCAAATCCAGTCCAACAGCGGGATGGATCCATATTTGCACGCATCGCTGAGCGAGAGGAAGGGCGACGGACCCAAGAAGTCGGAGATGGCATGGCTGCTTTTGCTCCAGAGCTACGTTTGCTTGGTGGTGGTGTAGAACGACATCCACCACGGTTAGCATGGCTTCACTCGTATGAGATTCTTCGGCAAAGGGAAACTGGAGACTGTACTTGGTCACAACCAGTCAATCATAAAGTCATCATACAAACAAAATGTGAATTGAAATGTAGCCATAAAGCAATACTTGTATTCAAAGTATTGTGCTTTTCAGTTGTTTTGGCGAATCGGAAGTGTAAAACAGCTACCTACTAAGATGGGGCTAGGTTATCGGAGCAGATTAGCAGGTCCCTCGTAGGGAATTAGGACCAAGAATTGCTAGTCCCATGGATACACTTGCGCAGGTCCTACAAACAGCCGAAAGCCCGAATGTCGCCCGGGTTTGAGGTCTTACGAAGGACTCCTGCCAAGTCTTGTGGCAGGACTTTCATACGAGCTGACTCTAATACGGCGTATGTCAAACGCAGAAAAAACTTAGGGAAACACGATGCAGTCGATACGTTCAACACTCCAGTCTTCGCCCTTCACCTTCGCGAGTTCCGGCATTGCTTGCTTCCTTAAACAAAGCTTGCTTGGCTTGGACTCCAACCGGAGTCCATTGAACGGAGAGACTCCGGGAAACCGCTCATCGGACTCGTCCGAGATTTGCAACTCAGATTTAGAGACCGCCAACCTCAGATTAACTGACCTCCAAAGTCCTACGTAGGACTCGGCAAACTGACCGGAAGGCAAAATAACATGGGTCCTGGGCAACATGGGTTCACAATCCTAGAACCACCGCTTGTAGCCACTTCGGATCTCGTAGGTGCAAGTGTCTTCGTCCGTCAGGTAGTTTCTGCGCTCGTACTTGACGTAGAGCTCGCCCGAGGGCAGGTGCTCGTAGTAGATGCCTCCAAAGTCGATCCTGACGCTCTTCCCGTCCGGCTGGTCGGCCACTTTGCGCACCTGGTGGTTGAAGCAGTCCTCCTGGGGGAGCACCCCCAGCCACTTGACGGAGCGGCAGCCGCTGATGACGCAGCCTGGCTGCGTGTAGGTCTCCAGCTTGACGACGGCCGAGAGCTTGGCGGGCCGCTCGGCCGTCTGCATGACGATCTTGGCGTCCGTCGACACGTTCACGGGCACCACAGTGTAGCCATATTTCACGTGGTTCACGCAGCCAGTGGAGCCGTCGGCGCAGCGATCCGCGGCGTGAGGGTCCAGCACCCACTCGAAGGAAGACTTGTCCGCCCCCTGGCGCAGCTCAGAGGCGCTGCAGGCTGCAGCTAGCGAGGCCAGGAGGAGGAGAACGAGGGGCGCCATTAGCACGTGATTAGTCGTTGGATTCTGATTTGCGAGAATTTGGGATTGTGCGCAGATAAAACACACTACGGGAGATTATATGCGGATTTATTGATCAAAGCCAAAATGGCTTTCGGTGTGTGAGTTCAAGTAGAATATTCACTTCAAAGGGGAACTACAGCCCAGACTACGCTTGTATTGTGTGTACTTCTTGAAATGCAACCAGGATCTCTCATTTAGGCTGACGCGGTTGCAACTTTGCTCTGTAGCAGACCCTCGGAAGAGTTGGCCGAGTCCGCTTCTTCGGAGGAGTCGGCAACCTTTTCGTGCTCTGCGAGCGTGAGACTTGCCAGTTTGCGGGAAATCCGCTGCGCCAGCAACTGGGACGGATACTCCACCAAGTGGTAGGACACCGTCGCCAACATGATCACCAGTCTCGGTGAGTTTCTTGCTGCAGTCGACCCCCTACTGTCGAGAGAGAGAAGAGAGAGGAAGGATGCTTTGGATGCTGCTTCGAGACGATGTGCAAACCGCCGGCGGCAGGGTGGCGGCCAACCGTGGAAGACTCCACCGTGGAGGTTGTTGGCTTAGATCACCCCGTCCTGCAACTTGCAGGACGGGGTGATCTGGTCTGGAATGGCCACCGTGCAGATTGAAGTTGCCGGTACAGTGCGACCCCAGTTGAACATCGGCTCCGTTCGCGCAAGGCCCGAACTGGGAGAGCTATCGTCGGAATCAACTCGAATCTCACTCTGCTCATAGCCTCCATTTCCATGCTAGCAGCATCCGCGGTTCATTGGGATTTTGTGCTTCACGGGAGACCCATTGAACAATGAAAGTTGGTCAAGTCGAGCGTCTCGACTCGAGACTAACAGGGGGAAAAATTCGGGGGGGGGGGGCACCACTATCGAGGAGGCCACGCTGGGGAATACAGCGCATCATGGTTAGTCAGGCCTCGATGTACTACTGCACATGTAAATTTCAAGCAACATGAATATATGAATAAATGACCATGAAAGATAGCAAAATAAATAATTTATATTAACTTCGGTGAGTAGTGTTGGTAGGTCTTCAGGCCGAACGCGATATCTCGCTCTCATTCACAACCGAGCCATTGCTCCTCGACCTCGTCACAGCTGCAGCCAGCTGCGATCTCCTCCTTGCGCATATTGATCGTCGCTTGCGAGTAGGTGCACTCGACCATCCCCATCTCTTCGTTGAAACAAATCCCGGTACCTTCCGACTCCGACGAGCACTGGCGATACAACACGCCCCTGCAGATGTCGTCATCTTTGCGTTTGCCAGCCAAGACCGCAGTCGGACACGTTGCTTGGGCAGCATCGCAGAAGTTGGAGCTATTGGTCTCGAACTGGTTCAAAATGGCAAGTGTTGCGTCAGTTGGGAGAAGAGATTCGTCCTCCGGCAAGTCGAGACAGCTTCGTGATAACGAGTCGTGTCCGCTACCGTTTCTACTATTACCGTCCTGACTGTCGTCCAACCCGCGGTAACTTGGGAACGTCGTATTGCAGTCGCCCTCGCTCAGAAACCCACTACAACAGGCAGGCACATCTTGCGCAAACACCATTTCCAGTGTGCCCTCGAACTGAGCGACGTCCGGAAGCGACCGAACCAGCGGAAGCCCCTCCAACGCCATGACTTGCAAGGCTGGTAGATCTTCCGTCGACGGGATTTCCTTGATGTTATCCAAATACCCAAAGTAGACGCTCTCGAGGGTTTGAAGCCCGATTAGAGAAGGGAGTGTTTGCAGGTTCGAGTGGTAGGAGAGGTGGACCGTGTGCAGATTTGTCATCGAGGTGAAAAGATCCGTCGGAAGCTTGATGAGGTTGGTGTCGCTCGTGTCTCCCTCGATGTGACTGGGCAAACCATTAGCAATAGAAGAGTTAGTTCAAATAACAAGCACGTTTAAGGTCGTAGTGGCAACATACAAGTACTCCATCTTGGTAAACGATGTTGCCGACCACGACGGAAATTCTTCGACTCCAGTGTGAATGAGCACTCTATAGCATAGCATAAACAAATTGTTGGTACTGTTCGCAGCAACAATGAGCAAGTTGTCATTGCAAGTAAAACGCACAGGTTTCGAAGTCCTTGACACGTTTGGAGCTCGTCGGGGATCGATCCGTTGATCTTCCGATTCACGAGCTGCACGGTTTGGAGGCTGCCGGCAGCCGCCAGTTCTGCCAGCGTCTGCGTTACGTCCGTTAGATTGTCGGAATCCGCTGGCGCCAAGTCGCGATCGACGTACGCTAGGCATTTGCAACCGGAATTCGATGATCCCGGAGTCCACAGAAAAGAGAATTGAACGCACTGTGGGTACGACGAGCACGAGGACTGGGATAAGTGCACAGCGATGGCGGTGTACACGACGCACCCCACACCAAGACAACGAAAAAAATGCCGACAATCGTCCGAAGTCTACGGGTCTTGGACGGGTCAATCTTTGGTTTGACTGAACCCCCGAGAGGCACCACCGCCTTGCAGCTTCTCGAGGATTTTGCTGTTGAACACGGACCCTTCTTCCATGCTGCTCCAACTGCTGTCTGCTGCTCTCTTTGTAGAAGGAGCATCGTAATTTTACCCCACCGGAAGCACGCGAGTAAGCTGAAGCTCAACTTTAGGAAGACGTCCCACGCACTGCGCACTAAAAGACTTTCGAAGTCTGTGCTGAACATGTTCAACTCCTTGGGGCTGACATAGTTGCGGGCTTTACGCTCAAATATGCGGGGAGGGAAGAATTTCTGGCGGATCTTCACAGCCTTGAGGTCGTCGTGAAATACGAAGAGGGCGTAGGATAGGATGAGAGCTGGGAAGAAGACGGCAAATACCGCGTCAACTCTGCAGGGAAAGCAGTAGAATTTGTGAGTCTCTGTCCGTGTGCTCGCCCCAGAAAAAACATTTTTAGTAATCGCACATGGAGTCCTTCAAAATGTGAACTGAACGTGATAAAATGCGACGAGCGCGTTCAACGCCATCAGCGAGGCGTAACAATAGAGCAGCGATGGATCTAGCCCTTGATTCATGTGCTCTCGCAGCGACAGTATCTGCAAAACCACTTCAGGAACCTCCATCAGTACATTCTGAAGGTTGAAGCGCACAACATTTGGGTTAGTCTTCAACAATTCGCAGTGAATATCGGCACTAGGGAATTGCTGCGTACCCAAAATTTCCGATATTTGCCGTCGGTCGACACGACGCTGCGGTAGACCATAACTCCCGCTCGAAGCACCCGCCTAACAATTAGTAACGTGGGGCGCTGCATCAAGTTCTCCTGCTTCTTCACTATTTTCTCCACCGTTGGGATCCTTCGGAGCACAAACTTCCGCTGCTTCGGCTTGGGTTCTTCGGAATGAACGCGGCGAGACGGGGGCTTCAGAAGCAGCAAATACAGCAGAAACCAATACACGCCTACCACGACGAGCAAAATACTGGTAGTTGCGACTTGAATCGATGAAGCGGCCTGACGAGATTGCCAGAAGTGACCATGGTCCAGGCTTTCCGTCTGCAGAATGAAGTTCGCGCTCTTACTAGGTTCAAGGTTCAGGATGATCAGGAGCAAGCTCCACGCACTCGAAAGCGAAAAAATCAGCACCATAAGGCCTACGTATCCCCACCCGACGACGGAGAAACGCCGTCGTCGCCATTGCCACCATGATTCATGACTGGAGTTCGCGAGTTCAGGGCCTCTTTTCGAGGTGTCCTTTGCAGTTCGTGTCGTGGGTGCTTGGGTAACTCGCCATTGCTTTGGGAAGAGCTGCACCATTCGACGCGATGCCGCGAGACTAGTCGAAGTATCTGTCCCTAGTGAATGTACCTGTGCCAAGAGCAAGACTGTCAACCTTCTCTAAAAACAAACCCTTGTAGGCATTTTTAGCCTCGAACGTATTTCCACTTAGCAAGGCAAGTCAAAGTCTTCAAAAACGATTTTTTTTCGTATCGGTCGCCTGCATAAACTTCACCGGCACTGACATTCCAGCGCGACAACTCCAATTTCAGCGACGATCACCGTAATTTCCGCCACCGCCACGACCCACACCGGCGGAGCTCAATAGCGGCGTGCAGTCCGTGAGGAAAGCCTTAGCGCTGCGGGCGGACGGCTGGTTTTCTCTTTCTGTCGGGTTTTCGTCGTTGCTTGCTGGTGGATCTCCCCCGTCTGTGTTAGCTCCGTTTGGTGTTGCAGATTGGTTAGACTCGCAGGTTGTCGACGGCTCGAGCGTTTTGGTCTTGCGGCAACTGATGACGTTTCCCATGGATGATCCTGGCGCCGGAGAAGGTTGTGGAGTGGACAAATGAAGAAAATGATCGACGACTGACAGAAAGATCGTGACTCGCGCGTGATGAAAGTGACTATCTGAGGCGGGTCTTGGTTTCGATTCGTATTCGGGCAAAGCCTTGATGTACTATGGAGGTGACACACAACACCCAAAGTTTGCCAAGATGCAACACCACGATTCTTTGACTTTTGTTATCGATCGGCTTCTCGAGTGTGGAGTGGCGGTGCGATCTGGCGTCATGCAATTGTGCGTCATGAATTTGTAGGCAGTAGAGGCAGCTCCTACATATCCATAAGGTGCGGTCTGGATTACACTTTGTCGGTATCGTAGTGGATTACGAGTCGAGCGAAATAGCAAACACTTTCCTTTGCCGAAAACACGGAGGGAGGAGCGGGAATTTCACTTCGCAATTCCCACCCCAAGACGCACACACACACACACAACGCAACCCAACTTAACTGCGCACTATGCGGCTGCACTTCGTCCTACTTGTTGTTTTGATCTCGTTCCTCGCAAGATGCGACGCAGTGTCGGTAGTCACGGCGGGAGCGAGTCGGACGGCGCAAAGTCGACGACGGACGAGGGAGATGTCAATAAGCGCAACTTTCTGCGACGTCATACGGCGATCACTCCCGGTAACGAAGGCGATGGCGAGGAGCGCGCGGGTCAAGGGCTCATCAACAAATTCCTCGGAAGGCACGACTTCGACATGGCGAAGCTGTCCAAAATGATGGGCGACGAGGCGTTCAAGCTCAAAACGTTTAAGAACTGGGACTCGCACAAGCAGCCCATCGGTAACGATTGTACCTGGACTACAACCCGGACCTCGAGAAGCTACTGCTGGAGTACTTGAACAACTACCAGCGCACGGCGACGAAGTTGAAAAAGCTGAAACCTGGCAAGGTGCTAAATCGTCCCAAGGCTAACGGAGCTGAGCGTCCTGCTGGAAATCGCGTGGCGTTCAACGATAACCCGACTTTCCACGGGCCTTGAAGCACGTGGACATTGCAGTAGTGGGACAAGGTAGACCGAATAAATACACCAAAGGATTGTACCGAGGTTTATAACGAATGCAGCTAACCTTTCCGATGCCCCAAGCTGGAACAGATCGCATCGACCGACTTGCGACACAACGACCTGTCAATAGCTACGGCGGCCGGTAGCTTCGTAAACCGAAACGGGTTGTCCCCAATCGCGCTCGAAATCTCCAGTCTGTAGGAGCCGTAAGAGCCTCGGTGTACAACTCGGGCGGGTAGTCTGCTTTGGTTTTCCCAGCGCGCGCGTCCTCCTCACTCGATCCAGTCGGAGCTATGACCAGCGTGTACGACCCCTTCTTCAAGTACGTAAGCTTGTACGGGTCTCGATAGCTGACGGAGCCGTCGTCGGTACCTTCATCCACGTCGGAGTCGTCCACGGTGAAGAGCGGCGTCGAGTCGTCGCTGGAGAAGAGGAAAAGCATCGAATCCAGGTACCCGGCGTGGCAGTCGCCATTGAGGTCGTAGTACGTGTCGTTGTCTGCAATCTCAACAGATAGCACGTCGATGGCCACGTTGGTGTCGCTCGTCAGAGTGAACTCCACGGTATCAATAGTAACCGACCCAGATGCGAGGATAATGGCCCCATCCAACGACAAACGCGGTTTGAGTGGCAGCTCCTCCTCCGGTGCTGGAGGTGTGTACTCTGGGAATCGCTGGGCATTGGCGACGGGGTTTGATCCATCGTCCACCCCGTCGAACGCGGCGATATCGATCCCATTCGCCTTCAGATCAGCGACGATGCTGACAGCAGGGATGCAGGTGTTCCCACACATTTCGCCGCAGTGGTGCAGTGCCACAACGCCGTGGTCCGAGAACGAAAGCACCGGCGATCCCGAAGATCCACTCTGCGTGTCACCGCTGTAGGAATAGCCCACGCCTCCGCACGAGCTGGAGCTGAGGCTGAGCAATGCCACGTGATTCGTGAAGTCGTCTACCAGTGCGATGCGTTTGCCTTCATACAACGGGTGCTGCGGGATGTAGAGCTGCTCCCCGACCACCCCAGCTCGAGATTTTAGCCGCAGGTAGCCGTACGTTTGGGCGATCTCCGCCCCGTCCGACGGCAACTTGAGCAGCGCGTAGTCGAGCGCTTCGTCGGCGTGAACGAGCTCCACACTTAACGCGACGGGGACACCTGGGCAAGCCCCCCACGAGGTGCACGAAATGCTGTCGCTGCATACTTCCGCCTCCGCCATGAACTCCACAGTGGTGACGCTCGCTTCCGCGTCCGTGGCCACGCAGTGGTAGTTGGTCATGATGTGGCCCTGGTTGCCCAGCAGCCAGCCCGTGCAACCCGCCAAAGCTCCGGGGCCCTTGGGTATGAGCAGCCTCGCCACCGATCGAGAGGCCAAGTAAGCCGTACGAGTTGCCGGGTCGGCGTAGTAGCAAATGACCTCCTTCGAGTTGTCGCTGGCGCAGCCGTGGACGAGATCGGGTGCGTGTTGTCCATGATGACGTAGTAGTACGAGTCCACCACGAAGCCGAAGCACTTGGTGTCGGTGTCCGTCACACTGAAGGTCTCAGCGATGAAATCGCCGTCAGTCTCAGAAATGTTGGGGCTGCCTTCATCCCGGTAAAACTCGATCGTGAACTCCTTCGCAAGGACTGGGGGCGCGAGGATGTTGCTGAAGACCCGACCACTAGGAAAAGTGTTGGAGAGATTGAGCAGTCGGTCGGGGGCGTCGAAGCCCTCCACTGCGCGAAGCACCATAGAGGTACCAGGAGGAAGCCACAGTTTGCTCAGGTGCACGGCCACGTAGGCGTAACCCGAGCCTTTGATGAGCGTGAAGGACCGGAATGGCGTGCTGCTGCCTGGTGTAGCGCTGTCGAACGCCGCTTGGAACTCTGGACACCCCATGTCGATGTTGACGGAGTTCATGCTGGAGCGGCTAGTCGAGTTGGAAGTGGCAGCCCCCACAGTCATCCCACCCGCCGATCCGCCCGTTTCCTGCGCCGTGAAAGTGAAGTCGTCGAGACTGCTCCGATCGGGGATGGGGATGATATTGACCGTCGCATACGTCGCGAGGAGGAGCAGTGCGATCAAAGCCGATGAAATTATCAGCGTGCGATTCCGTTTGCTGTTTGTCGCTTGAAGAGTTGAGCTCGTCGTACGAAGCCGGCGCCACCATTATCGTGGAGTGTTGACGAATGTTCTGGTTGGTCGGCGCACGGAAGGTTGACAAGTGGTTGCTTGGAGTTTTGGTGTTGTCCTGGCCGTTGTTATTAGCTGCATATACTCGCAAAGGAGGAAGTTTTATTTGAGCTGGGGTTGACAGGCAATGACAACTATCGATAGAGAGGATAAGAGCAGGTGGCAAGCTCGAGGACGCTGAAGTATTTTAATGATACACAGGATTTGTCACTCTCCTCCCTTCGCACCGCCGTCTTTGGCATTTCTTAGCTGCTTGTGCATTAGTAAGTGCCCGATCAAACTGTCGTGGTACAGATTTTTCGTTCATGAGTCAACCATCGACTATTGCAGGTTGAAGTTGTAATGTTGCTGATTTGTTGGTTCAGTTACACAAGCCTAAATTAGGTTCTTAAATTCGTATATATTTATTTTCGTGTGTTATGTTGTCTTTAAATTCGGACGACGACATACCAACTTCAATGCTCGATTGGTACTTGCTTTTTGTTTACTACCTCGATACATCAGTGATTCTACTGTCGAGTCCGCGCGCGGACAACAAAATCCAGCAACGCAGCCTCTCACAAGCTTTGAAGTGGTCAATGATCGTCGAATACCCGAATACCTGCAGCCTGAGGCTGAGGGCCGAGCTGCTGCAGACTTGGGAGGTATGTTTGATGCGGGTGCTACTTAATTGCGAGTACACTTCACTGACTTCCGAGTAATTTCACATAAACCTTATTGGTGGCTTAGGAAAGGCGCCGCGTCCGGCATTGCCACCCTGGATGAGACCGAAGGAAGACACAGCAGGAATGTATCTGGGGAAGCAACGCATCGAACCACTTATGTGGATGTAGGGAAGCTAATTGAGAATTTAAGCGTTATCCAGCAGAAAACATCAGATAAGTTGCCCTAAAGGGCTAGTAGCACGTTATTTACGTTCGTGAATGTCATACCGACATTCAACGTTCTTAGAGCGGAGTCAGTAGGTGGAAGCTAACGCAACGCACCAGAGATGGCCAAAAATGTACGGGAAGGCATTGGAGGTAAAGCGATCTGTCAGTACCAAGGCAGCCAGCAATAATAACTGCAATACTGGTCGTTCTTGCAATAATTACTGCAATACTATAACCATACTACTCTGTCGTCGTTGAGGTCGCCGATAGCACATATGCCGTCGGAACTGAGTTTTGAGAATATTATTATCTTGACATTGACAGTCTTGCCTGCTTCTAAGTGAAAAGTACTAGGGTTTGAAGAGTTTATTCGGTTGGCTTGAGACTGCAGTAAGAATTGCAATTCCGCAGCGCTCTGCAATATGTATTGCAATAGCTTGCAAGCTTGCAGTATGGCATTGCAATAAGTATTGGTCAATGCCAATACCTGCAATACATTTTTGGCCACCACTGCAACGCACGAGTTCAAAAGAGGTATATGTACTCGAAAGTCCGAGTATATTACTCTTTACTCGAAAGTCCGCGAAATGTACTCGAAAATAAGGACGACCCCTTTGATGCAGGGCATTTACCAAAGCAAGTCGAATACGAAACGTTTGGGGAATCATATCGTAGGTCAACCTGTAGGATCGCTGATTCAAAGGACAGCCGCTACCAGTAGTTTGATGCTATTGAAGCATAAAGGAAAGCACTAAAGTCGGACTTAATTTCTGATGTTAAATAGCTTAGATTTCTCGCTTGTTATTTGATGTAGCTCGATGCGCTGAGATGATGCCATCGGGGAAACGTGACCGAGCACGTGGTATGATGCCTCAGTGATTCAGATATTTTGTGGATAAACTGAGCAGGTGCGTGCTACACTGACCCTTTGTATCGACCTCACGTCGTACTCCATTAAAATAGCACTAGCGTACAGTGCATTGCAGGCACCAGTCGTACACCGGAGTTGTTGCTTTCTCAAATGGGATCTGGTCAGAAGCGTACAATGTACCACCGGATCCGATCCGGTGGTCTTCATTGAAGTTGCACACACATCCTCAAATCGCAACGACCCTCCAAACAACACGTTGAGAGCCAAACTCTCGCTGGTTTATCCACAAAGCACTCTCGAAACACGATGTTGAGACGAGCAGGCGACCAAGACGCCTTGAAATTGAGGGATGCTTCCGAAAGCATCTCCAACTCGCCGCGTCGATGATAACATATCTGAAGAAGGCACCACTTCAGACTCATACTTTCGACGCTCTCAATGGGAAATGCTTTTACAGGAGTGGGAGGGGCTAATGCCTTAACTGAGGCTTTCATGAAAAGCTATTACTGTATGCTTTCGTGCTACATGTAGAACACTGCTATGGATCAATCTCGAGTCGAATGTATGTTAAACAAAAATGTTGGTTCAACCCTGCCCCTACTTACGGATGTTAAAAAGCGATGCTACGGTTGATACGCGCTTGCCACAGCGTCTCATCCGTAGGTAAATTATACAAAATGAAAACCATATAACCAAATAACTAATGAATATGTATGCTTAATCGCTGGATATGTATGCTTTCCGTGTGGGGATTTGAATGCATGGCTTCAACTTCAACAAGCACACTCAAAATCTATCGATTCTGGTGAAGTTTTCTTGCTAAATTAAGTCTCTGAACGTACCGGCGTAGCAGAAAACAGCGTTCGGTAATCACGCGAAGATCATGGTTGTTGTCACCTCTGGCAATAATAATAATAATATAAGCTAAAAGTTTACAACAACTGCAAACAATGACAAAGTTTTTTTTTCTTTTCAAATCAAACAAGCCTAACGTTACTTGCCTAATTTCCTGTTTTTGTTTAACGCAAGGTCTGAAGTCTCGTGCTTGAAGTTCAAACCTCTGACAGGCTGCCGTGGATTAACGCACTGCAAAACGCCTGACCGCTGGAGATGCTTCAAGCTGCCGACCGTATCTCGTTAGCGTACATGTACATGCGTACGTGCCGTCTTGACTCGCAAACACTGCAATTTCAAACGCCACGACCAGGTGATCGATCTTGACTGTCTGCTCCACTTGCCGCTCCTGGAGCCCACTACTTGGCCGCTCACAATTCATGTGGCCGCCTCCCGCACCCAGCAACGATGACCGCAACGCCCGCACGCCGCTCGCCGTTCTACACGCTCGAAGATGCCAAGATCAGCTTCAACATCTTCTGCTGCTTCTGCGGCATCGGGTCGCTGTCCATGCCGTCCAACTACGCGCGCGCCGGGCCCTATTGCGCTGTTGGTTATGGCGTTCGTGAACATCTACGCCACCATCGCGCTGTCCAAGGTCATCCTGGCTGCTCCTCCTTCCGTCAAGACGTTCACGGATGTCGGCGCCTGGGTGTTCGGCACCCCCGGCCGCTACGCCGTCATGATCTCGCAGCTGCTCGTGTGTCTACTGCTGCCCTGCGCCTTCCTGGTGCTCGGGAGCATGCTCCTTGACGTGCTGTTCCCGGACTCGTTCAGTCAGATCTTCTGGATGGTCTTTATGGCTGTCACGGTCATCCCCGTGTGTATGATCCCGACCTTGAAAGAGGCTTCATCCGCTGCTCTGGCCGGGTGTTTGGGCACGCTGGTCGCCGACGTCATTGGTGTGAGCATCCTCGAGTGGGAAATGCGCGGCCACCCGTCCATCCCGACGCCCGACATCTCGCTCCACCAAGTGCTGACCACCTTCGGCAACCTCGCGCTGGCCTTCGCTGCTGCTGTTGTGATCCCCGATCTGCAGCGCCAGCATTCGCAGCCCGAGCGTATGCCGCGCATAATCACCGTCAGCCTGGGTATTGGCCTCGTCTTCTTCCTAGCCATCGCCATTGCCGGTTACGCTGCCGGAGGCTGCCAGCTCTCGGGTAACCTGCTCTTCTCGGCCGTCAACACCTCGGACCCGTTCGCGACGTCTGCTCTCGGCTTCATCCCGAACCGCGGCGCTGTCATCATGGCCTACCTCTTCATGCACATGCACATTGTGATCGCCTTCTCGACCATCGTGATGCCGGCCTTCTTCATGGCCGAGCGGTTCTTCCTCGGAATGCACAAGGACAAGCCCACCATAGACCAGGAGCAGGGCGGCGTCGAGATCCGAGCCAAGCTCTCCTCGATCGCTGCTGCATCGCCGATGACTTCGGACGTTGAATACAACTACGTGTCTGCGAGGGACAGCGCTCTACAGGTAGTACAAAACTACGAGGACGAGTCGGCCGAGTACCGCGGCAAGCTTAACATGGTCCGGTATATGGGTCTTCGACTCTGCATCATGGCGGGGCTGGTGGTTGCCGCCATTTTCCTGCGCGACAAGTTCCTCGACCTCGTCGACTTCACCGGCGCCTCGGCCGTCACTGTCGGTAGTCTCGTTCTACCGATGATGTTCTACCTCAAGATCTTCTGGAACAAGCTCCCGACCTACGAGCGCGTCACCTCCTTGGTGATCATCGTTGTTAGCGCGATCCTCGGCGTGTACGTCATGATCTACGCCGGTAAGAACCTATTCAATCCGGACACAGACTCAGCCACATTCCCGTACTGCTCAGAGGAGTTCCAGTCCGAGCCGTACTACGTGCACATCTCCACCTCGTCAGCTTAAAGTGTAGCGTGATATTCATCCATGTTAAGCCATAACAAATTCAATTCGATCCACTTCAACATGATTCCCGGCCTCCCCATGCACACATGATCGTTAAACAACCGGCACCCAGCACGGCCAATGCTTTGACGCCTGCAATTTGCGTCTCAAACCACGAAGAACCCCCCGCATCAGATGAAAAGCTGACATAGTGGGCGCGCGTTGTAGTGAGCTGGTGGGAGGCCGTTCGGAATCGATCGCTGCGATCTCTTCTCCGCTAGGCAGTAGGTTACGGCGAGGTGGCGCTCGACGCCGTCAACCACCGGCAGCGCTGCCTGCAGACCCCTCTGAAGGAACTCGTCAACCTGCAGGGTACTGTCATCGCCAGAACGGCCATAAACTGCTGCGAACTATTCGGCGCCAGCAACACAAATCCGCAGCGGAGCGAGGGTGTCGAAGAAATCGGCGATGAACGAGCTCACAGTCATATGCGGAGATTTCGTCCTCAACCACGGAGCCCCTGGACCCGGGGTCATAGTGTTCGCAGCAGTCACAAACATGCTCACGTTGTCCATTTGCCAGTCAAAGATGAAGCCTGGGTGGTCGCCGTCGATCTGCACGGGCGCAAGATACGCGTTGAGCTGCAACGCCACAACCCCCCCCCACAAATCCGGTCAGGCCGGTCATGTAAATCTAGTTTAGTCATCGCCAGGATGAAGCTACTCACCACAGGGATTGCCGCGCGGAGGGAGAAGACGTCGCGTAGACTCTGATCTAACGCTAATGCGTTGGACAACGTCATTTTTTTTTCATTTTGTGCTGTATTTGTGTGACCCTGGTCCATCAAAAATGACGCCTCCACATCGTGTGACTTAAGTCTCAAACAACCACAGTCGGTCCACGTGCATACAGCGACCCATTTTTACTTTGTCATGGGGAACGCGTGGTGCCACAAAGACGATAGTCCAGAAAAAGGAGATGATCGGGTTTTCCGTAATGAGGATCCACCGACAGAAGGCGATCAGGAGGATACAGACAGCGACGAGCAAGACACTCGAGACGCTCAAGCTGCAAACAACAATCGCAATAAGCGACGAGATCGAGGGCTTAAGATGTACGACTCCTGCGACGACGTCTGGATGGATCGCATGTGGCTTTACGATCTAGATGATCAGCAAACTCCCGATGCTGTTGCTTCTGGGCACGACTGTGGAGACTACTGTGGAGACCACTGTGGAGAATGCGACCTCGAGTGTCATGATGCTCCTGACTGCAGTGACTGTGGTGATTGCTGGTGTGACTGACGGTGTCCGAGTAATGTTATGGCGCCGTGTTGCTAGAATATACTTTCAATTCGTTTGAAATATCGCTTCTCGTTTCGTCATGTGCATCCGAGCCACGCTTCTGCGATCTCGTCACACGAACACCCGGCTGCGATTTCAGCCTTCCGCATATCAATGAGCTCTTGTGAATGAATGCACTTGACATACCCCATGTCTTCATTGAAGCAAATTCCCGGACCTTCAGACTCGGACATGCACTCGGTGTAGAGCACACCGGTACATGTGTCTACTTCTGCGAGCGCGAAGGTCTTCACAGCGGTCGGACACGTCGCCTGGGCTGCATCGCAGAAGTTCGATACGTTGGCTGCAAATTCATGGAGAAAGGCGAGTGTAGCATTTGTGGCCAGAAATTTGCTCTCATCAGGCATCGCGAGACAAGTTGATGGCAACGAGCTTTCATCGTCAGTGCAGCAACTTGGGAAGCTCGTGTTGCAGTCACCCTGGCTCAGAAACCCACTGCAGCACGCAGGCATATCCTGAACAAACACCATGTTAAGCGTATCTGCATACAGCTCAATGTTCGGCAGTATTCGAACTTGTGGGAGGCCTTCGAGCGCCATAACTTTGATAGACGGGAGATCTCCAAACGAAGGCAGCTCGGTGATGGAATCCAGGAATCCGAGGTAAATACATTCGAGAGCGTCGAGTCCGTCCATAGCCGGAAGCTCCGGTAACGCAGCGTGATATGAGAGGTGGATAGTATGGAGACGGCTCATCGACGTGAATAAGTCGCTGGGCAGTTCCATAAGGTTGGTGGCACTTGCAGATCCTTCGATATGGCTAACACACGAAACAATAGTCAGAACAATCATCACCACTTTGCTCAAAAATGTCAATAAAACTTACAGATATTCCAGCTTGGAAAAAGATGAAGACGCCCAGGAAGGAATTATTTCCACTCCGGTGTGAATCAAGACCCTGTAGAACACAGAATGAATATCCAGAACGGCAACGATACCAACATACGAAAAATCGCGTACAAATTTCGAAGGCCTCGGCAGGATTGAAGCGTATCGGGAAGTGATCCGCTGATCTTGCGGTTAACCAGTTGCACAGTCTGCAAGTTTCCCGCTGACGCCAACACCGCAAAAGTCTGCGTCACGTCGACCAGCTCCTCTGACTCTGTCGGTGCTAATTCGCGATCGACGTAGGCAAGACACCCACACGCATCGTTCGACGCCCCAGGGACCCATTGATACGCAAATTGAACGCACTCCGGATATGGCGAACAGGCATTGCCCGATACATTCACCGCGACGACAGTGTACACGATGCACCCGACACCAAAGACCACGAAGAAGAATCCAACCATCATTCGAAGCCCAAGCCGCAGCATTTTTCTTTTCTTGCCCGGGACTTTCAGAGGCGCCACAGTCTTTTCGCTCCGAAGCTTGCGCGTGGATGTGGAGCTCCCAGCTTGGGGATTTTTGAGCTCACGTTTGATAAGGAGACTCGTGATCCGACCCCATCGAAAGCACGCAAGTAGGCTGAAGCTGAGCTTGAGGAAAATATCCCAGCTACTGCGAACCAAGAGGCTCTCGAAATCTGTGCCGAACATGTTCAGCTCTTTGGCGTTGACGTAGTTGCGGGCCTTGCGCTCGAACATGCGCGGGGGGAAGAATGTCTGGCGGATCTTCACAGTCTTGAGATCCTCTTGAAACACCGAGAGCGAGTAGAAGAGGACGAGGCCCGGGAAGAAGACGGCAAACACCACATCGACGCTGAACATAGGCATAGTGTCAGAGTTAGACGGCGGTGTGTACTGCAAAAACACATCAAAATGGTCCTCACATGGAGTCCTTCAAAATATGATGAACTGTGGGCTCATTCCACCGGAACTGGATGCCGTAGAAGGCGACAAGTGCGTTGAAAGCCATCAGCGAAGCGTAGCAATAGAGTAGCGATGGTTCGAGGCCTTGAGCCATGTATTCTCGCAGCGTGAGTATTTGGAACACGATTTCTGGTACCTCCATGAGCACTTGCTGTAAACCATACAACCTGTAAGCATCAGCGTAGCTGCCAATTCATACAAAGCCTCACAAAACTGTTTCCTTACCCATTCCTTACGATATTTGCCGTCGGTCGATACTACGTTGCGATAGAATTTTGCAACAGCTCGACCCACCTGCTGACATGATTTTTTCTGCTCTCCTTTCTTGGCTTCCGTAGGAATTTGCTGTGTTTTGCTCTTGGCTACTCCCGGGCGAATTCGACGGGATGGAGGTCGGACTAGTAGCAAGTACAAAAGATACCAGTACACCGCAGTAACCACAAGCAGTAGAGCCACCGTCGTGGCCTGGATCGATAACGCTGCCTTGTGCGACTGCCAGAAGTGTCCATGGTCCAAGCTCTCCGTGTGTAAAATAAAGTTTGCACTTTTGCTGGGCTCGAGGTTCAGGACGATGAGGAGCACACTCCACGCACTCGAAAGCGAGAAGATGAGAACCATGAACACAACGTATTTCCAGCCGATCGCAGAGAATCGACGCTGTCTCCACTGCCACCAGCTTCCTTCCGTGCCTTGTTTTAACGCCAGCGATGTCTCTGTCGTGGGCCCTTGAGCTACTTTCCATCCTATCGAGTAGAACTGCACCATTTGCACGCAAGATGAACGCGTACTACACGGCGAAGCAATCCACCGCCAGACTGCTCTAAAAACAACCACGTATTGAGCAGGGGAGCATTATTTTAGCACGGAACGAGTGTCTTCCAATTTGTTGCGCTATCTCCTGATGAAGCTAGGCGTGGATACTCAAGCTGAAAGATTAGTGGCTGCTTTCAGTCACCGGCGGTAGGCTGGCACCACTAGGAGTTGGGATGGAAGGCCTCTCCTGGGTATTTTCAGCGGCTCTGGGGGTATCGATCGCTTCTTCGTAGCTCTTGGTGCTCGCATCGTCGGCATTGTTCGTAGGCGCTTTGACGACGTCCTCCTTCTTGGCCTTGTAGCAACTGGAAATGTTACCCATGGATGACGGACGATTCGGAGTGTAGAGCTGCTTGGACTTGAGGCGAAGATCGGAAAGTGAACTGTCTGAAAACTGTGTCTGTATGCTCCAGGAATCTGTACCCCTCTTTCATCGTTCAGAACATCAGTCTAAAAGACTGAAAGACAGCCGCCGACTTTGACCACAACAGATTGACACGTTGCTATTCGCTCAAGCTGCTTCATGTTATCAGTTTAATTCTGCTCGGACGGTCGTATCGGAACGATCTCCAGCACTCCCTTCTCCATCGGCTTGTTCTTGACGAGAAGTGATGATCCGTAGACGCCCTTGCGCAGACGCGTGAGAGGGTACACAACCGTGTTCTGCTGAATTAAGGTGCACGGATCCGTGACGGACGAGCAGCCGAGCTGACTGCCGTCCCCAAGGATGACACCCGCCTTCCTTCTGCCCGTATCGTAAGTGACGCCGTCCACGTCAATCGTCAAGTTGGACCCCGAGAACAAACTCAAGTTCGCTGTCGTCACTTGGTTGCCGAAATGGCTCTTGAACCCGCACACGCTGTCTCCGCAGTACCCTGGATGGCACAGCTCCGCGTCGTCTAGAATCACCGAGTTCTTCACTTCCCCTCTGAGCACGACATTCCGTCCCACGATCACATCCCCTCGAATGTACGTGCCGCTCCTCAGCGTAGTCCTCGCACCAATGATCGCCGGTCCCTTAATATACACATCCGGTTCAATCCGAACGTGCTTGCCAATGTGAATCGACCCTTCCGACAGATCGAAGGTTCCCCCCAGCACGTGGGCGTCTGGCAGCACAATGAGCTTCCTCTTCTCCACTTCCTCCTCTTCCTCCTGTGTCACCGCGGACCTGGACCAGCCGTACGACTGTCGCCTTGCTGACCCCGTGCTCTCGGTGGACGGGCGTCTCATGGGCCTCCCCTGTCCCTCCTCCTCCAGGTTGATGATCTTCTGCGGGGCGAAAGTCTGAGTCCGGACCCCTGGGTAGATGACGATCTCCGCCGTCTCGTTGGGGTCGAGCCACTCTGGCAGCCGCCAGCGTGTCTTGATGCGCGGGTACGACGACGAGCGCCCGTGGACACTGGGGCGCGGGTCGTCGCTGTCCTCCGAGTCGGACTCTTCCTCGGCCAGAGCGCGGCCGTCGCTGTCGAGCCTCGTGGAGCTCTGCAGCGTCGTGATCTGCGTGTTCTCCGCCCCGAACGAGGACATCCACGCGTTTTTGGCGAAGAACTTGACGAGGTACGGGTGGATGGCGTCCAGCACGGCCAGCACGTTGCTGCAGCCGTCGAAGAGTCGGGCGTGGTCGAAGTCCTTGAGCCTCTCGGGGGAGAAGTACGCGTCCAACTGAAGTGCAACCGGCACGTCTGCGTCCTCCAGCGCCCCGAGGTCAAGAACTTGCTGGTTGCGCGCAGATCCGTTCACTGGAAGCGGAGATACGTCGTCTTGAGCAGATTCGGAGCCCTTATCCGACGTAGACTTTGACGCCGATTTTTGGACTGAAGAGGCTGAAGTGGAGCGAGACGAGGTTGAGTGAAGGTAGAGCTGGATCAGCAGCGTCGTAACCGCAGATGTGGCCATGCAGCAGAGCAGCACACTCGCCGTGAGCGCCGCTGGCGCTGACGCCCCCGCCATGAGATGTCTGATCTAAGACTGTCGAAGTGTAGCGATCTTCCTGCGCACAACAACAACGTGTACCCCAATAATGGTACAGATGCGTAGAATACTCGTGTGATGCACACCAACTCAGGCGCACTTGGTGTTTGTATTGAGGAATCCGAGCAAAAGGGGAAGCTCACCGATGGATTCGGTGCGCGCCAAGCACGCGGCGGAGCTCGAGGCCAAGCGCAAGAAGCTCGAGGAGATCCGCAAGCGCAAGGCCGCCGTCAGGTGCGTCCCCCCCCCCCCCCTCCCTTCATAGTCCCTCTGTGTCAACCCTCCCTGATGATGGCTCTACGCTATGGCATTTATTAAAGGGCCGCGGAGGAGTCGTCGGCTGCGTCCGAGAGCGTGAACCAGGCCATCGGCCAGCAGGAAAACAAGTTCGATGACTTCATCCAGAACATCCTGAAGACGTCCGGGGAGAAGGAGGAGAAGGCCGGCGAGGACGACGCCAAGGCCGCGGAGGACGCCGCAGTGTCCAACTCGCTGTCGCTGGCGGAGAAACTGTCCTCCTTGTCCACCGTGGCCAGCGTGGCCGAGATGCACATCCAGCCCACGCTCGTGGAGACGTACACCAAGCACACGGAGACGGACATCACGCTGGAGCACGAGATCTTCGTCAAGGACGACGGCGCCACGGACATGGAGGTGGACGACATGGGGGACAATTCTCAGAGGCGTCCAGGCAGTGTGGACGGATCCACGGGCGGCTCGCCGTCCTCCCCGCGCAGTCGCAACTTGACGGTGGACACGGAAATGTCCACCGCCGGGACCGAGACCTCTGCAACAGCATTGTCCGCTGAGGAAAGGACCCAACTGATGCAGTCCGACGCCATGGAGGCGTTCCTGAACAAGGCCTCGCGTGTCATTGAGCGCGTGCTGAACACGTCCAGCAAGTACGATATTATGATCGACTACGGCGCGGACGTGGAGCAGGACAGCGTCGTGGAGGAAGCCATCGAGTCGCTCAAGCAGCAGCTCGTCTTTGCGGACGAGAAGTGGTCCAAGCACCGCGCTGTCACGGATGTGGACGTGTCCCCGTTCTACCCGGAGCTCACGCTCGTGGCGTACACTGCGCGCGACTTCTTGGAGGAGGAAGACAAGGACGATGGGATGACGTCTCAATGGGACACGATGGGCAATTCCGCGACTGCGGCACTGACCGAGGTGGCGTCAATCACGGAAGGCGTGGTGCTCTTGTGGTCGACGGCACTGCCTGGCCGGCCAGAGTACCGGTTTACTTGCCATTCACAGGTTACTGCCGCCTGCTTTAACCCGTTCGATCGTCATATGATCATTGGCGGCACGTACTCTGGACAGATCGTAATTTGGGACACCCGAGCGAAGAGCGCTCCAGTTCAGAAGACTGCGCTGTCAGCATTCAGCCACACACATCCGATCTACGCCATGGCGGTTGCCGGCACGAAGACCTCGTACACGTAAGTGCATCGCTTCGGAGACCTACATACTTCAACTTGCAAACTAACACTCGTCTATTCTGTAGCCTGATTTCAGCGAGTACGGATGGCCGCGTATGCGTGTGGGACATTGACCACCTGCAAAAGCCGCTGGATATGCTGGACCTTCGCATTTCGCTCTCCATCGTGTCCAATTACACCTCTGTCAACACCTCCGACAAGAAGATGGAAGCATCGGTGACATCGTTTGCGGTTTTAGGCAAGGAAATCAAGGAGCTGTTCATCGGTACGGAGGCCGGTAAATTGTACTCGACAAAGGTCGACCAGCAGAAGAACAAACCTGGAGCTGCCGACGATAGTTCCAGTGATCCTGACAAGAAGAACAGGAGCAGCCTTCTCGGAAGCAGCACTGGAGAGCTGGTCCGCGAGGTTATCGTTGACGCAGTCTCGAAGGAAGGCTCTCATTTCGGTCCAGTCACAGCGATGCACTTCAACCCGCTGTTGCCGATGCACCGTGACAGCCTTTTGCTTACGTGCTCGCTGGACTCGACGGTCAAGCTATGGAGTATCGAGCACCCAGACTCCCCAGTTCTGTCATTCGAGCCGTCGAGCGAATACATTAGCGATGTGCGATGGTCGTCCGTGCATCCCGCGTTGTTTGCGGTTGCCGACAGCAGCGGCACCGTCAGTATCTGGAACATCCTGAAGGACGTTGAGGTGCCCGCTGTTTCTGAGAACATCAGCAAGAAGTCTCTGAACAAGGTTCGATGGAGCGCCGACGGAAGAAGTGTGATTACGGGCGATGCCGACGGAAAGTCCTTCATCTACGAAGTGCCCGCTGATGTACGTTATCTTCTCCACTCTTGCTGTCCTTGTTCACCATAGCTGACTTGGTTTTTGTTATGTAATTCTAGATCGCACTTCCTCAACCCGACGACTTGTCTCTCCTGGAGGGCAAGGTGGCTACCTCAATCGCGGCAGCAGCGCTCTCCAAGCCATAAACACATTCTTAGTAGACAAGTAGATGCCAAATTGGCTTGAAGGGAAATTTGAAGTCGATTGTTTTGAGTTCACCGATCATATCTGTGTTTGTTGCGAGCGTTGGACGCAGAGCAAAGCGAATTCCTTATAACAGTTACCCGATCGAACCCCTTCAATATACTACCTCTGAGCGGAAAACAACGCACCTAGCCAATCAGATTGCATCCTGTTCAGAACGATACCCTTGTAAATCCGATCGTTTGAATTGCGAATCTCTCGCCCATTTTTCTGGACCGCACAACTTCCTCTAGTGCTCATTCGAAGATCTACAGCCTCCCGCTCAAGACGCAGCCTCCTGTTCAAGACGCACTCTCCTGCCCATGAAGCAAGCAATCGATGAAGAACGGCAAGCCGTTTGAGAGACGCTGCTCCTTCGCAGCACCAGAGGTGTGCTGAGCCCTGGGGACATTGTCCAGACTGCAGCACACTTTCACTTAAGCCGTTTCGTCGTCGCGCGCATTTGGGAGAGAGGGATTAGTTCGATGGGCGACCGCGTCGCTGCAGTTGTCAAGTCAAGAAAGAGTGTGCGTGGCAGAAAGAAGCTAGACCGAGCAGTCCTCTGCGAGCATGTGTCAGCCATGCCCGTCAACGAGCGTGAGAACCACCGCACGATCCAACAGGCGTCGAATACAAGTTCCTATCTTGTCCAACAGTTGATCAAGGAGGGCTACATGAGGCGGGCCCTGAGGCACACACGTCCCCTGCTTACGGCATCGCATAGGGTGGCGCGCCTGAAGTTCGCCGTGAACCACGTGAAGCTAAACGGAGACGGGCAGTACTATTTCGACCCAATGTTCGACGTAGTCCACATTGACGAGAAGTGGTTCTACGTCAAAAGATCGGCTAGCGTGTGTACGTGCTGACGGGCAAGGACGGCACACCCCTGGAAGAAGCTCCCGTACAGTACGTTCAAAGCAAGCGTCACATCAAGAAGGTGATGTTCGTGTGCGCCGTGGCGCTGCCACGCGGCGACTGGGACGGCAAGATAGAGCTTTGGCCTGTCGTGGAAACCTACATTACACAACGCTGGAGTGTAATGTAGGTATCCACGACAGTAGGACGCTGAAGTGCTCGCTGCTGGACGCGCCGACGGATGGAATATCCGACTCAAGAACCAACCTGCCCAAAGCCCAGATCTCAATTGCCTGGATCTCGGCTACTTCTGCAGCATACAGTCTCTCCAGTCTCACACCAGCCCACGGACCACGGGGGATCTCATCAAGGAAGTTGAGCTCGCGTTTGCAGAGACTACGGTAGAGACTCTCAACAAGACATTCTTAACGCTGCAACTTGTCATGAAGGAGATCATGACCAACGAAGGGCGCAACAACTACCGGCTCACGCACATGCACAAGGACACGCTGATCAATGCTGGCCAACTCCCCACCACTCTGATGTGTGCTGCCGAGATCCTCTTCAGCGCTCACTGCGCAGCTTCGTGCTGCCCAACCTCGTCCGGTTAGTTGTGCTGGGCAACGTCCCTCCCCACCGCAGCTGATACCCCAGCACCAGCCCTCGCTACTACCCTCTGCATTTGAGACTTCAGACCTGGATCTTTTTCTTTTGTAGGGCACTTCATCAAACCTCTGCAAATCCTATATCGGTTATCAAAAACGAGGCGGAGCCATGCGCAAATATTTTTTGAAGGTGCATTATTTTCAGCACAGAGGTAGTAGGCAACCCGGAGCGTTGCTCCGGGAGGGTACACAGGTCGACGAATAGTTTCATGGACGATGATAACGGATAATAATTGAGTAAATCCCAAAGTTGTTTTGTTTTTAATCCTTAAAAGCACTACCAGCCCAACTCTCTAGTTGATTCTAACGTGGGCATCTACTGCGGCTGCTTCGCAGCCGCAGCATCTGCCCGAGAATGCGTAATTGAACAAATAGTTGCGCACATCGAAGTGCATCGATACGGAAATGATGATTCAGCCAAACCTTTGTGAGGCTGGTAACGAGCAAGCCCCGCCCTTCTTGATCGTGGTGGGTTCTCAGGAACCGAAAGTCACCAATTGAGGTTGCCTGGTCTGATGAGGCCATCGGTGACATAACACCCTGGTCAGCGTCCAATGGCTGCGTTGGCGCCAGCAACGAGAGAGCTATTTCATTCATTTTGCAGGTAAGGTATACTGTGCTCATTTTTGTACTATGTTGTGTGCTAACGATCAGACGAGAGAGCTACAGTAGCGGAACGAAGGAGAGACGCATGGTGCGCTGATCTTGACCATTTAACTTGAGGATGTTAGCTCAGTGACGAGTGGGGGATAAATTGCGGAATGAGATATACGCTAATGGGCCAATTCCTTGGAAGTGGGTGCTTCAACGCAGGGCAAAAAGTCTTGTTCAAACGAACGATGCTCGTGTCACTGTCGAGTTGAGCTGATTGGTTTGGCGAGAGACACGAGGTTGGGCATCTTCGGCTAAGAGTGATTGGGTATTGAGCAGATTGACATGTAAAAAAATGCAGCCTGCAGCTAGACAAGTCATGTTGTTCATCTCCAGCTAAGCTTGGTCGATTGTGGCGCAAATTGATACGCCTTCAGCGAAGCCATGACGCTCTCATAGTGTACTAGAGCGTCCGTAAGTGTTTGAATGCAGGTTTTGGTCAATAATAAACGATTAGCATCAACCTTTGGTAAATAATGTGCATAAATCTTGGCATTTATCGACGGGTACCCGATTCCGGCAGATATTAGCTAAACATTACAATTAAGAAAGAGAGACCCGGTTTGGTACCCGGTTTTGGAAAGTTACAAGTTTTTTTCCGGGGCCAAGCACAGGTCTTCGACCTGTGAATATTACGGAGAGTAAAACTAAGTTACGAGTGAAGCTTTATCCAAAACCCAGGAGCTCTTCTTCAAGCATGAAACTCGAGCGGAAACTCCTGCGAGTTATTGTACTTGCGGCACCACCTCTCAAACGCCTCTCGGACGGGAGCCACCTAAAACAACGCAGTAAACGGGTAAGAATGCAAGAGTGATAACTGTATCGAAGCAGCGATAACTTACCAAGTTCGGCTCCTTCACGAAGACTCGAATGCAGTACTCTTCGAACTTCCGCGGACTGAACATTTCGTACGCACACTCGGGCAGACGGAAGCACCGGGCACTCGCCGTGGCGTTCTTGGAATAAAATCGAATGTGCTGGAGCGGGTCTTCCTTTCCCTTCCCGTAATGAACGCGCATGAACTCGAGGATCACGTTCTCGTTCTGATCAACAAGCGATCGGCGCTTCGAGCAACGCAAAACCTCATTCAGGAGCATGTCCTCCGTTTTCTGCTGCGAGTGATCGGTTATCGCTGTCTTGCCGACGAAGCTGTAGTACGGCTTGGAGTAGATGCGATTTAGCAGCGACCTCGCTTCTTGCAGCCCAGGTTCATCGCTCTCCTGGACTTTAAGAAGCACACGATCATCAAAGTGCTGGTAAGCCTCCATCGAGCTCATTATCTCCGAAATGCGCTTTCCTTTGATCTTCAAATGATCATTTGCCGAGATCAGAAGATCACATAACATGTAATCGATCGCACGAACGCCTTTGTGCTGATATACAGACTGATGAAGCTCGTAGCGAGTCCGAAAAGCCTGCATGATCTGCCCCGGCAGCTTCTCGGGAAAACACACCACCATATTCTCCTCAGGATCTTCGCGATCCACCAACACTCGAGCATTGCGGATCAGCAAGTCTGTATCGCACGACATTTTGGCCCCAGTATGGAGCGAGTCGCGCATGAAGTAGTCGAGCTTGTCCACGTCAAGACCGCTGTGGGCGTTATTCACGATATCGTACAGGAAGCGCTGGTTCCGGGACGGTCTGCCACATAGAACGCCGTTGGAATTGGGCAGAGGTCCACCCCAAATGAGCTCCTTGATGAAGATCACGTCCTGTTGCGTCAGTGCGTAGTCCTCAACGCAGATATTGTTCTCCGCCAGCAAGAAGTCGAACATGTCGACGGAGCCCTGCTCGTGCGACCACTTGAAGGACTCGCTGATGAGCTTCTTCTTGCGCAGTTGATCAAGGAACAACCCGTCAAAGACGTGGCTGAACGGCCCGTGGCCAAGGTCGTGGCACAAGCCCGCGATCTTGATACACAGTATGTCTTCCTTTGTAATGGGCAACCATGGCTGGTGCGAGCGAATGCTCTCCATCATCTTCTCAGCGAGGTAGGCCACGCCAAGGCAGTGCTCGAAGCGGGAGTGCGTGGCTCCAATGTAAACATGGTTGGCAGCCCCAAGCTGATGCAGATTACGAAGCCTCTGGAACTGCCACCATCGCAACAGCAAACAACAAATACAAGTCAGCGGGCTTCATCGTCCAGCCTCAGAATGCATCTCATAGTATTCCATACTGTACCTGCAACGTATCAATGATCTTCATGCAGATCGGCTCGAACGTCATCAACCCATGTACGCTGTCCATGATCTGCAGCAAAAACACGACAAATGTTAAACAGATCTGCACCATTCCAATAACGTGAGTAAAAGATCTCCTGCTCGTACTTCTTTTCGCTCGTTCAACTTCAACGTGTCCTTCTGCTGCTTCATCTCCTGCGTCTTGAGCACGTGGCTCCACTCCGCCGTCTTAACTCTGTCTATTTCCATCTCCACCTGCATCCCTAGAGAAGCAGAAGCACCAGTGCAGACGCCCCTTTCCTCAGCACTCAGCGCGTCCTCCTGCGACGAGAACAAGTCCGCATCCGTTAAGGTACCGGCGTCGTCCGAGGGCGCCTCGCTGGGCGTCGACTGCAGCACCGACACGTCAGTGGCGTCCTGTAGCTTCTGTCGCTTGGCTGGCGGCTGGCGCTGCCGCCTGTAGGCCGCCCAGAGCGTGTCCTGCTTCCTGCTGCTGCTGCTCATGGCGAGTGCGGAATGCGGAATGGGGAAAGGGTGCGCAAGTTTCCTTTCGTACTTAGTGCGGAAATGACAATCACTCTCACAGTTGACTTGGGTTTTGTATTGGATCTTGCTGCTGGACGATTCGAAAAGGCAACTTCCACGGAATCCAAGGTGCTTCTAGCAGTTCTCGCTCACTTGACGTGCATTCTTGGTATCTTATGCCTGCCAGCTCTGAGCTTTTTCCGTACGAATACCGGGTTCGATCCTCTCTGGCTTAACTGAAAGCTCGGCAGTGCATCTAAACCATGCCCAAGGCACGTAGTGGTGGGTGGGCTGAAGTCTTCTCATCGAGCGTAAGGGTCACCAGCCTTCTACCAACTTCGACCGTGATATACATGTACTATTACCATGATTTAGCCCGCACCACATCCGAGCCACGCTTCTTCAACAACATCGCAAGGCGGGCCCACATTCCTTTGAATCTGCACCTTGCGTAGGCGCACGTAGTCGTCATTGACCACACACATTAACGCTTGTAGGCGGAAGTTGATGCAGATGCCAAACTTGCCGCTGTTGGGAGGAAACTCACAGCGTCGGTAAGGAACCCCGCCACAGACTTCTATTTGAGACTGAGAAAGGAAATCCACGATCTTGGCCTTGTCGAAGCCTGAGCGAATGCACAAGGTTGCGTTAAACCTCTCGAGAACTCTTTGAGTAGCTAGAGTAGGTAGAGGTGATTTTTCATCAAGGCACGGAGAGGGCGGAACTTCGAACACAGAGTTCCCGGCGCAAAACCAATCGGCCGGATTGCAGGTACCTCTAAACCCATTACTTAAGTACAGCAAATGGGGCATATACCGGCGATCACGAAGTCCTCGACATTCTCCAGTTTTTCGAAATCAGGGATAATTTGGAGCGATTCCATATACGACACCGTGATGTGTCGTAGCCTTGGTACTTGGTCTAGTGACGGAATTTCTCTGACGAGATGTAGAGTGGCAAGGGTCAAGCTACGGAGGTTTGGTACACCACTAAGTGCTGGAAGCCGCAGCAGCTTTGGATGCATACCTAGATGGATCATTTGGAGGGACGGCATATTGCTGAATAAATCTTCAGGCAAATAGGTTAAGCTCGGGCGTAGCTGCTTCCCTTGAATATGCCTACAACAGTTTAGATACTTCTTGTCAGGGGAGACCTTTCAAGAAGCACGCACACCTACGCATTGCGTACAGGAATTGGAGCTGTGTCCACTCTGTCGCCCAGTCAGGAAGTGCCTTCGTTTCTGTGTAGACCATCGAGCTATATATCACACGAAATGGAGGATGTGAATACTGGAATTCCTTCTAAGCTATGATGTGTCAGAGGGTCTACGTGGCAGGGATCGGATCAAGCACTTACAGATATTGAAGATTTTTGCACGTCTGCAGTTCTTCCGGCCAGTCCGGGAGAGCACGATTGACAAGCTGCAAGTTCTGCAGCTTACCTGCAGCCGATAATGCTTTGACTTTGTCATACACGTTCACAGGATTGATCCATTCTTCGAAGGTCTGCGGTGTGCGGTAAATGTCCACGAGTATTCGACATGGACACACCTCACCTGTCTTCCAATGATACGCATATACCACGCACTCTGGATACTGTGCGCAGGCCGCTTGAGAGCTGGTCACTGCGCCTTGTGTATACACTACAACTGCAGCTCCACATGCAACGAAGATCGCTGCAAAGATTCTAGGTATACGGCGTTGTAGCCGGAAAATTTCAGCCAGCGTTTCCCACGTCGATCGTCTTGATTTTTGTAGCCGTGAGGTCTCCCTCATAAGGTCAATGACGGTGAGAAAGCGTAGGCAAAACGAAAAGTTCATGCTGAGGTGCAGTACTAGGTCAGAGTATGACAGGACCCGTAGTGAGTTCAAGCTTGTGCTGAATAGGGATCGCTCAGCTGGATCGACGAACAGCCAAGCGCGACTCAAAACTTCCCGGTGGTAGAATTTCAATATTCATGCTGAAGAGCTCGCGGTCAAAATGATAATTGTTAGCGCTGTACAGCAGCACTAGGATCGGGTATAGAATAGCGGCGATCAAGTCGAAGCTATAACAACGTTATGAGATGTGCATTAGAGCTCATTCAATACCAAGTAATAGTAACCATCGACGTACAATGAATCGACGAGAATTTCATGAAGCGCCGACTGGTGACCAAAGAGGATGGTGGCTGCGACTGACACACAGGAAGATGGCGTATCCCAAGACCAACAGCTTGGCTGATCCGTCTTGGAGTAGCTCACTCAGCATGATACTTTGCAGGGTCAGATCACCTATCTTTTGCAGTAAATTCTGTGATGCAAACAGCGCACAGTGTTAGTGGTCGATCCCTTTGCCCAGACGCAACCACGGGGATGCTTACCCAAAATTTACGGTACTTCCCGCGAATTCCACCAACATCACCCCAATATGCACTGGCGCGGTGATAAATGACACAAAGAACATTGGTCCGCCCTGATGACAGACGAGTTCGGTATGAATATCCATATCTGCACGATACCAGTTTGTCAAGATCTTAAGGCTGTAGTCTGGGTCTACAATCAGCCAGAACTGTCCGTCTTCAAACTCAGCCGTATTCATCAGATTATTCGCCGTTGCATTTGGCACAATCGCCAGCACGACTAGCCACGTTGTTCACAATATTGAGATGAGAACGATGATCACAAGCACCAGACCAAACATTCCAAACGCGTCCCAGAAGCTGATTGCTCAAGCTCTCGAAAGGAGAGCGAATTGATCCTTTTGAGGGAGCCGACAGCAGGTAAAACTTGATTGCTTTTGGCGACGTACTAGACGTTAGTGGTGCTAGGAGAGCACGTAAATTCAGGTGCCGAAGCCATCTTGCATTCACGTAAGAGTTGAAGAAACGCTAGTGGTCGTGCTGGTGCAATGTGAGTTGACTGAAAATATCGAGTGGCAGTGTGATACCAAGGATAGAGTCCGTCATGGCTAAATTGGCATGACATGGGCTGTTCCGTGGATGCGCTGGCATCCGTTACCCACTTTGTAGTGAAATACTTCGTTTAAAAAAAATGGAACACATGGTATATTTAAAAAATAAAGTAAAAGTTTCAGCAATACATTACTGAGCGACGAATCAAGATGTAAAACAGGAGGGATGTCAGTAATTGCGCTGCTGATGAGTTACGTGTTACTCTTTGGCACCTGTGTTGTATTTGAATTCCTTACCGAAAGGCGCTACCACCTCCGGGTCTTCGCTACAGTGCTATCACACCCTGGTGCATCCCCATAGAGAAAGATGGTGAGCTGGTATGGTAGCAATCGTGAAGTGAAGGGCGAGGACGAACTGTCCCGATAGTAATACACTCTCCGGAGGGAGAATACAAACAGTCCTTTTCTCGTATTTTTGCGTTAGCGACTAGCCTTTTTGTTGTATAGATCTGAAAGCAATCGAAGTACAAAGGTTTCTTACCTTCTTTCCCAAATCTATCATGTATCCACACAATATATTCGGCTACGTCTGAAATTCAACCGGATACACTTGCGAGTTGTTGAACTTATGACACCACTTTTCAAACGCCTCTCGAACAGGTGTCACCTACAAGAAAATAACACAGCGTCAGTTTTCGACCTTCCAATCCCCGAGCCTACACCAAATACTTACCAGGCAGGACTCCTTCACGAAGACTCGAATAGAATATTCGTCAAACTTCCGCGGACTGAACATTTCGTACGCACACTCGGGCAAGCGGAAGCATCTGGCGCTCGCAGTAGCATTCTTCGAGTAGAAGCGAACGTGCTGGAGCGGATCTTCCCTCCCTTTGCCGTAATGAACGTACATAAACTCCAAAATCACGTTATCCTTCTCGTGGACAAGCGCCCGACTTGTAGAGCATCGCAGCACTTCGTCCAGCAACATGTCCTCCGATTTGTGTTGTGAATGATTGGTAATCGCAGTCTTGCCGACGAAGTTGTAGTACGGCTTGGTATAAATTCGCTTCAGCAGTGCCTTCGCCTCTTGTAACTCGGGTTCATCGCTCTCCTGGACTTTCAATAGCACACGGTCATCGAAGTGCTGGTAAGCCTCCATGCAGGTCATGATCTCCGAGATGCGCTTTCCCTTAATCTTCAAGTGGTCGTTCGCTGAGACCAAGATATCGCACAGCATATAGTCGATCGCGCGGACTCCTTTGTGCTGGTAGACAGATTGATGAAACTCAAAGCGAGTGCGGAAAACCTGCATGATCTGTCCCGGCAGCTTCTCGGGAAAACACACCACCATATTCTCCTCAGGATCTTCGCGATCCACCAACACTCGAGCATTGCGGATCAGCAAGTCTGTATCGCACGACATTTTGGCCCCAGTATGGAGCGAGTCGCGCATGAAGTAGTCGAGCTTGTCCACGTCAAGACCGCTGTGGGCGTTATTCACGATATCGTACAGGAAGCGCTGGTTCCGGGACGGTCTGCCACATAGAACGCCGTTGGAATTGGGCAGAGGTCCACCCCAAATGAGCTCCTTGATGAAGATCACGTCCTGTTGCGTCAGTGCGTAGTCCTCAACGCAGATATTGTTCTCCGCCAGCAAGAAGTCGAACATGTCGACGGAGCCCTGCTCGTGCGACCACTTGAAGGACTCGCTGATGAGCTTCTTCTTGCGCAGTTGATCAAGGAACAACCCGTCAAAGACGTGGCTGAACGGCCCGTGGCCAAGGTCGTGGCACAAGCCCGCGATCTTGATACACAGTATGTCTTCATTTGTAATGGGCAGCCATGGCTGGTGCGAGCGAATGCTCTCCATCATCTTCTCAGCGAGGTAGGCCACGCCAAGGCAGTGCTCGAAGCGGGAGTGCGTGGCTCCAATGTACACGAAGCTCGCTGGACCGAGCTGGTGCAGGTTCCTGAGGCGTTGAAACTAACACAAAGGACCAAAACGTCATCAGATTTTAGTGTCATTCCTACTGCTAAGGGTAACACGAACATGAGGTAGGACGTACTTGAAGTGTGTCGATGATCCTCATACAGATCGGCTCGAACGTCATGAGCCCGTGAACACAGTCTTTAATCTGCAAATAAAATTGTAGCACCAATCAGCACGACGTGCAACACCAGCACTATCTTCTAAACGTACAGCTTTTCTCTCATGAAGCTTCAGACTCCTCGTCTGGACCTCCGTCGTACTCCCCACAATTAGTTCACTATGAGTCCAGCTCTTCTTCGCTTCTGAGCCCATGGGCGAGTCAGGACTGCCGAGGCTCGGTGCCTCCTGGGACGACAGGAACGCGTCGGTCATGCCGCCGTCGTCTTCACTCCAGCACCCATCGGCTAAAGCCTCACCAGCTTTCCTTCCAGTCTCCAGCTTCAGGCGCTTGGTTGGGGACTTCCCGAAAGTCATGGTTAACTGGTCGAGGTTCTTGTTCATGGGTGGGTGGGGTGGTCGAGATATTTCTCCTCTTTCTTCTTCTTCTCCTTCCTTCCTGGCGTAAATCGCGCAATGAATAGCGGAAGCTGCAAGCTTTTCGCCTTCACAATCCCGCAACGCAGCAACCCAACACGTTGTTTCACTTAGTGGCGTGAAATGAGGAATGTGAAGCTGATGGCGTGCGGAGAGATGGCGAGGACGAAGTTCAAAACTGACACACATGTTGCATTTCGTACCTAACGCGGTAGGTGGCGGTTATACTTAGATTTTGTATGGACTAGGCAGCTTCAACTTGTCGATTGGATCGCGGGACGGCGTTGGTAAGCTTAGCTGTCGTGAAGGACAAGCAGGTAGGCTTGCTTGTTGACGGGGCAGTCCACCTGTCCGTCTCGCTTATGACCAGAGTCTCTTCAGGATCTTGGTATCATTGTCGTCTGACGATTCGCCGTTAAAATGGTTGTCTGAGCACCAGATCGGGACGCAGCTACCTGGTACATCTGTTAGCTCGCATGATCAAGGTCGAAGAAATACTATTTTCTCACGATGCAATTCTCGTACGACAAGTGCGGTTGAAAGCGATGCGGCAAATATTATAAAGGAAAACATATTTTTAAACTGTTGTAAAAACTACAGCTACAAAGAACCTCCTAAATCGGATACACGCATTCCACGATTCTTCTTCAAGCAGCGATGCCTTCTTGTCCGCTGCTGGTCGTGCAGCTGGTGCTGCGCGACAAGCAGCAGGACGGAGCTATTGACCCCCTCTGACGCCTCATCGCCGACTACTTGGGCCCAGACAGGAACCTGCCGCTGGGTGCCGCATGCCGGTTCGAATCCACGACGCTGCTGGACTGGATGTGGGCGTGCAGCCCCACCTCAGCAACAGAGCGCTCTAGTGATTGGACGCTGCTGAATTATCTTCGGTCGGACCCTGCCTACTACCAGTATCAGTTCTGTGAATCAATAGGAATTGCTGCAGAAGACGGAGACGCAAAAGTCGTCGAGTGGTTGATGGAGCATTTCTCGGGCTGTCAAGTGCCGACGCAGCGGAAGGCGGCTGGATGGACGTCCTACAGACGCTTCTGAAGCACGACGCTGGCAGTGAATCTCCCAGTCTGAAGAAAAGAAAATTGGACACAGAAGAAGCGGAGATTATTAAGGGCCAACAGGGTGGTGGAAGCAACGTCGTGCACTGGGGAGGCCGTCTCCTGAAGGCTGCACGCAGGAGGCACTTTGACGTTGTTCGGTTCCTGTATAAGAGCACACCTCACGACCACTACGATCATATATACGGCACAATCGCAATCGCGCTGCACGCAGGATATAGTGAACATGTTGTTGCCCCCTGGCAAGTCGGCCCTCGAATACGGGAAGCTTTTGTTAGATCCCGTCCTGATTGAGCGCAGGTTCGAAGCTGGTCTACTTGATGACGTGAGTGCCACATCAGAGGCATTGGGAAAACTCGTTAAACCTGGACGCCTAGATCTCATGCAGCGCATCTGGAAGAAGGTCGAGCTTCCAGTTTGGGGCAGCAAGTGGATGGAGAACTGGGTCAACGGCGTGTAAGATGGGGAAGTTGGCTATTTTACGGTGGTTGGTGGAGCACCCGACGGGTCGAGCGGCTGTCTCCGTTTTCAAGGTGGGCGATGACTTGTTGCCCTTGTTGTACGACGCAGTTTCTCAAGGTCACCTAGATGTCATGCAGTACCTTTACGACCAAGATGTCGCTTTTGGATATGGGACCGCATTACTGTGTGCAATTCGCGGAGACAAGACGGACGCGGCCAAATGGCTGCTTGATCGCTTTCCACCAACAGAGAAGATCCCTCAGTATTGCGTCTTGGCGGAAGCTGCGAGGTATGGACGGGTCGGACTGCTCGAATATTTGCAAGGCGCGAAGTCCCTGGAAGTCCCGGGTTTTCCTGGGTCAAAGCCGTCCTCAATTCCAGAGTCGAGTACTGAATTTGCTGCGAATATCGCGGATGCGGGGGCTAACAGATATTCGTGCACCTCAGCCACAGATGACACTTCGTCTAGCTCTTGGGAATGGCTACCGACAGATGCGATGGATGACGCTGCTGGTAATGGTCAACTGGAAGCAGTGCAATGGCTCCACAAGCATCGATCCGAGGGATGCACGTCCAAGGCGATGGACGAGGCTGCCGAATTCGGACACTTAGAAGTGGTGAAATGGCTTCACTTGAATCGACCCGAAGGGTGCACGTCGTGGGCAATAGGCGCAGCTGCTGCGAATGGACGATTCGAGGTGGTCAAGTGGCTGTATGAGAATCGATCGGACAGCTTTACGCACAGCAAGGTGGTTGCTTTTGCTGGATTCCACGAGTGTACTGAGGTTGTAAAATGGCTCGTTTTGCAATCTCCGAAGTAGTCGAAGAACATAGCCATGGAAGATGCAATCACGAACGGAGATTTCGCCTTGGTTCAGTGGCTTCACACACAAGTCAAGGCTCGATGCACGGTAAAGGCAATGGTCCGTGCAGCGGAAGCAGATACTGAAATATTTGTACGCGCACCGACCCAAGGGCCCCGGCACTTCAGCGCTGTGCGATTGAAGCTGAAGGAGCGCTAGCGACTAACCATTATTGGGTTGCGTACTGGTGCCTGCACTACTTTCCGCTCCATTCTCCAAAACTGATCAAGATCTCGAGTTTTACCAGGTTTGAAACATTGCTGTTTGTACGCTGGCGCTACCCGGAAATGTTCACAACAGCGTTTGTTGCAAACATACGAGAAACGCTGAGGTCTTGAGAGGAGTTTAGCTTCATTGACAAGTGGCTCGACGCGCAGCTCTCGTGATTGAAATTTCACAGGAAATCACGAAGACGGCACGAAAAAAGCAACTCAAACCAGTTGGGGTTAAGCGTTTTGCTAATTGTTTTTATTGATTCTCTTGTTTTTAGCTTAAGCTTACCAACAGTATTGAAAAAAAACTAGCCTCGCAGAGCGGCAGGGTTGCGGCTTGATGACAATAATGAGACCCTTTTGTGGCTTGTCGGCTGTGCTTGCGTTAGTTTAATATAACTCGACAGGTTTCATACTATTTTTTTTAACAACGTAATGTCTCATTGCCTCACGACCGGTCAACAATTCGAACCTGATTCACGGCCGTTCGGCCATTCGACAATTTGCCATAAAGGCGAGCGAGCGATGCCTTCTCCGCTGCTGATCGTCGAGCTGGTGCTCCGCCAGCAGAAGGAAAGCGCTACTCTCGACCAGCTCGGCCGCCTCGTCGCCGATTACTTGGGCCCAGACCGGAACCTCTCACTGAGTGCCGCCTGCAAGCTCGGATCCACCAAGCTCCTGGGAGGGCAGCCCCACCTCCACCGCTGACCGTACTCCCCACTGGTCGCTGACCAACTATCTGCGGTCGGACCCTGCCTACTACCAGTACCAGTTCTACGATTCGGTGCGAGTTGCGGTGAAGAAGGGTGATTTACGAGTTCTGGAGTGGTTGATGGGGCATTTCTCGGGCTGTCAAGTGTCGGTGTCGATAGTGGGGGCTGCAGCAGAGGAAGGGCGACTGGATGTCTTGCAGTTACTGGCAAGCACGATGCAGCTCTTGGAAGCTCTGATACTTCAAGTCCTATCAAGAAGAGGAGAGTGGATAGCGGAGGTGACGACACCTTGTCAACTCGAGCTGTGGGCGGTGAACGTGGGGTTGGGAACGTGGTGCAGTGGAGGGGAGGCAGCATAGCGAGGGCTGCGCGTATGAAGCACTACGACGTTGTGCGCTTTCTCTACGACAAGGCCCCTCGTGATGCGTACGCTGGAGCGTTGGATGATGCAATTGAATTCCTCCTGGAGGATGGCGAGATGAACCTCGTGGAGGAGTTACTACCTCCTGGTCAATCTGTCTTGGACTATGGGAAATACTCGTCCAACCCTGATGTACTCGAGCACAGATTTGCCGCTGGTCTGTTGGACGACGAATTTGATGCTGGTATTGCTATCGAGAGGCTAGCGAGGTCTGGACGCTTGGACCTCATGAAGAAAATCTGGAAGAGCCATGAGCAAGCCACCTCGCGGGGCGACTGGATGCAGGATTGGGTGCGGGGAATGGCAACTGCGTGCCAGGCGAGGGATCTCGCTGTTTTGACATGGATGGTGGAGCACACGTCGGGTCGAGCTACTATTGCGTGCTTGAAGGAGTACCATCGAGTGCCTTGGCTGTTGTATGAAGCAGCGCGCCTAAATCTCCTTGACGTGATGCAGTTCCTCCACGACCAAGGCGCGGCTGCCGATTATGGGGGTGCCTTACTGTGTGCGATTCGTAGAGACAATACGGAGGCCGCAATTTGGCTGGTCGAACATTTTCCTCCGTCGGAGAAAATCCCCCAATACTGCGTACTGGTGGAAGCAGCGAGGTATGATCGAGTGGGAATGCTGGGGTATCTCCAGAGCTCGGAGTCACTGGAGGTACCCGGATTCCCTGGATCCAACCCGTCCTCAATTCCGCGACCGGGCACTGAGTTCTCTTTGGCTCATGGGAGCTACCAGCAACAGAAGCTCAAAACGAGTCCACTTCTCATTCGGTGAGTCTGATTGGCGCCCAACCGACGCTATGGACGACGCTGCGACCAATGGGCAGCTCGAGGCAGTGAAGTGGCTGCACGAGAATCGATCCGAAGGCTGTACGACCAAGGCGATGGACGAGGCCGCTGCAAATGGGCACTTCGAGGTGCTGAAGTGGCTTCACGCCAACCGACCCGAAGGGTGCACAACGAGCGCGATGGATAACGCGCTGCAAATGGTCGGCTAGATGTGGTGGAATGGTTGCGTGCGAATCGGTTGGAGGGCTTCTCAGAGATGGCGATTTTTCATGCTGCTTGCTACGACCATACGGAGGTTGTGAAATGGCTGATCTTACAGTGTCCAGCTATGGCAAAGAAGCTCGACATGGAGTTTATTATCCGCAACGGGAATCTCGCGTTGCTACGATGGCTTTAGGCAAACGCCAAGGTTGGCTGCTCAGTAAAAGCAATGGTCTGTGCCGCGAAGTCTGGTCGCCTGGAGATACTGAAGTTTTTGTATCCACGCCGACCGAGGGGCTTTAGCCTCAAAAGCTGTGTGCGCGTGACCCAGGAAGCTTTATCTCACGGTCATTGTCAGGTTGGGTGCTGGTGCCTGCGCCACTTCCCAGCTTTTTCTCCCAAGCCAATGAAGATCTCGTCTTCCACCACGTTTGAGTCGTACGTGCACTACCCCGAATGGTTCACGCCGGCGTATGTCGCCCTAATTCGACAGACGATGAGCTCGTTGAAGACGTTTCGATACATCGACAAGTGGCTCGATACCCGCGTTTCGTAATCGCCTGTCGTTCTACACCTGGGACCCAAGTGAATAAGCTACACAATAAACGTTGGTGGCCAGGTCAGGGAAGCTAATACAACAAGAAAACAAATTGAATCCAGAATTCCGATATATTACTACATGTAGCGCTTTTTCATCAGAGCGTTGACAGGGTTCTCGTGTTTCTGTAAGCATGGACTGGATATGGATGTCCGTCAGAATGCGATACATCTAGCGAACCAACGAAGGTACTCGACTTCGCTGGGGCACAGCTCATGCTGTTTGATAAAGTGTATCACCCCCAGATTGGCTCTTTTAGGATAAATAAAAGAATAGCCAGAATACGGGAGTAAACGGTAGATATTTCTTAGCGAATGATATCATGCAGCTGTGTCTGTGGTTATTTTGCTGATAGATAGTATTCGGGATCGCCGAAATGAATGCCAAACTCGGCGATAAACAATCGCTCCATTCTGTTTGCACAGCGATAACTTGCGAACAGAACCTCTAGCTAAGTCCACATTTGGTGGCAGCTATCTCTTTGAAACTACAAAAAATACGATCAATAATGTCAGAGTTGAGGGCTACAATTTCTTAATGGCATCTACGTCTCGATTAGTTCCTTGCAGGGTAAAAACAAGTGTCCCTCCCAGGTATCTGTGGATAAGTGGCAAGCTCGCTAGCTTCCTCGATTCGCTAGAGGAAAAGGATCACTGCAGGTTAGCTATTCTAGTTTTTTGTTAGGAAACTCACATAATGATTCATTACGGTATTCTACTTTTTTGTTAGTAAACTCACATAATAATGATTCATTACGGTTCGATCGGGCAACAGCTTGAACTGTATTCGCATTCCGCAATTTGCGTTCCCTTCAAGAGGCGAGCTTGAATGTCTGCCCCGCTGCTGGTCGTCAACCTGGTGCTCCACAGCCAGAAAGATGGAGCAGCGCTCGACCACCTCGGGCATCTCGTCGCCGATTACCTGGGCCCAGACAGGAACCTCTCTCTAAGTGCCGCCTGCAAGTTCGGATCCACGACGCTGCTCGACTGGATATGGGGCTCCAGTCCCACCTCCGCTACAGACCGCAGTCCCCAGTGGTCGCTAACGAACTATCTGCGGTCAGATCCGCACTACTACCGCTATCAATTTCAGGGATCGGTGCTGGTTGTGGTGAAGAAGGGGGATTTACGAGTACTGGAGTGGTTGATGGAGCACTTCTCGGGCTGTCAAGTGCCGGTGACAGCGGTGGAGACCGCAGCAGAGCAAGGTCAACTGGATATCTTACAGCTCTTTGTGAAGCATGACGCTGGACGTCGAGACCAGGAAGTTCCAAGTCACAAGAAGAGGAAAGTGGATACGGAAGCCTCGAATGGCGAACTTGGCGGTGGGAACGTGGTGGATTGGGGTGGCTACAGTTTGGGTACAAGCTGCGAGCAAGAGGCACTTTGACATCATCCGATTTCTCTACGGCAACACGCCCCACGACTTGTACACTAACACGCAATTGGACTCACCCTGGATTGTGGTGAGATGGACCTAGTACAGACTCTGCTGCCTCCTGGAAAGTCTGCCATCGACTACGGCCAAGGATCCTCGAACCCTGCTGTGCTTGAGCTCACGTTTGACGCTGGTCTACTGGACGATCAGCTCCTCGCTGCAACTGCACTGAAGCGCCTAGTAGCATCTGGAAGCTTGGGTCTAATGAAGAACATCTGGGAGAAGCATGAACACCTCACGTCGCCGGGCGGCTGGATGTTGGAATGGGTACAGGGAATGGCAACTGCGTGCCACAAGGGGGATCTTGCCGTTCTGCAGTGGATGGTGGAGCACAATTCCGGTCGAGCGGCTATCACGCACTTGAAGCCGTACGACGGTAGAGTTTCGTCACTGCTGTACTACGCCACCGATGCAGGCCACCTTGGTGTGATGCAGTACCTGCACGAGCAAGGAGCGGGTGTTGATTATGGAAACGCCTTACTTTGTGCGATTCGCAGAGACAGAATGGACGCTGTCAAGTGGCTGTTGGCGCACTTCCCTCCCATGGAGAAAATTCCAGAGTATTGTGTGCTGGTAGAAGCTGCGAGATATGGGCGAGTTGAAATGCTAGAGTATTTCCAGAGTTCGCGCAAGTTGAAAGTGCCCGGATTTCCCGGGTCGGTACCGTCCTCGATCCCTCAAGCTGATACGAAGTTTTCATTCCAGGTTTTGGCCTCGGCGGCAAACAGTTATGAAAACCCGAACCATTTACGATGGCTTCCGACCGACGCTATGGATGGCGCTGCAGCTAACAGACAGCTCGAAGCAGTGCAGTGGCTCCACACCCATCGATCCGAAGGGTGTACGACGTTGGCGATGGACGAGGCAGCTGCAAGAGGACATCTACAAGTTGTGAAATGGTTGCAAGCGAACCGGTCAGAGGGCTACACGGATCACGGAATGGCGATTGCAGCTGTTCGATGCCAAGAGGAGGTTGTGCAGTTTCTGGTTTTGCAATCCCTAACCAAGGTGACGGACATTATCGTGCAGAAAGCCGTCGAGAAAGGACAACTCGCGTTGGTGAAATGGCTGCACGCGCAATCCGGAGCTCGGTTCACAGTCAAAATGTTGATCAAGGCTGTAGGAGGTGGCCACTTGGAGGTACTGAAGTATTTGTATCTCCACCGCTCGAAGGGTTTTAGTCTCAAGAGCTGTGCGGCTATCATCCGGGAAGCACTCGCTTACGGACACGTCCGTGTTGCGTACTGGTGCGTACTTCGCTTCCCGGCGCATTCTCCCAAGCCAGTCATGATCACGACTGCCACCGTGTTTGAGTCGTTGTTGTTTCAGCGATTCCACTCCCCGGAATCGTTCATCCCGGCAAAACTTCGTGAAAGAATGGGGTCGTTTAAAGTGTTTGGCGCCGTAGCGAAATGGCTCGATGCCCAGATCTTGTGATTGTCTTGATCGAAATCGGACGGAAGCATGGAGCTCAAAATCAAATACTTCAGTACTCAATAGCTTTTTCATGAACCCTTAAATAAAATACGAAGCAGGAAATCAAGTTTTTGCAGTTCTTTATCGTCCCTGAGCTCCACGCTCTTGCATTCGCGCACGTCATCGGACGACTTCATAGTTGCCGTACAGGAGTAATTCTCTTTAATAATGTTTATAGGGTCCATAATGATTCATTATCGATACGACTGTCAAAAAAAAATACTACCTCATTCGACGATTCGCCTTCTAGTAACGATGCCAGCGCCACTGCTGGCCGTCGATCTGGTGCTCCGCCACCAGAATGATGGCGCTACTCTCGAGCAACTCGGATGTCTCGTTGCAAACTACCTGGGTCCAAACAGGAACCTACGATTGTGTGACGCCTGCAAGTTCGGATCCACGACGCTGCTGGACTGGATGTGGGAGTGCAGCGTCACCTCCGCTACTGAACGCTCTCCTTATTGGTCACTGACCAATTATCTTCGGTCAGACCTCCACTACTACCAATACCTGTTCTATGACTCGACGCTAGTTGCTGCAGAGAGGGGGGATTTACGAGTACTGGAGTGGTTGATGGGGCACTTCTCGACTTGCCAAGTCCCGGTGTCGGTGGTAGAGATCACAGCGAAAGATGGTCGACTGGATATATTACGGAGTCTACTGGAGCAAGACGCTGGTCGTGGAGGTGGCGAGGAAACGCCAAGCAGAAAAAAGAGAAAAGTGGATACGGGAGGAGGAAGTAAAGCTAAGAGTCAACACACCGGAGGTAACGTGGTGCAGTTGGTAAACGCTGTGCACGAAAAGCACTATGATATCGTTCGGTTTCTCTACGACAACACGCCTCGCGACGTGTATTTGGACACGCTAAACTGGATAGCCCAGTGTCTGCTATACGATGGCGAGATGAAGCAAGCAGAGATGCTGTTGCCCCCCCCCCCCCCCCGTAAACCATACTTCCAGTCGCGCGTTATGATGATAGCAGCGTTTTTGGGGGTCTTCGAGCATGGAACATTCTCATCCAACCCTGATGTTCTCGCGCGTGGCCTTGACGCTGGCATATTGGACGACTCATCTCAAGCTGGGAGGGCTCTGAGGACGGTGGCACGATTTGGACGCTTAGACCTCGTGAAGAAGTTCTGGAAGAAGCACGCGCAAGTCACGACAAAGGGTGAGTGGATGGGAGATTGGCTGGGTGCGATGTCAACGGCGTGTGCGAGTGGAAATCGGCCCATTCTGCAGTGGATGGTGGAGGAAGCATCAGGTCAAGCGCTTATCGCATTCATGGGGAAGTATATGTTGACCTCGTTATTGTATAACGCAGCAAAGGGAGGCCACCTCAACGCGCTGCAGTACCTTTACGAGCAAGGTTTGGCTACAGAATTTGGGGTCGCTCTATTGTGTGCAATTCGTGGAGACAAAATGGATGTTGTAAAGTGGCTGGTGGCTCACTTTCCCCCGTCGGAGAAGATCCCTGAATGTTGCATCCTAGTGGAAGCTGCAAGGCGTGGCCGTGTCAAAATGCTGCAATTTACCTGTTACGCAAGCTTCGCGCGCCGCCAAAACCTCGCTGCTTTTGAGGGCATCAGCACTAATTGATTTGGCGCGCTGGGTGTTGGAGTTTAGCAGTGCTGTATTATCCAACTAAAATCATCGAACAGGTAAGGTAGTATCGTTTTCCAAGCAATAATCGCAAGGTTGGGCTTCTACACGGCAAGTTGAAAACACAATAACTTTTTTCTTCCCCGATCGGATTCTACTTGATTCTAAAGTATTTTGAACTGTAAAATATTAAAACAAAACGCTACAATTGGTTTCTGTATGTACTTGCTCGTGGAACCGAAATGTTACGAAACCCTTAGTCGCAGCTACTGGAACCACCGTCACATCCTCCTCCAGCATCATAACTCCCACCAGCGTCGTAGCTCGAGCTATAGTCGTAGCCTCCACCACCGTTGTCACCACCAGCGTCATAGGCGCCGGTGTCATTGCTTCCTGCAGCGTCGCAACCCCCATCCGTGTAGTTGTTGCCGTCATGGCACGCACCATCGTGATCGTTGTCGCTAGAGCTGTCCGAGTTGTTATCGCGGTCATTCGTGTCGTAGTAGTACAGGTAGTCGTACCTCCCGTCGTAATATTTACTGTTCGGGTTTGTGGTGTTGACTTGGCTTTGAGTGGCGTAGTTCCCTCCGTAGTATGGCTGGGGACGGGTGTATCTGCCTGTCGGGTTTGCTTGAGGTACCGCTGCGGCTTTCACAACTTGGGATCGCGGAGGCGGCGTATCGGGTGCTGGGTCTTGAGCGACGTCTTGCAGTGCGGACAAGGTTTCGTCGATGGGTATGAACGACTTGCCGTCGTAGTACCCGCCGTGGGGGTCCTCGTGCTCGACAGCGTCGTAGGCTCCACCCAGCGTTTCGTCTATTGGCACTGTCGGGACGTAGTTCGGCATGTACTTGCTGAAGCTTTCCTTTCTTCCTTTTCTTGGCTCTGTAGAGGTGCGCTTGTTCTTCTTCTTCCTGCCCTTCTTGGTGGGTGAATCTGATGTCTTGGCGGCATTTCCACCTTGTTGGGGGTTGGCTTTGTTCTTCTGCTGATGCTTGTTCGTAGAGCTTGTCGACTTGTGGGTCTTCGTCTCGTCCTTGGCAGACTGCTTGGTCGCTTGAGCCGGTGAAGCGAAGAGACCTTTGTGCATCTTCTCCACCATCTTGCGGGTGGTCGAATCTCTGTGTCTATCGTGGCCCATAGAGTTCCCCATGGTTGATCTCGAGTCGGCGGTGAATTGGAGAGTGAGCTTGTACCGCGCATTGAACCTCTGCTGTAATGTATCCACATGAAACACCAGGAAAATCCGAGTCATATGGATACACTTATCATGTGCTAGTGCACGTTTTTCTGTTCGTACTCGACAGATGCAATGTAGTATATCAGCCACGACAAAAGCAAGAAAACCCCGAAGTGGATTTTGGTAACGCTAGCATCGTTGACTCAACGGTTGAGGGCTTGAATTCCAATGCCGCTCGCCGCGTGCACTACGATGAAGTTTTGCGGGTAGCGAGAAACTTTTAAGTATTAAAAAAAAACGACTCAAAACCCTCGCTCTGTAGCCGACGCAAGAATCATCATGCAGTGGGCGCAAACGACTTCACTAACGTGAGAGATCATTGCACACTTCCTTCTTTCAAACCGTCAAACTCCCGTTTCTCACTGCGCTTTAACCTCTTCAGTACAGTGCCTACAGTAATTAGTCTGGGCTCAAAATTAGTCTGGCTTCAAAATTAGTCTGGGCCAGACTAATTCGTGTCGAGCAAAAATTGACGTCTCATTATTAGTCTGGCTAAAAATGTTCATAATTAGTCTGTCGTGGTGACCACGATTCTAGTCAATCTCTACCTACTTTACGGCAATGCTTTTTGAAAAAGCACTTGACAGCAGCCAATTTACCAGATCTCGCACACACATAACCTGATATCTAGAAAATATAATAGATACCTGAGTGAACATGGCATCGAACCCATTGAATAGCCTTCTCTAACCGTCAGAGAAGCAGCATCTGCGATGCTTTAGTCTTTATTTCTCCTTAAAGCCAGGTAAACAAAAACAAATATTTGAAAATACGTATAAACATACCATTTCACAAAAATAATGTTTTTTCTTACTGGAAAACGGATATTTTTAGATATTCATAATTAGTCTGAATTCAAAATTAGTCTGTCACTGTAGGGGCCAGACTAATAATTGTGGGCAATGAAAAATCTGCTACCATTCAGATTTAGTCTGGCCCAGACTGGCCCAGACTAATTACTGTACAGCGTGAGATTTGCCGTTTACACTCGACCTGCGCAATAAACGTATTGTCCGTAGTCTGCGGCCGATTTACCCGGGACAACTCGACCATCTGCAGCGGAGTAGGCCAATGGGAGTCATATCCGGCGGATTCAATAAGTCAGTCGCCTGATTTAACTTGAGAGGCCATGCCACGCATAAATGAAGGCGCATATTGGGTAAATAAGTAAGAGCAACGACATTTTCTTGCTTTGATACTGTGTTCGGGCTACATCAAGAAGCTCGCCTAGGCAGTTTTACTACAACCAAGTCGCAGGGAATAAATAAGAGAACATCTATGCTCGGACCTTGTACCTCACACTCCGCGCTGGCGTCGCAACCTCCTTTTCAGTAGGTTGGCCTCTGTGTAGTAGCAGCAGTACAACTGGTAAGTTCGGCGAACTGATGCAGGCAAAGTCTTGATGCACGTACCATTAATTCGGCGCTCTTCGTCTTCAATCTCGGAACGGTCACGAGTAAACGCAAGTGAGAAGGGTCGAAGAGAACTCGGCTTGGAACTCGAGTTCACGGCGAATCCTGGGCGAACGTCTACAATCAAAACCACCATGAGTTTACGCTTCGAAAAACAAAACCCATACATCTCCCACTCACCATTGCCATAACCACACACAACGTCAAGTTTTTCAACGCCGTCTTTCATGCATCCGCGCTCGTCCTTCTGGCTGCACTGCGCCATCGCCTCCGACTGACAGCTCTTCAGCGTCGACACCTCGCTGGCCAACTCGCGCTTCTCCTCCTCCAGCGCGGCCACCGCAGCACTCTGCTGCGCCTGAAGCTCCTCGACCTGTGCACTCTGCGCCGCCAACCGCTCCTCCAGAGCACTCTTCTCGCTCCGCAGAGCGTTCAGCTCGTCGCCGGCCTCGGCGTTCGACGTCTCCAGCTTCGCCGTCGCGGCTTGCAGCTGCTCCGCCAATGCAGACAGCTCGCTCTCCAGCTCCGCCACGCGCTCGTCCTTCTGGCTGCACTGCGCCATCGCCTCCGACTGACCGCTCTTCAGCGTCGACACCTCGCTGGCCAACTCGCGCTTCTCCTCCTCCAGCGCGGCCACTGCAGCACTCTGCTGCGCCTGAAGCTCCTCGACCTGTGCACTCTGCGCCGCCAACCGCTCCTCCAGAGCACTCTTCTCGCTCCGCAGAGCGTTCAGCTCGTCGCCGACCTCGGCGTTCGACGCCTCCAGCTTCGCCGTCGCGGCTTGCAGCTGCTCCGCCAATGCAGACAGCTCGCTCTCCAGCTCCGCCACGCGCTCGTCCTTCTGGCTGCACTGCGCCATCGCCTCCGACTGACCGCTCTTCAGCGTCGACACCTCGCTGGCCAACTCGCGCTTCTCCTCCTCCAGCGCGGCCACTGCAGCACTCTGCTGCGCCTGAAGCTCCTCGACCTGTGCACTCTGCGCCGCCAACCGCTCCTCCAGAGCACTCTTCTCGCTCCGCAGAGCGTTCAGCTCGTCGCCGGCCTCGGCGTTCGACGCCTCCAGCTTCGCCGTCGCGGCTTGCAGCTGCTCCGCCAATGCAGACAGCTCGCTCTCCAGCTCCGCCACGCGCTCGTCCTTCTGGCTGCACTGCGCCATCGCCTCCGACTGACCGCTCTTCAGCGTCGACACCTCGCTGGCCAACTCGCGCTTCTCCTCCTCCAGCGCGGCCACTGCAGCACTCTGCTGCGCCTGAAGCTCCTCGACCTGTGCACTCTGCGCCGCCAACCGCTCCTCCAGAGCACTCTTCTCGCTCCGCAGAGCGTTCAGCTCGTCGCCGGCCTCGGCGTTCGACGCCTCCAGCTTCGCCGTCGCGGCTTGCAGCTGCTCCGCCAATGCAGACAGCTCGCTCTCCAGCTCCGCCACGCGCTCGTCCTTCTGGCTGCACTGCGCCATCGCCTCCGACTGACCGCTCTTCAGCGTCGACACCTCGCTGGCCAACTCGCGCTTCTCCTCCTCCAGCGCGGCCACTGCAGCACTCTGCTGCGCCTGAAGCTCCTCGACCTGTGCACTCTGCGCCGCCAACCGCTCCTCCAGAGCACTCTTCTCGCTCCGCAGAGCGTTCAGCTCGTCGCCGGCCTCGGCGTTCGACGCCTCCAGCTTCGCCGTCGCGGCTTGCAGCTGCTCCGCCAATGCAGACAGCTCGCTCTCCAGCTCCGCCACGCGCTCGTCCTTCTGGCTGCACTGCGCCATCGCCTCCGACTGACCGCTCTTCAGCGTCGACACCTCGCTGGCCAACTCGCGCTTCTCCTCCTCCAGCGCGGCCACTGCAGCACTCTGCTGCGCCTGAAGCTCCTCGACCTGTGCACTCTGCGCCGCCAACCGCTCCTCCAGAGCACTCTTCTCGCTCCGCAGAGCGTTCAGCTCGTCGCCGGCCTCGGCGTTCGACGCCTCCAGCTTCGCCGTCGCGGCTTGCAGCTGCTCCGCCAATGCAGACAGCTCGCTCTCCAGCTCCGCCACGCGCTCGTCCTTCTGGCTGCACTGCGCCATCGCCTCCGACTGACCGCTCTTCAGCGTCGACACCTCGCTGGCCAACTCGCGCTTCTCCTCCTCCAGCGCGGCCACTGCAGCACTCTGCTGCGCCTGAAGCTCCTCGACCTGTGCACTCTGCGCCGCCAACCGCTCCTCCAGAGCACTCTTCTCGCTCCGCAGAGCGTTCAGCTCGTCGCCGGCCTCGGCGTTCGACGCCTCCAGCTTCGCCGTCGCGGCTTGCAGCTGCTCCGCCAATGCAGACAGCTCGCTCTCCAGCTCCGCCACGCGCTCGTCCTTCTGGCTGCACTGCGCCATCGCCTCCGACTGACCGCTCTTCAGCGTCGACACCTCGCTGGCCAACTCGCGCTTCTCCTCCTCCAGCGCGGCCACTGCAGCACTCTGCTGCGCCTGAAGCTCCTCGACCTGTGCACTCTGCGCCGCCAACCGCTCCTCCAGAGCACTCTTCTCGCTCCGCAGAGCGTTCAGCTCGTCGCCGGCCTCGGCGTTCGACGCCTCCAGCTTCGCCGTCGCGGCTTGCAGCTGCTCCGCCAATGCAGACAGCTCGCTCTCCAGCTCCGCCACGCGCTCGTCCTTCTGGCTGCACTGCGCCATCGCCTCCGACTGACCGCTCTTCAGCGTCGACACCTCGCTGGCCAACTCGCGCTTCTCCTCCTCCAGCGCGGCCACTGCAGCACTCTGCTGCGCCTGAAGCTCCTCGACCTGTGCACTCTGCGCCGCCAACCGCTCCTCCAGAGCACTCTTCTCGCTCCGCAGAGCGTTCAGCTCGTCGCCGGCCTCGGCGTTCGACGCCTCCAGCTTCGCCGTCGCGGCTTGCAGCTGCTCCGCCAATGCAGCTACGGTGTTTTTAAGCTGTGTAGTTTCTTGGTGTGGTTGTTGTGGCGATTGAGTTGGCGATGAAGACTGGCTGCGGAGCTCATCAATCTCGGCTTCTTGACTGGCAACCTGTTCTGCGAGCTGGTACTGGATTTCTTGCTGAGTTGCTGTATACTCCGCGTGGGCCGCCATGGTAGCTGCCATAGCGTTCTTATTGCGCGAGTCGGTAAGTTGCTTCTCCTCCTGCATCATCTGGATCTGTTCGTGTAGTTGCTGGAGCTGCTGTGCCTGCGCGTCCAGCTTCTTGGTAAGAGAAGATTTTTCCTCTATCAGCTGAGTAAACTTGCTTTCAAGGTAAGTTGGTGTATGCTGTCTGCTGGGTGTTGGTTCAGTGTCCACCGTCCTGGAGTGTAATAAATGAGCAGGACTGGGGATTTTGGAGGGTACGCTCCCTTCTCGAGGCTTCTTCAATGCGGACGTTGGGGTCGAGGGAATTCGGCTTCTCGGTGTCATTGATGTCTGACCCCCCGGTGCTGGAGGTGTCATTCTCCTGTCCCTAGGCGCGCGTGACTTGACGCCGGGCTTTTGTCTCAACGTAGAACGTCTGGCTGCTTTCTTGTTAGTGTGAACTGCATCAGCTTCCGGAAACAGACTTTTAGCTGAGCTTTTCGCGGACAATGTGTTGGTGATTGTCGCTAGATGTCTTCTCTTGGCAGGCTGTAGAAATCAATAGCACGCATCAGTAGCTGTTTGTTTAGTCTAAGAATCGATATGACTTACCTTGAAAGACGTGTCCAGCTCGGCTTCTTTGCGCGACCGCTTCAAGTGTTTCTTCACCCCGTCAGCAAGTAGTGCATTCAATCTGAAAGCAACACCAACGAGCCGTCAGAACCCTTTTGTGCTTCTGAATAGCATGTTGAACCTCTTACCTCTCGACTTCATCGGGCCATAAAGAAATATACTGCCTGCCAACGTTACAAGCACCGCGTCAACAAGTCATCACCCAATGTTCAATCGCAATGCTAGGAAACGATAACACCCACCAGTAGCAGTCACGAGCCTTTTCTCGCCCTTTGGGAGACGCGTCACTGAGCGAAGCCTACAAACACCAGCGCCAACGTGATTCAGTCTCCACATGACTTGGCTCCTAACCGCAAAACCCACGCGTACCGCAATGGCTGTCTGCAGAGGTATCCTGAATCGCTCCAGCACGGCGCCGCTCCAGCCTATCAGGGCCAGATACACGTAATGGATGCAGCTCTCTCGCACCTCGCGGTTCCTGACACAAAACAGCATAAAAACCGTCAGCGTCGTAGCCCCATAAACACTCCTGTCACCACCTGCACCTCGTACTTGCTCGTCTCCAGCACTTGCAGCACCGGTGCCAGCACGAATCTGCTCGGCGTGGTGTCCACGATGGCCTCGATGCAGCTGTGGATGGCCGCCGTGTTCACCTGCAGCAGCACGAGTCAGCCAGTCCGTCAGTCCTCCAGTCTGCAGCCTCTCTCTCTCTCTCTTCTCTCCTTGCCGCACCTTGTTCGAGCCTCCTCTGGCGTCCAGCAGCGTCGGGAACACGTCGCGCACGAGGATCTTGCAGCGCGCGGGGCCGAGCGTGCGCGCCAGCAGCGCCAGCGTGCCGCAGGCCTCGCGCACGACCGTCGAGCGCAGGTCCGTGAGCGTCACGCGGAAGGGCTGCATCAGCGCCTGCACGTTCTCGGGCGCCAAGAGCGTCTCCAGGCGGTCGTCGGCATCCTCTGCTTCTTCCTCTTCTTCTTCTTCTTCTTCCTGGAGCCGCGCGAAGTCGGCCAGCAGCTGGCGCAGCTCCGTGAGCGCCGCGCACTTGTCCTTCCACTCCTCCTCGGGCTGCAGCAGGCGCTTGCCCAGCTCCAGCACTTCGTTGGTGCGCCCGCCGAGCGTCTGCGCGCGCGTGAACGGGAAGAGAGAGAGGGTTAGTACATAGAGGAGGAGGAGCGAGGGAAGGCAGACGCACGCACCATGAGGCTCAGGTGGTCGCCCCGCATGGCGCTAAAGTGCGCAATTTGGCGGGAAGTTCAAATTAAATTTGGGTCGGACCAGCTCAGATCTAAAATTATTAATTTTAGCATAACTAAAATCTGATTTGTGACGGGCTCTAATTTAGAACTTCTAAACTTGTATCCTCGGAATGCGCATGACATGCTTGTCAGGAAGAGCTTCCCTGCATCCATTTAAGTCGCTAAGTTTGCTCGCTTTTGCGCTACTACCATCATGAAGTGTGTACGGTGCAACGGGTGGCAGTCATCCACGCCAACGGGGGCCCTCGTTCTCCCAGCAGCCTTGCGCTTCATTACTTTGGGACTGGATGTGGGAGTGCAGCCCCACCTCCGCTACCTACTTGGTCGCTGTTGAACTATCTTCGGGCAGACCCGCACTACTACCAGTATCAGTTTTACGAATCGGTATTGGAGGCTGCGATTTACGAGTACTGGAGTGGCTGCTGGAGCATTTCTCGGGCTGTGAAGTGCCGGTGTGGGTGGTGGAAAAGGCAACGGAGCAAGGTCGAATGGACATCTTACGCTTACTAGTGGAGCACGACGCTGGCCGTCGAGGCAAGGAGGCTTCAAGTCGTGCCGAGCATGGCGAGAATGACGAGGGCAACGTGGCGCAGTGGGGAGGCAGCAGCCTGGTAACCGCAGCGCAAATGAAGCGGTTTGACATCGTCCGGTTCCTCTACGAGAACACTCCCCGAGACATGTATGAAGAGTCATTGGATATGACAATCCCATTCGTCCTGGATGCTGGAGAGATGAACCTCGCGCAGGAGGTTTTGCCCCCTGGTACATCTGCTGCGGACTACGGCGATATATCTAGTAACCCATCTGTGGTCGAGCTCGCGTTTGACGCTGGTCTACTGGATGAGGACTTCGTCGCTGCATGATGCTTTTGGACGGAGGCGAAAAGAGGTTTTTCAAGAGTGAGAGGCACCAATCGGGTTCAAGGTCGTCTTCAACTCTTATCGTGCTCTAGCAGCGCTTAAAGAACACCTGAGACGACCCAGCAACTAGTCGAAGTCGCCCAAGCTCATTCTCAATTCTCCCTTCGCCAAACCAACCAGCTCCAAGTCCTCATCGCCGCGCGAATCATGTCTCGAACCTCAGTGCTACTCTTCCCCGCGGATGTACCAAGCGCACAGCTGGATGGCCCCCACTACGCAGAAGTAACGGCAAGACGTGGGGGTACAGTCCAAGTGACCATTCTACCCCGCTCGGACGATGAGGAGAGCACCTCGGCCACAATCACGCGTGCCGTGGCCGCGGCGAGATCAGTTCCAAGGTCGGAGCTCAGCACAGGCCAACCCAGAGTGAAACTTTTCCTCCCAGTCTGCTACCGCGTTGGCGACGTGTTCAGGCACGGTCAAATTACGGCCTACAACAGCACCGTGTACGTTGTAAGCACGGAGGGAGAAACCCATGAAGTCCCGTTCAGCGCCCCCACCGAGATTGCTCCAGCTGTGGCCGTACTACTGTGGAATGCGGCCTTGCTTGAGGACGTTGCTTCGATGTCCGATCTCGAAGCGGCCCACGCGCTAATTCTGGACCGCCTACTCGGACAGAACGGCAAACGGGCCACCAAAGCCATTTCCAGATTGTTAGCAGGAATCGCCACTCGCCAATCCATGCCCAGACCATCGGCCATGATGCCGTGGGTATGTCCCAGAACGGGTCACGAGCTTCTAGTCAGCGTCGTCGACGTCCTCAACTTTGCCTTCTACGTAGACGGCGGGCGGGCCATACCCGCTAACGTCCGCGTCGGAGCAACGTTCCTCGACGGCCCTGCCACCCGCCCTGCGCAGGGGTCGCGAAGGCCAAGAAGCGAACGCCAGGTCAGCGTAACCGCAAACCATGAGGACCCGATGCCCCCAGCCACTACTCGACAGGAACGACCACGACGAACTCGCCGGACTATCTCCACGGCAGCCGTCCGCGCCGAAAACCCAACTGTGGTCGATGCGCCCTCTTCTGGCGAAGAAGAGTCGAGCAACGAAGGCGCTGCGGCAACGCAATTTGCAGATCTACTGGACGCGCTTAGTAGCGATCATCCCGCGCCAAAACGCCGACGCACAGTGCGCACTGAGCAGGCGCCCCCGACACCCGTAGGCCACGTAACCACAGCCCAAGGTGATTCGCGCGCTGAACCCGCTACCGCCGACCCGGTGCAAGCGATATTGCACGCGTTAGCTCCGTACCCGTCGGTACTGGCAGCTTACGCCCAACAACTGCAACGATTATCGGCACCAGCGACATCTCCAAGTCAAGTGACAGGAATTAACCCGCCTCCAATATCGCAAGCAGTTCGACTTTCAACTTCCCCGTCAGACCTGATCCCAGTGAACGAACCAAGTGATCGACGACAGCAGAATTTTCGTCCATCTCGTGCCCAACAAGAAGTACACGACGCCATCTCAGCACCAGCATATATAGGTAAGGACGGAGACGTTTACATGGACCATGTACGGACCTCAACGGCAACCAGGTTTCTGGCTCATCCGGCTGTCGCTTCCCGACTGTTCGACATCGAGTTCAGCGCGTGCGACTTATCCATCCTGCATTTCCCACGGTTTGCCCTCGACAGCCCACTCAACCGATCAAAGGCTAAGGCGGTCAACACGCGCAATTTCTCCAGCAAAGTGGCGTTGCCCGAATTACCTGATAAACCCATGTTCAGCGACCTCACCGAAGCTCTATCCGTGCTTTACACGTTTGCAAAAGATTTTTCAACGAGGAGACAAGAGACGTCTTCGCGGCCGCTAAAGATTTCGGGGAACAACTGGAGGATTTTGCCCCGTGGAGCTCGTCCGAAGTCCACATTCTCGCGTTCTGGTTCTCCAACATCATCGGAGCATATCGCCTTGCGGTTGTTGAAGACATGCGATCGGGGCGCGCCATTCGGTCCGTTTCCGATTCACGATGCAAGACCCCGAGCTGGCCGGATTACTGTTCAAGGCCTCACGTGCACGCGCGAACCAAGCGTCCGGGACAAATGGTCCATCACCTACCCGGGACAGCACCCGAGCGGTTCACAAAGGAGGAAACGACGCTGTGGCTCGGCAAGGAGTTAAGCGTAGGGACCGTAAGGTACCTCAGGAAATCTAGGCCCAAGTTCCAAAGGAAGACGGACGCCAGCTCTGCCTCCGGTATGCTTCTGTACAAGGGTGTTCGTCCAAGAGCAAGGACCGGTGCCTGCAGAGCTTTTTAGCACACTTTGAGCCGGCCGAACTACCAGAAGCCGTAGCGGCGTACATACGGGACACCTACGGCGGCGTTCGGACCTTCGCGAAGCAGGAATGAAGCCTGCGAGTGCCATCGACACTTGCCGCACACCCAGGGGTGGGATCGCGGTCTGTGGTATCAAGAGTAATCGAGCTCCTAGAACAGCGCCTACAAGCGTCAGAGAAAACGCGCAAGCAATCGCTATTCGCAGCCTTTGAAGCAGCAGACGTCGAACCACCACACGGCATACCAGCGGCGAATGACACCGGGCCACGACCAACGTTCTCGCTCGATCACGACATGGTACGAACCATTTCGCTTCTCGTGACGCGCACGATTATGACCCTCGCTGAAACGATTCGTCTCTGGCGAGGCCAGTCCGCGTCATCGCCCACACCAAATAAAGCGCTGGTCCACGATCACTTCCCGTGGCTACTTCACGAGTACGAGCACGTCAACCTGTTCATACGTACAGCCACACAGGGTGTGAAGCACGTCTTTCAAGTTGATGGCACTCAACAAACCTGCCCCGTACCAAACCACAAGTCTGCGGCAGTCATGCGCAACGCGCTAATCAGAAGCATCCGAGATGGACAGAGAAGCGGTGCATACCTCGTTGCATCGCGAGACGCGGCATCGCGGTGGCGCCTGCATTACAGTCCATCTGGTTGTAGGCCGACGCCGATCCAACAGTCGAAGCGAGAGTAATTCACGATTTATCGTTTCCGCTGGGCCACTCGACAAATGCTTGGTCCGACCAACACAGCATACCCACGCTTGTGTACGAACTTGTCGACATCATCGCGCACAGAATCATCGCACTACGGAAAGCCAACCCAACGCTGATAATCAAGATTATGAAAGGCGATGTGAAATCTGCGTACAAAAACCTACACGTTCACGAAGATGTCAGCGCCTTCTTCGCCGGATCGTTACCTGACGAAGATGTCACGATCATCGATCTCGCACTACCTTTCGGCTGAACAGGCTCCGCAGCTCACTATGGTGTGTTTGGAAAAGCAATATCTCACCTTGTGCGTCGCGAGAGCCCGAACACACTCGATCCGACCAATCCTGACACTACCCCGTTCTTTTATTTCGACTGGGTAGACGATCACGTGTTGGTGGAGTACGAGACCCATGATCGCCTCCAAGCCTGTGACAGCGCGCTTCGGCTAGCCATGACGGCGGTGCTAGGCCCAAGAGCTATCAACAACAAGAAGTTCACCGAGTGGTCGACGAACGTAGTGGCCCTGGGTCTGGAATGGGACTCCGTCGCTATGACGGTATCAATGCCCGTATCCAAACTTCAAAAAGCTCTGGGGAGAGTCGAAGCTGTTCTAGTCTCATCTCAGACGACGCGGACTGCGCTAGCGAAGCTACTGGGAAGTCTACGGCATGTCTGCTCCTGCATCCGCCCGGCTAAACCGTTCATCCAACAGTTAGTGGCACTATGGAAACGCTCACCAAGGGTACGACCGATTAGCCTCACTCTAGAAGCACGTCTCGATCTCGCCTGGTTCGCCCATATTCTTCGATTTGGACGTCTACGCGGGGTACCTCTCGAGTATTTTTGTGGATTACCTGCTCCGGCGGTACACTTGTACATGGATGCTAGCGATAGCGGACTGTGCGTTCTGAATCCCGTACGACACGAATTCATCCGCCTACAATTTGACCCCGTCGAGCAAGACCTCATCAAGCAACGTCGGCTGAGTATAAACGTACGTGAACAATTCAGCGCACTAGTAGCAGTACTGTGCTGGGGCAAGCACTGGCGATCCTCGAGCCGCACCACATCGACACACGTACGATTCTGGATAGACAACGCCGCCGCAGTGACGTGGTACAACAAGCTAACCAGCACGAATCCGTTATCACAAGAGATGAACCGAATTTTTGGAGCAGTTGAAGCCGAATGGAGCATACGGGTATCAGCCGAACATCTTGCCGGATCATCCAATTTCCTAGCCGACCTGGGATCCCGCGCATGGTCCGACCCGCAACTTACACTCTGGAACAAACTAACCAATGATTGGATGCAGGTCAAAGTGCCCGACAGCATGAGGAAGGCTTACGACGGCAGCTGTACGCCCTTCAACAACGCTCCCTTGCCGATACGTCCCGACGACAATACGACTCGACATGGAAGCAATGGGTCTCCTTCAGTCGGCGCATCGGACGGTCTCCCTGGCTACCATACCAGAGCACGATCAAGTCGCGCAGTCTCTCCAACTGGTGTTTTTTGCCATCGATCGATGGTCGGCTACATGCTCAGACGGACGAGTCGGATCTACCTCCTCCGTGCACGCCCAAGTTAGCCATGTCAAATGGCATCATAAAGTCTATGTCGGGTTCGAACCCGTCATCAGCCCCAGCCACGCCACAGCGTTCGCAGGAATGCGACGCATCAGCCCTCCTCCTCGACCCCGATCTCCCGTCACTCGTACAATGCTCGAGTGGATGTCCGCCCAAATCGACTACACGAAACCCAAGCAACGCCTATTTCTTGGGGCTGCGCTGCTGGGTTTCTTCTATCTCCTAAGAAGTTCCGAATATCTGGCGATCAAAGGGGGAAGGCCCGGTACGCGTTAGAGGTCCGCGACGTCGAAGTACTTGACATCACAGGCAATCCTGCGGTCAACTTCGATGACGCGGTTCATGCGGTAATAACACTCCGCGGAAGCAAGACCGATCAGCGAGGCGAAGGATCGGCACGCTACTTATCACGATCCGGACATGGCAGGGTCTGTCCGGTAATCGGAGCCTCACTGCTGCTGGAACTAGCCCGTCGACACCATCTAAGGCCGACCGACCCGATATGTTCGTTCAGCAAGTCCCGAATGCTCAAGGCAGAAGAAATGTCCAAAGCCCTGAAAGCGGCTGCAATCGGCACCGGAATCGACCCGCAGCGAATATCCTGTCACTCGCTACGCAGCGGCGGGGCCTCTGCGCTAATAGCCGGTGGAGCAGATTCAACAATTAAACTTCACGGCAGGTGGAAGTCAAGCGTATTTCGGAGTTACACACACTACATACATGCAAGAACTGGGAGCACCACTCGCAGCGATGATGGCAGGCAACGGCGACTTGGCATTTCGCGATACGAGCACCACTCGTCGCAATGGGGTTCACGCCTAAGGCGTGCCAACGCGCGGCTGCTTCGTAATCTCTTAATGTCAAGTCTTACTTTGATCCCCACATCATGCAGCACGCTCATCCTATTCTATGCCGATGCCACGACCGAAAACTGGCACTGAAGAACGGATCTCATGCAGAGAATCTGGCAGAAGCACGACCTGCTCACGGAAGATGACGACTGGATGCGGGATTGGGTGGAGGCAATGGCAACCGCATGTCAGATGGGGGATCTCTCTATTTTGCAGTGGATGGTGGAGCACACGTCGGGTCGAGCGACAATCGAGGACCTGAAGCAGCTCCACTACTGTACCATGCGACGTGTGAAAATCACCTTGATGTGATGCAATACCTCAATGACCAAGACGCTGCTGTCGATTATGGGAATGCCCTACTTGGTGCGATCCGCAGGGACAATATGGACGCTGTGAAGTGGCTGGTTGAACACTTCCCTCCGTCGGAGAAGATACCAGAGTACTGCATACTACAGTCTAGTGGAAGCTGCGAGATATGGACGAGTCGGAATGCTGCAGTATTTCCAGAACTTGGAGGTACTAAACGGGCCAGGTTTCCCTGGGTCAACTGCATCCTCGGTTCCTGCAGCGGGTACCGACTTCTCCTTCGAGGTGATGATGTCTGAGGCCAACACCAACTCTAAAGAGCGGCTCATCCCAACCACGCCTTCAAAATGGCAACCAACGGACGCAATGGACGACGCTGCTGCCAATGGCCAACTCGAAGCAGTTCAGTGGCTGCACGGCGAGGGCGATGGACGAGGCTGCTGGAAATGGGCACCTGGAAGTGGTGAAGTGGTTGCATACGAATCGATCGGAGGGGTGTTCGACGAACGCGATGGACGGGGCGGCTGCATATGGAAAACTGGAGATGCTGGAATAGTGTACTCCACTAACATGTTAGCTCATTTTACTGGACACTAACTAACAGTTAGTTGGAAACTATACATGTTAGCTACACTGTATAGTGGAGGAAATAGGTACATGAGGAGATTACTTAGTAATCTGTACGAATATATTTACTACATTACTTGTAGTTGGTCTGGGTGTCTATATTGCGCCGCGGACTTTGACATAGGTAGGAGGCACCTAACTCGTCTTCACTCTTAAAATCGGTCATCATCTGCGCTGATAAGTGGTGTCATGTGAGCTCCACCCAGCCAATATTTCCCTATTTTAGCAGATACTTCGAAGTATATACATTGGATGGTAAATTCATAATTTTGAGGGTGTATTTGTGTTCAGTTTGATACATCGCTCGTCTTGACTGCCCTCGGTGCAAGTATTTACCCTTCTCCATACTTTTGCTCTAACGCTACTAACATGTTAGCTCAAAATACTAGACACTAACTAACAGTTAGCTAACATGTATAGCAGCTAACATGTCAGCGTTAGGGAGTACACTATGCTGGAATGGCTGCATGCGAATCGGTTAGAGGGCTCCTCACACTTTGGAATTAGTTTGGCTGGCCTCCATAAGCACACTGAGATAGTAAAGCGGCTGGTATCGCTATCCCCGAAGAAGCTGAAGAATACAACCGTGACCAGCGCTGCGTACAGGGGAGATCTCGCCTTGGTGCAATGGCTCCACACAAAGGCTAAAGCTCGGTGCACAGTGCCAGTGATGATCAGCGCTGCACAATTCGGTCGCTTGGAGATACTCAAGTATTTGTGCTCGCACCGACCGAAGAGTCTGGCTCGGGAGAGCTGTGCAGCCTTGACTCAGGAGGCGCTAGCCAAGAATCACTTCCGTATTGCGTACTGGTGTTTGACCCACCTCCCGGCCCATTCTCCCAAGCCGATTGAGATGTCGGCTCCGATCAGGTTTGAGACGTTGCTGTTCGTGCGCTTCCACTACCTGGAAATGTTTACCCCAGCGTATGTGGCACCAATTCGAGAGAAGATGGAGTCTTACGGAGCGTCCAAGTTCACTAAGAAGTGGATCGAAGCCCTGGTGTCGTGATGGATCCACAAGTCTGTCATCTGCATAGGGGTAAAACTTTAGCATATTCGTGTTTTTAAGATGGAGGGGTGTGTGTTTGCTTAAAAAAAACCTTTGTTTTTCTCGCTGCCAGGTGTTCCAAGGAAGCTGCCCCTGTATTTTCATTCTGTCTCCACTCGATAATATTGTGTGAGCTGTAACAAAAGGAAGACTATTTTTCTTAACAAACTATAGTAAATTCACGTAATGATTCATTATCCTTAGCTGATTCGTCGTCATTCGACAATTTACCGACAAGCAACGATGTCAACCCCGCTGCTGGTCGTCGATCTGGTGCTCCGCCGCAAGCAGAAGGAAGGCGCTGTTCTCGAGCAACTCGGACGCCTCATCGCCGACTACCTGGGCCCAGACAGGAGCCTGCCACTAAGTGACGCCTGCAGTTCGGGTCCACGACGCTGCTGGACTGGATGTGGGAGTGCAGCCACACCTCCGCTACGGACCGCACTCCCTACTGGTCGCTGACGAACTATCTGCGGTCCGATCCGCTCTACTACCAGTATCAGTTCCACCAATCGATGCTAGTTGCTGCAAAGGAGGGTGACTTACGAGTACTGGAGTGGTTGATGGAGCATTTCTCGGGCTGTGAAGTACCGGAGTCTGTGGTGGAAGTCGCAGCAAGTGAAGGTCGACTGGATATGCTACAGCTTCTACTGGAGCATGACGCTGGCCGTCGAGTCGACGAGGGGCCATGTCGTAAGAAGAGAAAAGTGGGCACTACCGGGGGAGAGCCAATGGCTGAAAAGGAGCCCGAAAGCTGTGGTCATGATGGAGGAGGTAACGTGGTGAAATGGGGAGGGCGCGGCTTGGTGTCGGCTCTGCATTCGAACCGACTCGATATCCTGCAGTTTCTATATGAAAACACACCTCATGGTGTCACTAGCGACCGTAAAGAGGCACTTATGGGGATCGATGTGCAGAAAATAGTGGACTTGTTGAAGCCCAGGGATGGCTCCAACTGCAACGAGTGGCCGCACACTGCCGAGCCGATCGGGTTCGAGTTGCTGCTCGACAATGGTCGATTGGACGATAAGTCCCAAGCTGCATTTGCTCTGGGGAAGCTGGTGCAGCATGGACACTTGGACCTCATGAAGAAAATCTGGGAGAAGCACGCGCAACTCACGTCGATGGGTGACTGGATGAATGAGTGGATGGAGGCAATGGCAACTACGTGTCAGATGGGGAATCTTGCTATTCTGCAGTGGATGATGGAGCATACATCAGGTCGCGCGGTTATCGCGCACTACAAGAAGTACGATGGTAGAGTTTCGTCGCTGCTGTTCTTCGCTACCGATGCAGGCCACCTTGATGCGATGGAGTACCTGTATCAACAAGGTGCGGCCGTAGAGTTGGAGATGCTTTACTGTGTGCGATTCGCAGAGACAACATGGACGCGGTCAAGTGGCTACTCGCCAGTTTCCCTTCGTCGGAGAAACTCCCGGAATATTGCGTTCTCGTGGAAGCTGCAAGACATGGACGAGTGGAAATGCTGCAGTATTTCCAGAGTGCCGTGTCACTGGAGGTGCCGGGTTTCCCTGGCTCCAAGCCACCCTCGATCCCGCAGGCGGGAGCTGAATATTCCTTCCGCATATTGGTGGCTGCAGCCAACAGATATTCAAAGGGGTCGTCTGCGTATGATGATTCACAGTGGCGACCGACTGAAGCTATGGACGATGCCGCCGCCAATGGTCAACTGGAAGCTGTGAAGTGGCTTCATAACAATCGATCCGAGGGGTGCACGTCGAAGGCGATGGACGAGGCTGCCGCATATGGGCAGCTCGAAGTGCTGAAATGGCTACATGCGAATCGATCTGAGGGCTACACGGACAGCGCCATATTTTACGCAGCTCGCAATGATCGTGCTGAGGTTGTAAAGTGGTTGGTAACCCAATCTCCGATGGAGTCGGCGGACGTTGCGATGAAGCACGCTGTCGCCAACGGGAACCTGAATTTGATGCAGTGGCTTCACACAGACGCAAACGCTGAGTGCACTGCAAAAGTGATGATCTGTGCTGCGAAGCACGGTCAGTTGGCGATACTCAAGTATTTGTACTCGTGCCGTCCCAAGGGTCTTGCTCTCACGAGTTGCGCGGTTGCAGCCGAGACAGCGCTCTCCAGGGGTCATTTCCGTGTGGCGCACTGGTGTTTGGAGCATTTTCCTGCGCATCCTCCTATGGTGACGAATGTTTCCTACCTTCGCCCGTTTGAATCATTGCTGCTGCTGCATCGATACTACCCCGAAATGTTCACGGGGGGAGACTTGGCTACAATACGGGAGAATGTGAGCACCCGTTCTTATAATGAAGTGGCTCGATGCCCAGGTCTCGGATTCGTGAATGTTTTGCTGGAGCGGCTAGAGCTTAGTCTGAGAGAACTGCGTGTTGGAGTTTGTCGGAAGCTGCTACTCCTCTAGCTCAAATAAAATAATATAAACGTCTGGTGAAGCAGTACATGTATGCTGCTTCCCTACGCTAACAGTTGACATGGGTCAACTCTATAATGATCCCTCAAAATGGTTGAGTAGCATTCTTGTGAAAATTTTGACCAGGCTCGCTCGTGGCATACGTTCTTCGCAAAAAAATATTTTCTGTTTGTAGAAAATAAGTTTCATGGAGGACTCCTGGCCACGGAGGTCATGGAAACATGAGAGTTTAATTGAGAAGCACTGCTTTCTGTGAAAATTCTGAGGTCAATAATCCAAACTGCTAATTCACAGCACTCTACGCAGTTTGGCATTAGTTACTTCAGGATAGGATCCCTAAATATAAATGGAGGCACGATTCGTGACGGATGCATTCATTAGCAAACTTGGAAGTACTTTACAAAGACCTTCACGTCAATATAAGCGTTAGTGCCAGTATTAGGGGCGTGCACATAATAAAACCAACCATAGCTAGCCCGCCCGCCGACGGTAACACCCGAAGAAACTTGGGTAAGGTTTTAAACAGGTCTTATGCAGGTCTGGTTCTGTTTTGGTCCTACGACATCTAAACGAGACCGAACAGAAAATCGTTATGATTTCGCTACCGGTCCCGTTTGGATGGCGAGACCCAAATGATATCACTACGAAACAAGCCATTTTTAGACCCCCTTCACTCTGATACAAAATATCGTGATAGATGATAGAGGGCATTTGCTATTGAAGTAATGCTGGAGATTACAACACAAATGTCTGAAATGTGCGAGCGAGCGTCTTGCTGATGTCGATCGCTGGATCGTCGACGCTGCTCGGACTGTGCGGTGTTGCTAGACTTCCTAAATGAGCTTCCACGAACTCAGGCGTCCTCGTGCCTGAATCTACTGCTATCTTCGTGCATGTATTCTTGTCTGCATGTACCACTGATCCTTGGTACTTGAAGTACTTGATTGTATTCTGCCTCTGCAGGAAATTAGAGTATCCTTAATCCCTTCACGGCAATCCGTTGCATTCTGCTTGCTTCGCCCGAATACTTGCCATTTCCTTCAATACGACATCGTAGGGGGCAATCGAGGAGTTCAGTTTGGATATGAGCCGAGGCTTGAACTGCACGGCAAATCAGGGCTGTGAAGACTAGCCCCCTTGATAGACGGCTCATGCTAAGGTAATGTTCGATAATCCCCTTGCTTTGTCGTGGTTGCTTTTCCGTGTTGGCACTAGAATTCGAGTTTGCTTGACTGCTTGTTTGGTGCTGTTCACTGCGAGACTGATGGCTGCAAACGGGCCGGTCTGAGTAGTGGTTTGTTTAGCTGCAATATGTCGACTGTTGTATGGTCAAGTTGGCCGTTGATATCCGTGGCAATGATGAGCTCAGTCCCCAAATAAAAGACAGTCTCGACACTGACGCGAATCTTGTGAAGGCGCACTTCCACCTAGCTTTTGGTGACCGTGCTATTGATAAGATGCTGATGTGCTGTTTGAAGGCGCTGTTAGAGCTGGGTCTGACTTCATGCTGGTGTGGCGAGTATTCGGACGAAGCAAGCGGAACACAACAAAGTGCAGTGAAGAGAAGCATAGGTGGAAGGCTACTGGGGTTTCCTGTAGAGGCAGAGTACAACAGCAGACAGCAGTAGCGAGAGTTCGTTTTAGGAAGAGTAGCGGTAGCACACAGACACAGCGACCAGCGCTAGTGATCGAGCGATCGACATACAGCAGGGCGCTAGCTCGCAACTCGCCCACCACATTCCATGGGGCCAGTCTCTCACAGCCCTGCTTCGCAGAGCACTTCAAGCCTCTGCCCCAACTCAAAATTTACTTCTCGATTGCCCCCTTTGATGCCGCAAATGAAGGAAAACCACAATTGGTCTGGCCTATATGCATATAGTGGTAGCTGAGGGACCGAAGATCGACGTCGACTTCTTCTCGTATGCTTTGGCTGCTGTTGGCTGACGTTCGGCCTGGTGAGAGTGGATGGTATCCTGTGAAGCTTGCTGGCCAAGATTTGGCACCATTTGGACGCTTCGCTTGCGTTGGGGTGCGCTGGTTGGGCCCATGGCGACTGCGTTGCGGCCTCATGTGAGTCGCCTGTAAGACGGTGTTGGTACCGTGGAGAGACTGTTGGTGCTGACGGATCCGCCGAGTGTGGACTCTATCGTTTGGCTGAATCATTAACACGCGGGGGCAGGGGTGTCCATCAAGTCGGACGACCCGGGCAGCTAGAGTACAAGCCGGGTTAGCATAACTTACAGTTAACCGTTGACAGCAGAGGTTTTGTCCAGTATGGTTTTTCATGCAATATCCCCTTTAATACATAATACATCTATTTTCCGTTTGCATATTTGATTATAGATTTTTTCCAAAACCCGGTTTTGTGTAGGGTCTTTTTTAGGTCCCATTTGGAGGCTAATTTTATTTCGGTCTTGTTTTGGTCCTACGGACCAAAAAAGACCAGACCTGCATAAGACCTGTTTAAAAATCTTCCGAAACTTGATGATCTTGGACACGATATCTGCCTTCGTGGGGTCTTTGGCAGCGATGGATCGAAGCGACTTGACGGCCTCAGCCGTGGATGAGACGTGGTTCTTCTCCAGCACCTTCGCCGCCTTCGCCACTTGGGGATCCTTTGCCAGTGTCTTGAGTGCGGTCGGGTTCTTGCTTAGACTGGTTAGAATGTCCGGACTGTTCTTGATAGTTGTTCCCAGCTTATTCACGACTGGGTTACTCATAGCTGCGGCCACCTCCGGGTTCTTTTTCATGCTGGAGAGCTTGCTGCTGATGCCAGAGTCTTTGCCGAGAAACTGTTTAAAGAAAAAAACGTGCCCTCTTTCCTCGCCCTCGCGGTCGGTGGCGTCCACAACGGCACCAGCTTTTGCGAAGCTCGTGCCAGCGAAGATGACGATGACGAGCAAGAAGGGGGCGAACCGCATCGTTCCTTTTCCTCTTCGAGACTTTGTCGGGGTTTTGACCTTCTCTCAGATGAGTGGGCAATCGCGAAGTGAATTGCGGCGTTGCACGAGCCGGGGATTCACGCGCGCCCGATGGCCAACTCCTCACGTTCATCGCGGGCGACACTTACGTATTTTAATATTATATTAGGATTATGTACATGTAAAATGGACAGTACGTTTTGCGTCATATTCGTGGCATTTGCTGGGAATCATCAAGTCTCGTTTTCTGTACACCCACTGTACAGTGTTCAGTAAAGCCAACAGGAGAGGGCTACAGTAAGTGTAATGAATGCGTGCAATTCGTACGCGTTCTCAAGAGCCGGGAAATTTTTGAGATGAAAATTTGTTCATTTTGGGTCGTTTTAGCGTTCAACGTCAGCAGGACTCGCGTTCATGATTGTTTTGCTCGAGCGGCTCTGTCCGAGAGCAACGTCCGTTACAAGGGGTTTTCACAGAATGAACGCTGCTAAGGTGCTTGCACAGACACGTACAACGTCAGCAGCTGGGACGATAACCGGGAGGCGTTCTCAATGATACGTGATTCATGTTTCCAATTTCTCGACGACCTGCATTCCTTAATAACATGAGCGGAGTTTTATTCGTGAAACTTTCAAAAACGACTTGAACTCTTCTTTTGCGATGCAGTGTAGAATGGAAAGTGAGATTGAATCAAAAGCTTTACCTACGAGACCTTAGCCGTTCGCTCTAGTTCCTACAATCTAGAACCCTGACAAACTTGATCAGCGCTTCGCGAAGCTTCGACGACCATCACTCTCTGCAACATGCAAGTTGCCCTTGTGTACAGCACATAATCTGTGACGTGGTGCTGCAGCTCAACGACGACAGAAGAATCTATATCGCGAGCTTAGTCCTTCGAGGAATGGACATTTTTGCTAAGAAAAACTGAACTGGTTAAGCTTAGAAGATACACTACTTTCTGCAGTAACTGGCCAATAATTTTTAAGCTGAAAAATCGAGCCAAACAGCTAATTCACCAATTTTCCTAGTAATTCACAGCATCTTACTTCAATCATCAATATCTACATCCCCGCAGCTTCAAGCAAAGAGACAAAGATATCTAGCGTTTCTGATAGCTTATCATCAACGAAATGTATCCGCAACTTTGCTCACGGTTGCTATCGAGCAACGAGCGTACTGTATTGTTGCCACCTACCCCAGCTAGCACTTATCAGATCAAGTAGCCCTAATGTTTGCGATACTCTAACTTTGAATATTCATGTCCTAAGAGTCGCATCGTATCATTCCGGACAATATATCTTCGACAGCGCTAATGGTCCTGGACGAGCACTTCCTGTGTCCCTGGTGGTCTGCGCTTCGCCGCTACCTGGCCCACAGCGAGCCCAACCACCGCGTGCGAGGATGCATCCACTGCTACCCGTTTCCCGCGGGGTTCACTGAAGACGACGACACGTCCAGCTTGGGGGTCTGCTTGGCGGTCGTCTTCCCAGCGGACGTCGAGGCTCGGGAGCAAGAGCGACGCCTCCTGTCGCGCGCCCGGGAGGCTCTGGAGCTCTTCACAGTGCTGGCAGCCGTCAACCGCCTCAAGTTCGCCAATTTCTTCGCCGAGTTCATGGCGGACGAGGACGTCGTCGGACTAACTTCTGGTAAGTACTCGAGGGTGCTGCCTGTGTGGAGGTGCTACCTCCCGAAGCTTTTGAGCCCGTACGTTCCCGTTGCAACGCAGTCCTCCGTGACGTGGGGGCAATTGTTTGGGTGTCCGAACGACCCGTGGGTCTATTCCGTGGATTTCCGCCAAGCTATGGAGCAGGTGAAGGGTCTGGGGCCGCAAGAGCCCGAGAGTTGGCGGGAGCTTCGCCTCGAGGTCGACTGGGCCTTGGGGCACGAGTCGGTGTCGTCGAACGGGAGCAGGATCTGTCCCGAACTGAAATGGACGAGGTGTTGACGCTGGACGCGTTCTCGCGGGAACTTGGGAAAGTTTTCGAGTTGGAAATCCCGCGCGTTCTTCATTTTTGCGCCGTTCAGGACCGAGCTCGGGTGATTAAAGCGTGGAGCGGCAGCAAGTCGCAGGCGCCGGCCAGTAACGCACAAACCTACAAGGCGCAGGTCGACCACGAGACTATACCGGAGATGACGAAGGCTCTTGCGATGACGGACTTTGCGTGCTTGACGGTGGAGCTAGAAGATGAGGAAGCCAAGAACAAACCGGTGACGGAGATTTCGGGGTTTCGCTTTAGTACGCTGGTCGCCCGGCGCTCCATGTGCAAGCTGACGGGGGCTAACCGTGCAATGTCTACAGTTGTGCGCGACGCAAAGTACAAGGAGCTAGATATGGAGCTTACATGGGCGTCCAACTCTAGAGTTGCTGCCGTCTGCTCAGCAGTAGCCGAGTCATCACTAATGGAAACTTTGAGGGTATCCGTTGGCGCGGATATTAACCACAGCGAAGACCAGACCATGGATCGGACGCGTTGGGGGTGGCTGGTGTATGGACTTTGTGCTGGAGAGTCCACAACGCCCGACAAAGTGCTGCATAGTGGCATGAGTGTGTTTAATCTGGCGCGAGAGTACGTCTCCATCACTGCCGAAGTGCTGAAAACCAACTATCCTGAACCAGTACAGCAGGGAAACTCCGTCGATCCTACGAGACCTCCAGAGTACGGCTTTTCTCACGGTCCCAGAAGGAACGGAGCTCCGACTCGGAGGTTTGGCGAATCCAGGAAGCAACACTGTATTTGTTCTGTCCCGTTCTCATCGCTGTCGGGCGCATTATAACCCCGCCACCATGGCTGAATGCATTGACGTCGTTGTTGCTGGGTATGGGATTTGCCGGATGAAACTAGGAGCCAGTGATCGGATGAGGCAATTCGTCCGGGACAGCGCGAACTGTCAGCCAGAAAGCTCACGTCGCCTTAGTGAGTTCAGTTTGGTGATCTCTGACCTGGAAAACGAACGTTTGGTACCGGACTTGCTGAGACTGATCGGTGGTGGGCTCCGAGAACTCTGTTTTAACTACTGCGGGAACCATAAGGCTACTCTAAAGCTCTGCGATGTGGCTGCAGTTTGTCCAGAACTTGAAGACCTTGAGCTCATCTCCTTTGAATTGTCTGCCCCGCTCAGTGGTAAGCTGTGCAGTTGGGGTCTTCAGGAATTGACGATTGGTGACTGCAACTTATTACACGGTCTACCGGCGTGTCTGGAAAATTCCGAGTGCAGGATGTCCCGGGAGTTGCTGAAGATGGAGATAACAGCTTCTCACGACTGCAATGTGCCAGCGGATACTATTAAAGTCCTGGCAGCGCACGACAAGGAGTTCCTCCCAGTTATAAAGGAAAAACTCCCCCTCCACTCGTAGGCTGCGATGATTAGTGCTGCGATGAGTGGTCCAACCCAAAGCGATTCATCGCCTCGACCCCGTCCTTCTGGATTTGATTTTCCGGTTTGCAGCGACGCCAAAGCAGCGGACTGTTGAAGTGCGTGAAGCGTAGTTCTCTTTTGGAAATCCACCCGGCTTACAGGTACAGTGTTAGTCGAGGAGCAAAATCTCCATTCCCTATGAAGCGTACTTAACTAACACCCGTCATAAGCAATATTCCGTGCGATATATTCATTGAAGGTTTACTTTCACGTCACTTGTGCCCGATGTTGGGTGACCTAATCATGACACCAAGGCGTAGAGCCACTTCTCTTGGAAGTCATACGCTTCTGAGAACCCCATCCTCGCTCGTATTTCTGCCAAAAAGCGCGGGGTGAACAGCTCCGGATAGTGCAAGTGCACGAACAACAACACCTCGAATCCGGTGTAAGTTGACAACTCCAATGACGTGGGAGAATGGGCCGGAAGATGAGTCAAACACCAGTGCCCAACTCGGACATGGTCGGTGGCCAGCGCTGCCTCGGACAAATTTCCACTGCTCTTGAGAGACAGATCCTTCAGTCGGCGCGAATACAAATACTTGAGTATCTCCAAGCGGCCACGGCTTGCAGCACATATCATTGCCGCTACTGTGCACCGAGCTTTCGCTTCTGTGTGAAGCCACGTCACCAAATCCAGGTTCCCATTGACGACAGCGTGCGTCATCGCAATCTCCGCAATCTCCGGAGCCTGTGTCACCAGCCACTTTACAGTCTCAGCATGATCTTTGGAAGCTCCATTCAATATGGCGCTGTCTGTGTAGCCCTCAGACCGGTTTGCGTGTAGCCATTTCAGTACTTCTAGCTGCCCATTCGCGGCAGCCTCGTCCATCGCCTTTGTCGTGCATCCCTCGGGTCGATTGGTATGGAGCCACTGCACTGCCCCCATTTTACCATTAGCAGCAGCGTCGTCCATTGCGTCTGTTGGTCGCCATCGCGAAGTAAAACAAGAGCATCTGTTGGCTGCAGAAGTCAACACCTCGGAGGAAAACTTGGTATCTGCCTCAGGAATCGAGGATTCTTTTGAACCAGGGAAACCCGGCACCTCCAGCTCCTCCGATCTCTGGAAATATTCCAGCATTTCCACCCGTCCATACCTCGCAGCTTCCACGAGTACACAATGCTCTGGGATCTTTTCAGACGGAGGAAAATGCTCGACCAGCCACGTCACAGCGTCCATGTTGTCTATGCGAATCGCACACAGGAGGGAGTTCCCATAATCCGCTGCCGCTCCGTGCTCTTGGAGATACTGCATCACGTTTAATTGGTTCCCAAAAGTTGCGTGGTACAGCAGTGGGAACATCTTGTTGATCTCCTTCAAGTGCGCGATAGCCGCTCGGCCCGACGTGTGCTCCACCACCCACTGCAGAACAACAAGGTCCCCCATCTTACACGCCGTTACCATTCCCTGCAGCCAATGCTGCATCCAGTCACCCGTCGACGTGAGTTGGCCGTGCTTCTGCCAGATTTTCTTCATCAGTTCCAAGCTTCCGGACTGCACCAACTTCTCTAAAGCAACCCCAGCGTGAAGCTCGTCGTTCAATAGACCAGCGGCAAAGCTGCGTTCGAGCACAACTGGGCTGGACGAGAACTTCCCGTAATCTAGGATATTTCCCCCAGCAGGCAACAGTTCCTCCGCCAGAGCCATCTCACCAGCGTCCAAAGCGAGTCGAATAGTTGTACCAAGCGCGTAGCTGTGTGCACCCCCGGGGGTGTTCTCATAGATAAACCGGACAATGTCAAACCGCTTTACCAGCGCAGCCCTCTCCATACTATCCCCTCCCCAGTGCACCACGTTGCCCCCTTTAACTCCAGACTTGCTAGGGGCTCTTTCAGACAAAACACCACCCTCTTCAGTGTCGACCCTCCTCTTCTTACGACTTTGTCGCCTCCATGGTACCAGCGTATACATTGACACCGTTGTGAGATCTGTTCTCGTAGAGAAACCGAACGACATGAAACTGCTTCATCTGTGCAGCCTTCAGCAAGCTGCGACCTCCCCACTGCACCACGTTGCCTCGGCCCTGTTCCCTATTTTCAACTGTACCAGTATCCACCCTCCTCTTCTTCCGACATGGAACCCCGCTCTTTTCTTCTTCTCCTTCTTGGGCAGCGTCGTGCTCCAGCAGAAACTGCAGTATATCGAGTCGACCTCGCTTTGCAGCGATCTCCACCACACTCACCGGCACCTGACAGACCGAGAAACGCTCCATCAGCCACTGGATTACTCGTAAGTCACCCTGCTTCGTAGCAGCCACCATCGATTCGCGGAACTGATACTGGTAATAGTGTGGGTCCGACCGCAGATAGTTCGTCAGCGACCAACGAGAAGGTCTATCTGCAGTGGAAACGGGGCTGCGCTCCCACATCCAGTCCAGGAGCGTCGTGGACCCGAGCTTGCAGGCGTCACTCAGTGGCAGGTTCCTGTCCGGGCCCAGGTAGTCAGCGATGAGGCGTCCGAGGTGGTCGAGTGCGACGCCTTCATTCTGCTGGCGGAGCACCAGCTCAACGACCAGTAGCGGAGAAGACATCGCTCGCTAGCCTGCACGACGGCAAATTGTCGAATGGCCGTGAATCAGGTTCGAATTGTTGACCGGTCGTAAGGTACAGAGTAATGAGCCATTACGTTAGTTTTCTTAAAAAAAGTGTGAAACCAGTAGAGTTTAAACTAATGCTAGCACAGCCAACAAGCCGCAGAAGGGTCCCCGCTACTCTGCTATTGCTGTGGAATAATTTTGGGTATTCAAGAAGAAGAAGAGACAAAGAAAACATTATTGTCGTCAAAACGCCGCTCTGCGAGGCTAGTTTTTTTTCCAATATTGTGGGTAGCTAAAAAACAAGAAAATCAATAACATCAACTACATTGACCAAGCAAAACGCTTAACCCCAACTGGTACGAGCAGTTTTGTCGGGTCCGTCTTTGTGATTTCCTGTGAAGTTTCAATCACGAGAGCTGCACGTGACTACTGTAGAAGGCCAAAAGCCATGCGTCTAACGTTAGCAGGAGTCTCGCCAGTTTAGACACCCGGGTCAATTTAGGGACGCAATTGTGAGATCTCTGGATCGAGGATGGCTTTAGCAGCCCCGCACTCTGTAAGTATTCCAACATTTCCACTCGCCCGCGCCTTGCAGCTGTTACAAGTACGCCATACTCAGGGAACGTCTCCGACCGAGGAAAATGTTCGACCAACCACTTCACAGCGTCCATGTTATCTTCAAAGATCGCACAAAGTAGGGCCTCCCCATACCCGGCAGTCGCGTCCTGCTCATACAGTTACTGCATCACACCAAGACGATTGCCATACGCTGCGCGATACAGAAGCAGTGACGCTCCACACTTCACCAAGGTCGCTCGACCCGAAGTGTGCTCCACCATCCACCGTAACATAGCTAAATTTCCTATCTTACCCGCAATTGACATTCCCTGCACCCAATGCTGCATCCAGGCACCCACCGCCCCGAGTTGGTTGTGCTTTTCCCATATTTTCTGCATGAGGTCCAAGCGTCCAGACTCCACTAACTTCTCCAGAACGATGGCAGCGTGGAGTGAGTCGTCCAACAGACCAGCCGCAAATCTGCGCTCGATAACAAGTGGATTGGACGCGCATTTCCCGTACCGTAGTCTAAGACCGATCTGCCAGGGGGCAGCAATTCCTCCGCGAGATCCACCTCTCCACTGTTCAGAAGGCATTCTATTGCCGTGGCCAAAGTGTCAGCATACACGTCTCGAGATGTGTTGCCGAAGAGAAACTTAACGACGCCATAGTGATGGTTATACCATGCTTTGGCCACCCCACTCTACGACGTTGCCTGGAATCCTGAAGGATATCCAGTCGGGCGTGTGCTGCCGCTTGCTCCACCACGCACACTGAAACTTGACAGCCCCAGAAGTGCTCCATCAGCCACTCGATAACTTCGATGCCACCCATTTCACTAGCAGCCAGCATCGATTCATGGAATTGGTGCTGGTAATAGTGTGGATCGACGGCCAGCCAGCGGAGAAGGCATCGTTGCGTTCGGCGGTGAATTGTCGAAGTAATGATGCGAATCAGATAATGCGGTTAGTTATGAAACTTTCCTACTGAGATAGGTGAGGGTATTGGTGTGGTGGGACATCATTGTCAGCCGCCACTAGACCAATTGCTGCGCTCTGAGGATGGCGACGCCGGCCAAGATCGAGGGCGCCGTGCCCAAGAAGGTGTACATGCACTACGACGAGGGCAGCGAGGCGCAGACGCTGACGCTCAAGATGACGCTGCCCTCCAAGTGGGCGGGCCACACCGTCGACTACCTCAAGGAGGTGCGTCCATCCATTCCATTCCATCGAAAATAGTACTTTGTCCAACTTATCCATTGTACTACCGTATTAGTTTTTCGTGGAGCACTACAACAACAAGAAGCCGGACAACACGCTGGACGCGGCGCAGATGCACCTGGAGAAGAAGGGCAACAACGCGCCCTTCGGCGACGAGCTGCTGCACACGGCCGTGCAGAAGTACGACGACCTGTTCCTCAAGGCGGGCGCCAGTACGCTCAAGCCGGTCAAGGTCCAAAGTGCGTTGGATAGTATACTACCGTAGTACTATGGGTGACAACTACTAACCACTGAATTACTACCCTTAGAGAGCGCTGCCCCTGCGACCTCGGACAAGAAGCTGCTGCAGTGCAAGAACCACGGCTGCCAGAAGAAGTTCGCGGAGGAGGAGAACAACGACCAGGCGTGTCGTCACCACCGCCTGCCGCCGCTGTTCCACGACATGAAGAAGGGCTGGCAGTGCTGCTCGAGCAAGATGGTGTACGACTGGGACGACTTCGAGAAGATCGAGCCGTGCGTCGTGGGCCGCCACTCGGTGGTGGGTCCCAACGAGCAGTTCGCGGCCTCGCCGACGGTTGCGGCGGCTGAAAATGCCGCCAACTCGGCGGGTGCTGCGGCCCCGCCGGCGGCTCCGCTCAAGTCCATCGAGGACTACAACCAGAAGAACCCGGACGCGGTCACGGCCGTCTCGGCAGCCAAGGAGAACCAGACGGTGCCGGCCCCCAAGCGCACGGACGGCAAGGCCAACTGCGTCAACTTCGGCTGCCAGCAGGAGTACGTGGTGGCCGACAACACGGACTCGTCGTGCAGGCACCACGCCGGCGCGCCCGTGTTCCACGACGCCAGCAAGTACTGGAGCTGCTGCCCCAAGGACGTCAAGTACGACTTCGACTCGTTCCTGAAGGTGCCCGGCTGCGTCGTGTCGGCGCACTCGGACGTCAAGACGGCTTAGATGGAGTAGAGAGAAGACGGTTGGTGCAGTGCGCGAGCTCGTGCAGTGCATCGGCTGACTGGAGGCCCAAGTTCTCAACAACGAGAAGTTTTCCAGCAAGCTTGTGGTGTTTGTGTCCCGTGCCTTGGATACTATTCGACAGGTTGGCTGGTGATGATGGATTTCGCGCAATTTTGCATCCTGTAAGCGCTGAAGACACTGTCCGGTAGAGCTGCGAACGGGTAAGCTGTTTTAGGTGGAATCGCTTGAATGATTAAACTTACGTTGCTACGCTTTACTGTGCTACTGCTGTTAGATACTTCGAGCTAGATCAGTTAGTAGAACTCTTCGTCCACGCGGTTAATCTCATCGCGCAAACGGTTGATCTCGCCCAGATGCTTCTCCTTGAGGTGCAGCACCTCGGCAATGCGAGCTCGATTGCGAGCCCACTCCTGCTCTTTTGCACCTTTGACGATCTCAGCCACCTTGGCGAGACTCTGTTCGCGCATGGCGTCTTCCTGGGCTAGCAGCTTACCGATGTGGATATCGTGGGACCCGTTGATAGCGTTGTTCAGCGCATCTCGGTCGTTCAGGATGGCGCGACACTCATCAGTCAAGTAGTCGTCATCCTCGCCATCGTCGGACGCCATCCGTTCCAGTAACGTGACTGCCAGCTGGCTCACGTTCTCGAAGAAGTTGTTTTCAAGCACCTCGATCGTCCGGAAGTGCTCCGTGGCAATGTCGCGGGCCTCGGAGCCTACCGCTTCAATGGAGCTTTCCATCGCAGTGATGAGCTCCTGCGCTGTCTCAACGACGTCAGACTCGAGATTCATCAGCTCGTTGTGCAGCTTCTCACTGGAAAGTTCGGCGTCGTGGAGGAGCTGAAGCCCCGCAGCAGAGCCAGAGCCGTCGACATCCGAGTTCGAGACACTGTTGGCTGCTGCTGCCTGCTTCAGAAGCTGTTTGGCAGTCCGCCGATGGTTCTCCACCGCTCGAATACTCGCTTCCTGGGCGTCGGCCTGGAGTTTCTCGTACGTGGCTTTGAACCCGTCCACTTCCTTGGTCAGCGCGGAGTGCTTCTCCAGCAGAATGAGCTTGACGTCTTCTGCCGCCGCCTTGGCCTTCTCCGTGTAGTCGTCGATGATGTTGCGCAGCCCCGGCAAGACCTCGATCTTGCTCATCTCGGTGTCCTCCTTGAACATGTCCGTCAACAAAGTCTGGCAGGAAACGAATCAGTGAGACCTCGACCCGTTCAAGCACTCAGCAGATTAGTAGTGCATCTACCTCGAGGATGATCACGTTGGCGTCGCGCAACATGTTCAAGTATTTCTGCTGCTCGGCTTCTCGGGCGAGAGCAGCGTCTTCAATGGCCTTCACCTCCCTGAGCTCCTCCAGTTCGTCTTGGTACTGCTCACGCGCCTGCACGGTCTCGTTCTCGTCCACAAGCGCGTAGTCCAGATACTGGAGCTTCTCCAAGTGAGCCAGCAAGAATCTACACAAGCGAGACAAGGCGGAGTTTAGTTCTCACTCATCTCTATCAAATTCCGTCGATAGCAGCACCTACGGTCGATACTCCGGGTCGGAGCAGACGGGATTGCCGCTCAAATTCAACACCCGCAGCTTCTCGAGGCACTTCAAGTAGAGCAGACCCTCCGTGGAAGGCAGCAAATTGTTGCCAATGGACAATACCTGCTCACTCGGAAGTCAGCGGACAAGAACAAGACAGAGAAGGGTCATTTCCGCGTACCTGGAGCTCCTTGAGCGTGTCGAGGTTCTCGAGCTTGGCGATGCAGTTGTTGTAGAGACTCAGGTCCGTGAGCTTCACGAGGTTCTCCAGCCCCTTGATGCTCGAGATGTTGTTGAAGGACAGGTCCAGCCACTCGAGGTGCACGAGGTGGCCGATGCCGTCGATCTCCTGCAGCACGTTGTTGTCCAGCTGCAGCTTGACGAGGTGGCGCAGCGTCTCGAGGTTCTCCATCTTGAAGATGTTCTGGAACGACAGCGACAGCGTCTGCAGCTTGATGAAGTCCACGCTCTGGTCGGCCTCGTTGATGGCGTTGTTGTTGGCCGGGTCCAGGTCCGCACACGCCACCTTCTTGATCAGCTCGTCGCTGATCACCGCCACCTCCGCGTGCCGCACGCCCAGTCGATGCATGGCCTCCCCAGCAGCTCCGGGCGATGGGAGGGACCGGTCGGAGATACGCAGTCGGTCGCGCTTGGATCGGAACTGCCAAGAGTTAATGCGACGGGGCGGGCAGCTTTTGATGCGATGCCTCCTGCATCAACCAACCACCCCCTGAAATAGGGCAACATCCCACGAAACGGATCGAAGTTGAGCTCGTCAATGGCTTGGGACTCGCTCGGTGGTGTAAGCTTAGCTACCCATGGCGCTGAGATAAGGCTGTGAGTGGTCCATTGTCGAATTTCCAGCTTCATCCAGCCCAAACAAGCCCCACACAGCTCTGCTTGAAAGCACCACGGAACCCCCACCCCCCAACTAACAGGTTGAAACAATGGGCTGCGTTAGCTCCGTGCAGCGGCATCTGGCCGATGAAAACGCAGACGCCAGCGAGGCCTCACAAAGTGCGTCCTCCCAATCCGTCCCCTTCACCAAGACGCCGAGTGTGGCGCAGGTGCACGAGGGCGTGCTGTCGGAGATGGTCCGCTTCCGACGGCCGAACATCCGCGATTCGGCTGGTTTTGACGTGGTGGACAGCGAGGAAGTGACGCTCTTGATCCAGCAGGGTGGCGCTACCGATGGTCCGCAGCTGCTGCCGGAAGAGCAAGAGGCTGTTGTGACTGCTCTGCGCGGGAACGTCATCTTCTCCTGCATGCAGACCGAGCAGCTCCAGTCCCTGGCTAAGTGTATGTTCGTGCAGGTGGTCAAGGCGGGCGAGACCGTGATCACTGAGGGCGAGATCGGCGACAAGTTCTACGTGGTGCGCTCCGGGCGATTCGACGTGGTGGCGAGCGACGGTCACACTATCAACCGCCTTGCTGTTGGTTCTACCTTCGGCGAGCTTGGTCTGATCTACCGAGCCAAGCGCACAGCTACGGTGATCTCGGATCCCAAGGTCCCCGGTTCATTGTTTGCACTCCCTGGCAAATATTTCCGATACGTCGCAGCACAACGATCTCTCGAGACGTATCAAAGCTCGCTGGACGCGCTCAAGAAGGTGAAGTTGCTGAGCAGCTTGACGGCTGAACAGCTTGAAGTGGTGGCGGCTTCTGTGTATTCGCTGCAGTACCGACCTGGAGACACCATCGTACACAAGGGAGAGCCCGGTCGCGTCATGTACATGATTCAAGCTGGCACGGTGATGTGCACGGATATCGGGAGTGGCAGCGCTGCGATCGCCAAGGTGGAGCTCAAAGAGGGCGACTACTTCGGAGAGCGCGCATTGCTGTCGGCCGAGCCACGTTCCGCTACTGTCGTGGCTCAAACGGACGTCCGTGTCATTGCACTGGACCAAACGACGTTCACATCTCTGCTCGGTCCGCTGCAGCAGGTTCTGGACTACAACCGGATGCTGCGGACGTTGGAGAGCATCACTGTCATGAAGAAGGTGCCGTACGCGCTGAAGAAGAAGCTGCTGGACTCGGCGCGCATCGTCCACTTCGAGCCGAACGAGACGATCCTGAACGAAGGGGACGAAGGCGACACCTTCTACATCCTGAAAGAAGGCGAGGCGAAGATGCTGCAGCAGCCCAAGTCCCGATCGTCTTCAACCGCTTCATCGTCGTCGGCTCCAGCGTCTCCGATCCACAAGATCGTCCCATTGAACAATGGCAACGTGGAGCTGCCGTCCCCACCGCCACCTCTTCCTTCCCTTGAAGTTGCTCGCATCCTGCCAGGCGACACGTTCGGAGAGCTCGCCATCTTGGACCGCCGGTGCCAACCAGCCTCCATCATCGCCTGCACAAAGGTCGAGTGCTTCGCCCTGACCAGCCGCGACTTCGACAACATCTTCGAGTCGGTGAAGGAGGACCTGTACGACCTGGCAATGCAAAAGGAGAGCGTCAGCTGCGATAAGCTCTTCGCACACAGCATCACGTTGTCCAGCCTCAAGTACATCTGCGCCATCGGCATGGGCTCGTTCGGCGTCGTGCACATGGCGGAGCATGTCCCCACAGGTCGGTTTGTGGCCGTGAAGGAGATGTGGAAGTCTCGACTGGAGAAGTTCCGCCAGACGCACCACATCTACAGCGAGAAGAAGCTGCTCATGCAGATCGACTCGCAGTTCCTGCTCAAGTGTTACGCTACCTTGCAGGACGAAAAGAAGATCTACTTCGTCACGGAGCTCCTGGTCGGCGGCGAGCTCTTCCGTCGTATCGTGACGCCCGCGGGAATCCCCATTTTGCTCTCGCAACCCGACACCCGATTCTACGCGGCGTGCTGCATCAAGGCGCTCGAGTATCTGCACGAGCACAACATCATCTACCGGGACCTCAAGCCCGAGAACATCTTGCTGGACTCGAGTGGCTACGCCAAGCTCGTGGACTTCGGCTTTGCCAAGAAACTGACCGGCAAGACGTACACACTATGCGGAACTCCAGAGTACTTGGCTCCAGAGATCATCCTCGGCATCGGGCACAATGTGGCGGTGGATTGCTGGGGCCTCGGCATCCTCATCTACGAGATGGTCGTGGGCGACTCGCCCTTCTCGTCCCCCGACGAAGACCACCTCGCCGTCTGTCGAAATATCCTGCAGGGCCACATCTCGTTCCCTTCGGACTGCGACTCCGACTGGAAATCCGTAGTCCAAGCTCTGCTCCATCGCCAACCGGAGAAGCGCGCGTCGATGATCGCTGGGTCGTTGTTGAACGTTCGGAAAGAGAAGTGGCTCGCCAAGTTTGACTGGGAATCCTTCACGCAGAGAACCATGCCCACGCCCTGGATACCGGACGTCACGAGCGAGATCGACACAAAGTACTTCCCGCACGTCTCGAAGGAAGAGCTTGCCGAGTTCGAGTCTTGGAAGGAGCACAAACCTGTCGACAACTGGGAAGGCTTCTGAGCAAAATTCAATTTGTCTAATAATGTATGTATACTAGCGATTTTACCCCCACAAAGCTCCTTGTGTCTAAGTATCGACGAACCCTATATATCTTGGATTCCGGTCACATCTGTTGGTGGTTCTTCGTGTCTGCCTCACTCCCCTTCTCCTCCTCCTCTTCATCCTTCACGACGTCTCGGGTCATTACAGCCGACGGGTGTTTCTTCAGCGGAGCCAGCTTGGTCGACTCGAGGTATTCCTCCACGTCCAGCGCCACCTCCGCGGACTGAACCGTGTCGTTCCTTCTGCTCGTGAGCACCTGCGACTTCATGTCCACCACGGGCGCCGGCACCTCCACGACCGCCGACGTCTCGTACATCCTCTTCAGCAGCCGCTGGAAGCGCCGGAATTTGTTGGTCACGTGCGAGATCACGAGCACAGCCAGCAATGGGTACACCACCCCCCCCGCGATGAGAAAGTAGACGCACACCCCCATCTGCCAGCACGTGCGACCCGAGTCGTTCTCCGAACAGCGGTTGTACTGGTCCTTGTAGAACGTCGAGTCGATGACGGGCCGGAACACGAAGAAGTACCAGACCACGGCAGCCACTAGACACCCCATGCCGTTGAACACGCACAGGTGCATCAGGTACTTGTCCGCGATGGTGTTGTGCGTGGTGGTGATCAGGTGGACGGCCCAGACCACGACCACCACAGCCAACCCCGCCATGACCGACAGTATCAACTGTAAGAAGGTCATGGCTGCACCACAATACACCTCCATCACTTGGCAATATTGCTTGTGTAGCTCCCCCACTGCATCCGCGCAAAAAGTCTGCTGCGCAGCACTAAAAACAATGAGAAAATAAAGTTATTGTCAGAATAAAGTTTTTACCCCCCCACATAAGAATAATAAAATAATCTGTTTTACCATTGGGCGCTGTAGGTGTCGACTCCGCTCTCCTGGGGCGGGACCCAGAGCGAGTTGCCAGGGTCGAACTTGGGGTCGCCCACGTGCTCCGTGTAGTTGAGCCAGAGCCCCATGCCCTGCGAGTAGTAGACGGTGTCCCCGCGCTCGCCCGACTGCGACAGCCAGCGCGGCATGAGCGTCGTGTACCACGTAAGTGGCACTAAAGCCACGGCCAGCAGCACCACCGAGAGCTGCAGCAGGTTCTTCATGGCCGCTAGCGCAACAAGCTGCAAATGAGATGGAGCTCTCGGTGGATTTTGGTATATTGATAGCGAAACTGATATGCAACGAATGGATACATTGTGTGTGCCACACGAATTTGAATGGATATTTTATCTGACCTACGAAAAAAGGCTGGGATAGGATTGGTTAACTCACCTTTGATCGCCATTGATAAACTCAATCCGCACGCTCCACGGACATCTCCTGCGCCTGCTTCGCAGCCGCAGAATCTGCCCGACAATGTATCGCCACTATGGTCACGACGTACAACCGATTTCAGAGCAAAATCAATGGGAAGATTTTTAAATGGGTCTTATGCAGAACAGGTCTTAGATTTGATCAGAGCGTACTTTTTCTTTGAACTTGTGGTTGGATCACATCTGCCATGCTTTGACGACGTAGGTCGCCTCACTACACAACGAAACTGAGCGGAGCGACTGCCGTGGTGGGTGCTGGGAAGTCCAGCCCCCTCAGTCATCCAACCCCGCGACGGACCGAGCCGCCGCGGTGCCCTGGGTTGCAGCCCAAGCGACCCCCGCTACGGAATCCGTCGATTGACGACCCCCAACGCTGTCCGCTCGACTCTCAAGACTCCCCGAGTGCCATCTCGGTTGGGCCAGCACTGCTCGCAGATGCCCGTGTGCTGCGAGGGCCTGGTCGACTATTACGACGACCCGCACAAGATGAGCGCCATGGACAAGAGCGCCAAGGATGTGGGCACGGGCTCTGTTTACGCCCCTGCCTGCGGCGACGTGATGAAGCTGTACCTCAGTATGGACCATTGTCGACTCGTTGTCCACGACAATCGGCTGCGGTGCGGTTGGGCGATTGTGTTCTCCTCGGTGACCACGGTTCAAGGGCAAGCGCGTGGAAGAGCTTCAAGATCAAGAACAAGAATATCGCGTCGGATCTGAAGCTGGCGCGCAAGTGGGGCGGACGGGACTTCAGCATGAAGTCTTGAGCCATGTCGTCTCCAACGATGAGTACGCGATCGACCGCCAGGAAGTGGCTTATGGCTTCGACGGGTCAACTCTGCCTTGCACCACGTGCAGCACGACATGGTGCGCTATGCAAGCTGTGCTATTTGATGGTCGAAGACACGGAAGTGACGTGGTTCTGAGGCAGACGCCGTCCGTCGCGGTTACGCGCCGACCGGTGCGTGGTGAGTACGGAGCACGTCAAGTCCACGGAGATTATCCGGGTGCATTGCCGCTGTTCCTGCTGTTCAAGTCCGCGTAGCTCGCCGCTGCCGTGCTCCGAGTCGAGCGCCAACGCGCGCACTTTGGCCGTCACCGTGAGCGAGCCTGGTACCGCGTATCGATGCCCACGACACCCCCATGGTGCGCGTCAGGCGGTGCGTGATGTCCACGCGGAGCCCGACGAGGTGTGCGCGCAGTCGGATAGCCCGGCTCGGACGGCTCGAAGACGCGCTAGCGCTGCTGCTGCTGGTCCTGCTTCTGCTGCCGGTCGGTCAGGGTTGTTCGCAGTGCAGCGTCTTAGCTTCGGAGACGTTGTTACCGTGCTGCGGTTGTGGTACCTCGCTACGAATCGAAGCGCTTTTTTCTTCCAGCCAAGCAGGAGTGAGGCTTGTCTTGTGGACCACAAGACCACAAGTTGTGGCTAGCTAGACTACACAATTCTAAAGTATATGTACCACATACATGCTGTAATAGTAGGTAAACTAAGTTAACGAGTTGTGTGTCAGTTACCTGTGGAGTATCGATGTTGAGAGTGTGAAAGGAAACCACTGGTTTCAAACTAGCCCAGGTGTGCGCAGCGCACCGTGCGCTGCTTTGACTGAAAGGCACCTGCAGTGCTCAGTGTACAGTGCAGTAGTTGCGAATGGGATACAATTCAGCACCACCCATAGAAGCATGAACAGCGTGTGCTATTGCAGCTAATGAATCTTGCTGTCAAGAGAAGTTGGGAAGGGATGCATGTTGGATTAGTAGCTGATAGTACAAGTAGCAGTAGTTGCAAATACCTCATGCACACCTTTTCACCTAAAGAGAGCTGTGAATGTTTGGCTCAGGTCTTTCGATTTGGTCTCACAATCAGCATGTTCAAATCCTGGACCTGATCTGCATAAGAACCAAAATAAAGGCAACCAATCAATGAGGAATCTAACTCGACGAATTTGCAAATGAACTGGACCAGCCTCCATCATTCGTGAGAAGTCTAAAACACTCAGTCAATAGACAGCACTTACTGTAAATTGACCTAAAGACGTTACTGGTTCATCACCGGTGTCGATTAGAAGGGGGGACATCGCCCGAATTAATCCTGTTTGGGCTGGTCTATCAGCACTTCGTCGCTTCCTATCCCAGTATTAATCTGAAGTTAATTTGCTCATACTTCGATTTCTTGTTTAGCCTAATCCAGGTTTTCATGATTTTTGCAAGGTCTTTAGTACTTACTTGATGTTGTAAGCGAAATTATGTATCGCCATTAAGTTAAAGTTTAAGGAAGCTGTGGGCATATTTGGTAGAGGCATGTATCACAAAGGGTGAAGCGGATAAGAAAGAAAACACTCACTGTATCGTAGATGACAAAAAAAAAACACTCGCCAAAAGTCGGCATTTTCGCCGATTTTTCGTCCAAAAGTATCGGATTGTGATGACAAAAGTAGGTCATTTTCGTGACAATAAAAATGTCCAGTTGTATGACAAAGACACAAAAGTTTCGAAATATATACTTAATTTCTGTATTTTTATTTGCATCAAACAAATTAGAAGTATAATTATCATAGAAAACACATGACATAATTGAAACGTTAGGAAAAATAGAAAAGTTTAGCATTTTAAGTACACAGATATGACAAAAATATGCACTTTCGTGGGTACCCAATGACAGCCGTTCTTTGCGAGTGTTTTTTTTTCATCTACGGTACAAGAATTTGTTAATTAACAATACATTGTAACTCTGCTTCGCTTGCCTTTCTAGGCATGTTCACGCTGTGGAGTATTGTTCCGCACACGACAGCGACGACACTGCGTTGCAGCTGTCGCCGGTTGCTCGACCGACACAGCAGCCGACACCTGAGGTCCGCGTCAACGTTGCTACTGCATAAATTATTGTGTGTGAGCCGCATCAACAGAGACACTACGTAATGAAGCGTCATTGGTTGGTACTGCGGAGCTGGTGGGTGTTGCCATATAGGGCACGCACCCCTTGCAGCCAGGTCGAAGATGTAGGAGAGGGCCGATAAACGTCTTTCCTAAATGAATTCAACTCGCAATCTATTATCCTTTGCAGCTCGCAAACGTCATAATCGCATACCGTGCGCTGTATATCATGATATGGGTTTCGCCAGGTGATGTGTCTGTTCCATTGAAGTTATGGCTCGCAGATATTTGACGATGTTGGTTCGTGAATTGTCTGGTTATCGTCATCTTTGACTTTAAGCTCACACGCATGCCATATTGAGAAGTCTGGATAGCCATATCCCGAACACGTACTGTAATCTGCTCACTGCATTACGCGTTTTGACGGATCCTTGTGTTATCCTAGATCCTTTAGTCGTTGCCGCACATTGAAATGCTGTTAAATGAGACGCCGATAGATGACCAGCGCTTGAGGTTACATTGTTAGTTAATTAGATAAGCCCCCCCCCCCCGATGAGCTCGTAGCCGCACAAGCAAATTTGCGACGCGCTGTACCATCCCAAACCGTATCAATCCAAAAGATTACCCAGTGCAAGTGCCTGCATTGTTCAAGCTGGGACCATGAAGCAAGCACCAGCATAGTCGTCGCTCATTCCTCGATATGCGACGAGCTGCTCCAACCTCGTTCGCCCCACTGTCGCCTTCTTTACAGGCAACCACACGACATGATGCATTCCATCCGAGTGATCGAAGACGACGGGGCTACCGACGGTTTATCAACGACCTCTCACACCGAAACCCGGAAGACTCACGAGGGTTTCCCACGGAGAAACTTGGCAAAGACTTCTACGTCCCCAGTGGCGAAGATTTTGTTCCTGGATGGTGTGCGCGGCACTGCGGTAGTGTTCGTGGTGACCCAGCATTCTGGGTACATGCATGACCTCTTCATGGGAGCGGTCGGCGTGGACGCCTTCTTCGTGCTGTCTTCCTTCCTGGTGACCATGATCTTCATGAAGAAGAGCATCAAGCTGATGACGGAGAGTGCGTCCTACCGCAAGTGGGGCTTCGCTCTGCTCGACTATTTTTCCAAGCGCTTCGTCCACGTCTACCCGCTCTTCGCACTGCTGGTGATTGCGCTGTGGCTGATGCCGTTCGAGTACAAGAACGGATTCTATTTGGTTAAGAGTCCTGACGACTTTAACCTGCTCCAGACCCTCACGTTCGACCCGGAGCACCGCCACTATCTGCTGTGGACTCTACCCCTGGAGATTTCGTACTACTTTATTCTACCCGCGTTCGGGCTGGCCGTACTCAAGATAGGTCGCTTCTGGTGGATGTCTTCGCTCTGCTGTACGTCTGGGTCATCCACAAGGGGCTCTACACGACTCGAGACAACTACTACCGACAGCCATTGACCAAGCACCTGCCGACATTCGTTGCGGGGTCCATGGCTGCCGTAATCTTTGTCAAGTTGGAGGCGTGGATTAAAAGCGCACAATTCACGTTCCGTAAGCTGCGCGTCATCGGCATCCGAGTGGTAGAAGACGCCTTGATTGCAGCCTACCTCAGCGTCGTCTTCCGTGGATAATTCTTCAACTGGTTGGGCATGCCGCTCCCGCCAGACACTCACTACATCATGCCGTTCACGAGCGTCAAGCTGTCGCTGCTGATCGTGATCGAGATGATCCAGCCGTCCACTGTGGCCGAAAGCTTCGAGTGGGTGGTGCTTCGCTATCTGGGCAAAATCAGCTTCTCCGTCTACCTGCTGCACGTGTTCGTGATCTTCACTGTGTCAATCAAGTTCGAGCCAAAAAATAAAAAAGGAAAGTGATCGTCAACAACCACTTTTCCGGTCACTAGCAACCTGCACTTTCTAACTGTACTTTCTCAAGCATCGTACCGGTACCGGTAGCCAGATTGTCAGTTCCCAAGCTTGATCTGTTGCTCTGCCTCAGTGCCAGAGCTGTTAATACCGGTACAGTATTCCAAAGCACGGCAACCATACAAAACGTTGACCGCGGCGATGACCAGCGCTAACGTGTAGGTGGCTCAGCTTAAACCCCTTGATTCACAATAACTCGCGCGAGTTAATCTAAATTTCTTGATTCACAATAACTCGCGCGAGTTAATCTGAATTTCTTGATTCACAATAACTCGCGCGAGTTAATCTGAATTTCTTGATTCACAATAACTCGCGCGAGTTAATCTGACGCTCAGACGTTCAAATATTCAAATATCACAACCTTGGTGTAATCCACACGAGATTACTGTCGGCCAACAGCTCCCCACACAACACAACAAGCCAGTACCTTTCGAGAGTTTGCGGAGAACCTAGCTGCAGCTGTCCCACCTCAGATGTCTCCAAACCACACCTGGACGAAGTTAGCCGAGTTCCAAGGCGAAGATGCGTTAGTCAAGTTTCGCTGGGAGCGATTTTGCTGTTCTGCCATATTTTGGGTGAGGACGCGCTGGTGTATGATTTGCCCCGGGGACCACTCGATGGCTGAGCGGCGCCTTCGCTGTCTGAGTCCAGACTGTAAAGGATCTGTTACATGTGCAACGCTCTGGAAAGTGCATGAGTGCCCGACTTCGAAGCGGTGGATTGCGTACACAAATGGCCAGCCACACGTGCGTGGAGACATAGCGTGTTCGTTACCACCTCACGCCAAGGTGACACGTGAAATGCGCGACTACATCCAGCGAATGGACGAAAACGCGGTACCACCACGCTTAATCTGGAGCAACATGCTTCGTGCACCTGAAATACCGACTCCAGTGCTTGGGTTTCCGACGTGCCCTCACGTTCTGCGTAGTGTCAAGTACAATCGATGGCTGCAGGGGTCTAAAAACCTTATTGTCAGGACGAAGGAGTTAGTGAAGGCGAAGGCCTTCGTTGCTAGAGTGGATCCCGACACCGCGTTTGTGTTTGGAAATCGTGAAGATGAGCACGGCTTCCCTTTTGTCGGGAACGGGGAAGATGATGAGCCTTTGATACTTGGAATCACGAGCTTGAAGCTAATGCAAAACATCAGTTCGCTACAGGATCGCGAAGCATTTCTTATTTTTCACTTGGACGCTACTTTCAAGCTGAGCGACATCGGTTACCCTGTTGTTACGTGCGGTTTCACCGATCGCCACCGAAACTACCACCTAGCCGCGCTTTTCATTGTTAGCCAAAGGACCCGACGCGAATATTACGAATCGATTGGAGCTTTCGCACGAATTTTCAGGACCCACATGAAAAGACCACTTCGAGTTGACGTGATAATGGGCGACGCCGAAGAGGCCCAATTGAACGGACTGCGAGATGTTGCAGAATGTGCAACCTGTCCGTACCTGATGTGTTTCTTCCACGTGATGTACAATGTACGCAAGCGAGTGCGACACTTACCAGATTCGGTGCGAGCTATGGTGTATCGTGGTATTCTTGACATGCACTACACACTCAACCAAACCGAATTTTGGGAGGTGTGGGGGCGTGTATCTCAAGAGCGGCAATGCGATAGAAGGTTGCACGTCCTTTTGACATATTTCGCGGCACAATGGATTCATAGCCGCTTCTGGAGATGGCAGATTTATCACTCTCCAGGGGGGGTACGCTACAACCAACAACCCATGTGAAGTGTTTAATGCCAGCATCAAGCGCTATACGCAGCGCAAGGCAGCGGATACGCGCCGTTTGTTGATGAAGCTACTGACGATTGCAGAAGATTATTCGCTGTGTGTACCACCTCCCATGGCATCTGGACCAAACGCCCCGCCTCAAGTTGCAAAGCAGCTGGCCCGAACGATAGTGTCGACCAACCGAGTCGTCGTTTACGCTACGACCGAGAAGTCGGTTGTTCGCGTGCTATATCATTGCGGTGATCATTTGGAAGACCGCCCCGAACTGTCTGATTATGACGAGTTGAAGGCCCCCAGCAACGTCAAAACTCCTGTCATCATATCGCCCGAGTGTTTAACAGATGCAGAAAAGGCTACCGCTGCCAAGTTCTATCGGGAAGCTGTGAAATGGTCTGTACGCCGCGCGCACCACGTTGGCATGCCACGAGGCGGGTGGGCGGTGCACCTGAGTACGTTTGAGTGCTCATGTCTTTTCTATAAGAAGTTCCTGTTTTGTGCCCACATAATCTGTGGACGTGCGGCTTACGGACTCAGCGTGCCTGGAGTTAATGGGTCCAATTTAAGATTCAAGGATAGGCGTGTGCGCCAGAAGCGTCCACAAGTGAGCAGTGCGGCTACAGTGCATGTAGATGATTCAGCTACCGGTTTACTGCTGGCAGCCAACGAAGTGTCGCTGCATGGCAATCACACCGGGTCCGATCTCAGGAGACATGCGCATACCTTCCCAGCTCAAAGTCTTGGTGTGGTCGGGGCAGAAGTCGGGTTCGATATTGGCTTCGCGCCTGGTTTCAACCTTTGTCCGCAAGATCACACCAGATACACAGCATATGCCTACAGACCAACTGGTTACACGGCGACTTTACCAGACCCGGTGGCTTTCCAGCTCGATCCACAGCATTTCCAGCCTCTCTACCCGCCGATTGCACAGCCAAGTCCTGCAGCTCCCCCATATTCATTTCAGACTGGTTTGGCGGCTTGGCAAGAAACATTTACCAGTTCTGGGTCATATGTATGGTCTACGTCAACCACATCTGAGCATTTGCCACCTCCAACCGAGCCCTTCCCCATCAGACGCCAAATTGGCCGTCCCCCCCTGGTCACGGCGGCCCTCGACATGCGATTTTTGTTAGATTAGTTCCTGGCTAGAGGCTACCTGCGTGTCTATAGGAATATTACATCTTTTACGACTGAAGTACTTCTCAAAAGGTCGGTAATGTTGAAATTGAGGCTGGTTGTTGCCACCGATACCATGTAGTTGTTTCCTGGACCTTGCTTATATCGCAAGATCTACAAACATCTACGTCACAAAGCGATATAATTGATGACTCACATAGTATGTATTCGAATGCCAGTCTGTAGGTGTTTCTGGTTTTGTGAGTAGAACAATCAGGCTCGCGTAACGAAACCACTTTCGAGCTCTCCCGGAATCTATCTTGATTTCTCAACAGCGTTTTCCGTGTTTATAATTTAGAATTCATCGGCTTGGAAGCACCTGCTAACTATTTGCACTTGGTGCCGCCAACGCAACATGGTCACTATGTGCTACTCTCCATATATCAAAATGGAGGTTTCCATTGAGTTATATAAAGCCCACATGTGTAGTTTGGGTCATCCCTTGGCTTAGTTCGTGCTCGGCACTTGTCGCTTCGCGCTTGTCCTGTTCAGGCGTCAATAAGTCTTGGGCCTCGCTGCTGTCATCCTGTACAAGCAACCCCCTACTAGCTACAATGGACGGAAAGGCAACTTGGCTGAGTAGGCGTTCGTGTTAACCGGATAAGCTCACGGCCACTGCTCAAGTATAAGCGTATCGCCACAAATGCGGGCTTAGGGAATGTAAGCACTGCAGTTCGAACCTCATACAGCCCCCCTGGCCTGCTGTAGGTCGGTTACGCACTACTTCATACTAACCCCGAAGTACTTCATACTAACCTCAAAGTGCTGGATTCAGAATAACTCACGCGAGTAAATCTGAAATACTGGATTCAGAATAACTCGCGCGAGTTAATCTGAAATGATGGATTCAGAATAATTCGCGCGAGTTAATTTGATATTTACTCTTGATCTGATTAATCTGATACCTAAAATGATTGGCCATATACGGCTGACTATCATTCGAGAATTCCCCCTCCCTTCCCCCCTTTTCCGAATGAAGAGGCGGGTGTGTGTGAATCGCACTGAGAAGGAGAAGCTTGCGCTTCTTAGGCGCTGGAAAGTAGATAACCCAGATTGGACTCTAGAAGAAGCCGCTGTCGAGCATGAGGTCAAGGAATCGACTTTGAGAGGCTGGGTGAAACGCTACTGGGATGTTTGTGACGAAGAGGTTGGCTCAGATCGCAAGCGCAACGAAGGCGGAGGACGAAAACACAAGATGAAGCCGTACGAATGGAGAGTAATCGAATACCTTGATGAGCTTATGGAGGACAACTGGACGTTTGACGATGTGATGTTTTATTGCCGGAGCCTGGAAGAGTTCAACTCGGATTTTGACATTCCAGAGTCCCAAGTAACATGGGTAAAACGGTTTATCCAACGCTACACAGCACGTGTACCCCCTGACGATGGCGGTGTACCCTCTACTGACGGCGGTGCAACCTCTGGTGGTGGCGGTGTAACCCGTGGCGATGACAGTGAGCACGAGGAGAATGGAGGTGCTGGCGGCGTAACCCCTGGTGTCGACAGTGAGCGTGGTCAAAATGATGGAGTAACCACTAGTGATGATGGTGTAACCCCTCGTGATGGCGGCGTAACCCCTGGTGAGGACAGTGAGCTCGAGCAAGATAATGGTGTAACCCCCGGTGACGGCGCTGTACCCTTCGATGGCTGTGGAGATGAAGACAGCGATGAAGACAGCTACGATAGCGCTGGATCGGATGAAAGCGATAGCAGTAGCGAGAGTATGGATTGTAACGAGTCCGAAGAGAGCGAGTATGAGGTACCTACAGCTGCTAAGAAGACTTCTTTGCCTCGGAGGCAGTCTGCTACCAGGTCGCGGAAGCAGAAGCCAATATTGGAGTGGACGCGTGGTGATGATACGAGCTGGATCTATCGCGAGGACCTGGACAGCCTAATGCCGCATCAGACTTTGACAGAGTCCGCCGTTGATTATTTTGTGCATGGTTTCATGCCTCGGGAGAATGGCTTAATTTTTTGCCGCGGAACTTCTTTTTTCCGAACGATGCAAGCCGTGAAAAGAACGGGAGGAGAAAGCTGCAAGGGACGAGCGCCTCGCTGGTCACATAGGGAAATTTGACTGGGTATCGTACCGGTTTGTTATTCTTCCAGTCAACGGTAATAGTCACTGGAGCTTTCTTGCGGTTGAGAATCCCCTGCAGGGGGCTTCATTCGGCTGTATCACGTTAATTCTGCTACAGAAGCGCACGACACGGCAAACGTGTTTTCCTTGATGCAGTGGTGGTTAGCGAAAGCGGGTCCCAGAAACAGCTTCGGTGGGGTCGGTTAAATGGAGTTTTCACGCCTGCCCTACCAAGCCTCAGCAGCAAAACTCTGTTGATTGTGGAATTTATCTGCTCTACTTCATCGAAAAGATATCCACAGCGATTATGAAAGATCGCCCGCATACGCCACGTGGATCAATGGATAAGTTGTGCTCCGACAAATTCAATGTCGAAAACTACCGTGCGCTTCTACATCAGCGTATTATCCGCGCGGCCAACGTAGCAAATAAGAAGAGTAAAATCCTATAAATATAAGTACCATGGCATCCTAATTACATTTCTTGCGCAGGTGTTACATGTACCTGCGCGCGCATGCTCTCAATAATATTGTTGTCTCGCTCAGAGCGAGTCACTCTAGCTTTTGACCAGTCCTTTTCCCAGAGCGAGTCGCTCTGCATGTAGCTACCGACCTGTCCATTTCCCAATCGTCGATCGTGCTATGGTAGAATATCATCAAATCTCCGACCGCACTTAAGATGATAGGTATACAAATCCTCAGTCAAGCGCGGTCGGAGAATAACAGTATTACCCTACCCCTTCCCAAAGTGTTATGCATACACAGTCCAAGATAGATTAGTCGTCCCGTTTGCTCATTGATCGGAGCCTTGGGATGGATGGCACGGAGCGAGCGTAGCGAGCCCCCGCCTGCGGTTTGACAGTCCGTGAGCGTAGCACGCGGCTGCAAACCCAGGACCCAGCAGTGCTCTACCTAGCAAGCGGAGGCGACGCGTGCGAGCCGCAGCGGGCTTAGGGTTCTGGCCCAGCGAGCGCAGCGAGCCTTTAGGGGTTTTAGGTTCGCGCGTAGCGCGTAGCTGGGTGATAGTTAAAGGTGACCCCCCTCCTATCCGCATGTTTTGTGGACGAGTCGGAGAAAGTCAGAGGGTCGGAGGTTTTTGGGTATGGAGTAATATTAATATTCACTCTGTTCCAACCGCTACTCTTTTTTGTAATCCCAAACCGCTCGTACTCGACGACTTTCACCCAATGAATGCCTTAAGTTTGATGAATTTTGGCCAATCGGAAGCCCCTCTAAACTAGGGCATTTTTCCAACCGTTCCAACCATATTTGGTTGGAATTTTGTCAGAATATTTTTAATGCCATACAAATGTCTATAGAAATGCATATCCCAAAAATATCCTTCAGTTTCCAACCCGAATGGTCGGTACATATTTTTTGTTCAGAGTGAAAAGAGCAGGCAGGCTAGCATGTCGATTGCATCGCTTGCTCCTGCCAACAGCAAGAAGGCCAGGACGACGGCGATCAACTCGTTCACGACGTTCCTGGCCGCGGATATCATGACACTCGAAGCCACCCACCAGCTCGTCGACGGGGATAAGACAGGTAAGATATTGCGTATTATACTAGACAAGTATGCATATTCGTTAGCCACATCAGCCGAAAAGGTAAGAGCGACCAATACGTGTCTAGCATACTATGGCAACCTCAAGAATTGGCTAGTAGATAAGTACCCACTGCAAGGAGCTTTAGTTAAATCTCAGCTCCAAAAAATTCTATCTGGGCTGGGTAAGTATTGTAGCAACCGAGAGGAGGTCGGCAACGAGAAGAAAGCACCCCCGTGCTCTAAACAAGACTTAGAAGCTATGGTGTCTCTACTGTACTCAACGGCTGCGACGAAGAGTGAATACCTCGACGCGGCCCTAGTCGTGATGATGTGGTACATTTACGGTCGAAGCTCGGACGCGGAAACAGTCGAGAAGAGCCAGCTATCCATCTTGCCTGGTAAGTAATTAATTACGATGTTCTTAGCAGAATTATTTTAACACTGAGGGCATTTATGCTAGGTGGCGTCTTATTTCTTCGATTTAAGCGGGTTAAAACAGCTTTACTACAAGGCATCTCCTTATTCAAGGACCCAACGAATTTGTTGACATGTCCTCTGCAAGCTTTGGCTGTGGCGCTGGTTATGCAGAAGGCACCAAGCCAGCGCGTGTTCCCTCAGTTCATCGCCAAAAGGCACAGATCAGATGATATTGATGATGTACAGGAGCTTACACTGATTCAACTACTGGAAGTTGATGATGACCAGCCTTCTATGGAGGAATCTGAAGCACCTTCAACAAAGCGGGCAGTTCCAGGTGCACAAGCATACGTCAACAGGTTGCTGGTTAGAGTTAAAAAACTCGCCGATTTGCGAAGCATTCGTATGACGCCAGATCTTACCTCTCATTCGTTTCGACGTGGTGGGGCCATGCATGCCAACGACGGTACCTTGGCGGAAAACTGGATTATCGAGCGCGGGGGCTGGCAGCTGGACCGCGTCAATAAGGCCTTCAGGTACATGCTTGGTACAACCCAAGCCGACCAAAAGGTGTCCCGCGTCCTGAGTGGCTGGAAGCCCAAGGACGGCGCGCGGCTACCAACGCTAGCCGCTCTGGACACGCCAGTCTTGGTCCGCGCTCGCAAGATGCAGCAGCTTCTCTTTTCCAGTACGATGGCTTTCGCTGACGCTACCTTGAACCTCGACGACGACGTCGCTGACGTACCCTGTTCATGCATTACCCCGACATGTTAGTGCTATGCCCAAGCAGCCCGCTCATCACGAAGATACGTGAGCTCCTAGCACAACGAGCCATCGGTGAGTCCGAGCTGTTGGCGTGGAGCGTGAGGATTAACCAGGCATTCATGGCACCTCCTGCATCAGAGGCTTCGGCTAGCGCTGGTGAGGAGCAGTCGCCTGCGTTGATTGACCTCATCAAACGCCAGTCCGAGCAGATCGACGTCTTAATCCTGCAGAACAAACGACTCGACGAGCGCATATTAGCTGTTGAAGCACACCTTCAAGCACTTACCAACACAGCCGCAACTCAATCAGCAAACACCGACGTCACACTTCCTGCTCCTGAGCAACCACCGCCAATAGGAGCTACGACGACACGCCCGAAGAAGAAGGGAGCCCAGTCGTTGTCGGCAATCTGGTTCGAGTGGTTTACAGCGGAGCCTCGTGTGTATGTGTCGCGTTATGTAAAGAAGACAGCGTTGTACGAGTACAGGCACATCGCAGGGTATCTCATGCTCTTCTTACCTGAAGGTTTCGCGCTTGACACTTCGTCGCCTGCATACAAAAGCGAGGTCCTGGAGCTAGGTGATAAAGCGCAGCAGAACGCACTCACCTTCTTGAAATCGCACGGCTCCTCCGCGGTTGCAGCAGGTTCGGCGTTGAAGGCTCTTCGTCAGATGCAGAAGCTTGGTAAGCTCGACCCGCTCATCGCCCAGTTACATGAACGCGTTGACCAAGGTGTCATTGTCGATCCGACGCCACCTTCAGCACTTCCATCATTCATTCGACTGACGCCCGCGCAAGGTTGATCTGCTACTGTAACACAGCAAAATTAACAAACTCAACAGTTAAAGCGACCCACCGCACACCAGGCTCGCTGATCAAGGGACAATACCACCGACATCACATGAATACATGAACAACCTCATAATTTGGGTAAACCTCTTCGTGTATTTTCTTTTACCTTGTGTCTTGCAGTCCTCGGCCGCCATCACCCTGCGCAAGACCAGCCAGCCGGCAGTGTCGCTGCAGCCGCACTCACTGGTCCTGTTGTTGCTGCTGATGCTGGCCCCGCCGGCCATCACCCCGCGCGAGGCCAAGCCGCTGTCGCAGTCGCCGCCCTCGCCCGCGTCGTCGCCCTGCTACTGATGCTGCTGGCCTCGGCGGCCGTCACCCCGCGCGAGGCCAAGCCGCTGTCGCAGTCGCCGCCCTCGCCCGCGTCGCCGCCTTGCTCCTGGTGCTGCTGACCTCGGCGGCCATCACCCCGCCCGAGGCCGAGCGCTCGCGCGTGTAGCCGCCCTCGCCCTCGCCCGCGTCGTCGCCCTGCTACTGATGCTGCTGGCCTCAGCGGCCATTACCCCGCCCGATGCCCAGCCACTGTCGCAGTCGCCGCCGTGTTCCTGGTGCTGTTGACCTCGAGCGCCATCACCCCGCCCGAGGTCGAGCGCTCGCCCACGTTGCCGCCCTCGCCCTCGCCCGCGTCGTCGCCCTGCTACTGATGCTGCTGGTCTCGGCGGCCATCACCCCGCCCGAGGCCGAGCACTTGTCCATCTCGCTGCCGACGCCCGTCTTGCTCTCGGTGCTGCTGGCCGGGGGCCCTCTCCACGCGCTCCGAAGTGAACGATATGAATGAACAGGATTTAGTTAGGATGCCATTAAAATGAAATAGATGTCATTAAAATGATTTGCTGTAGTACCGGTACAGGTGGACGGACACCTTGGTCGGACAGTTGGAATTTTGACGGTATGGTTGCTCGTGCCCGTTTGGTGTGGTTGCTGTTGTACAAATCTGAGGTTGTTATCATCCTTTACTCTGTGGTGGTGGTGCCGACGTCTGTATCAACCGACATACGGAAGGCGCCGCGCGTTGCCAACGCCGGCACCAACACCGGCAGCAAATGGATGAAGTCACTTTGGCTACATACAGTCGTGAACCAAATCTTACTGTACCGTCACGTCGGCGCCCCCGTTCATCGAGAGAGAGGCCCCGACTATGGGCGGCGTGAAATCGAGCCGCTTTGGTGTTGCGACGCCGTGACATGCGGACGTAGACGCTGCCACGCGCTCGGCCTTGAGCTGTCGCCCTGTCCACGAGAGTATTCGCTCTTTTGGGGTTTGAGGGAGCGCAGCCAAGCAAGCAGCTCGACGGGATCATCTCCTGGCCGTGCTCACCTTTCAACACTCTCAGCAGCCATGACGCCGCCGCGCTCCGCGTTCTTCACGCTCGAGGACGCCAAGATCAGCTTCAGCATCATCTGCTGCATCTGCGGCATCGGCACGCTCTCCATGCCCTCCAACTTCGCGCGGGCCGGGCCCGTGTACGGCACCATCGCCATGCTCTTCATGGCCTTCGCCAACATCTACGCTACGGTGGCGCTCTCGCGCGTGATCCTCGTGGCGCCGCCCTCCGTCAAGACGTTCAGCGACGTGGGCGACTGGGTGCTCGGCAAGACCGGCCGCTACCTCGTCAACGTCTCGCAGCTGCTCGTGTGCTTGCTGCTGCCCTGCGCCTTCCTGGTGCTCGGTAGCACGCTGCTCGACGTGCTGTTCCCGAACTCGTTCAGCCAGATCTTCTGGATCGTCTTCATGGCCATCACCGCCATCCCGGCGTGCCTCATCCCGACGCTCAAGGCCGCGGCCACCGTTGCCTTCATCGGCTGCATGGGCACCATCATCGCCGACGTCGTGGGCGTGAGCGTGCTCGAGTGGGAGATGCGCGGCCACCCGTCGGTCCCGGCGCCCGACATCACGCTGCACCAGGTGCTCACCACCTTCGGCAACCTGTCGCTGGCCTACGGCGTGGCCGTGCTGATCCCGGACCTGCAGCGCCAGCACTCGCAGCCCAAGCGCATGCCGCGCGTCATCATGGTGAGTCTGGGCGTGGGCTCGGCCTTCTTCCTGGCTGTGGCCATCGCCGGCTACGTGGCCGGCGGCTGCCAGCTCTCGGCCAACCTGCTCTTCTCCATCGTCAACATTGCGGACCCGTCCGCTCCGTCGGCGCTGGGCTTCGTGCCCAACCACGGCGCGGTCATCATGGCCTACCTGTTCATGCACCTGCACGTCGTCATCGTGCTGTCCACCGTGCTGCAGCCGCCGTTCTACATGGCCGAGCGTCTCATCCTGGGCATGCACAAGGACTCGGCGGAGACCGCGGCCTGGATCCAGCAGGACAAGGAGGACAACGACGGCTGGGAGGAGCTGCGCGACAAGCTGTCGTCCAACGTGCCCATTGTGGCCAGCAGCATCCCCGCGCGCGACCTGGAGAGCAACCACGCCGACTCGGACGTCGAGACGCTGTCCAACTCGGCCAAGCGCGAGCAGGAGGAGAAGGACCACGACGAGGCCCAGCTCTCGGACTACAGCGGCTCGGCCAACGTGCTGCGCTACGTGACGCTGCGCCTCGTGATCATGGCGCTGCTGGTGGCCGCGGCCATCGGCTTCCGCTCGCACTTCCTCGACCTGGTCGACTTCACGGGCGCGTCGGCCATCACCGTGTGCTGCCTCGTGCTGCCGCTCGTGTTCTACCTCAAGGTCTTCTGGAAGGTCCTGCCGCTCTACGAGCGTGTGGTGGCGCTCGTGATCATCGTGGTGTGCACGGTCGTGGGCTGCTACGTCATGATCTACGCCGGCAAGAACCTGTTCAACCCGGACTCGGACAGCGCCACGTTCCCGTACTGCCCCGAGGAGTACCAGTCGGAGCCGTACTACGTGCGCAACTCGACCACGTCGTCGGCCACCTCGGCGTGAATCGCGGACGACCGTCGCATTAGGAGAGCGTTAGGGCAGAGCCACGACAGGTATCTCTGCTCGAGCTGTTGATCTACCTAATAATCGACCTCCACTCACCCCCTTGCCCCCCGCGATATACTGTACGTGCGTTTGTTCCAGTCGGAAGCTTGTGTTGAGGCAGTCGAAGTCGAAGTTGAAGCGGGGGTGACGTTGCCGTCGTAGCACACGTCCATCGCTCCGTTCCGGTGCCCCACCTTTGTTTGCTTGGCGAGTAGTGAGACGTGACTGCGCAGCTCCGTATCTTCTGAAGTAGGCTCGGCGCTGCGCCCCAGCTGACGTGACGGAGACGATGGGACATCGTGCAGCGCAACACCTTGGCAAGTGAGCGCTGTGTCCGCTCAAGCTCACGCTCAAGCTCGAGCAAGTCGCCCCGGGCCGGAGCTGGCCACGCGCTGCAGTCGAGTGCTCGTGTTTCGTAAGCGCGGCTGCAAGCTCAACCGGGTTTTCGAAGGTGGTGCAGCGTATGCTAGCGAGCAAATCGTGCTGGTGCAGGTAAACCTTGCGGATTGGATGGCGGGGGATGGGACCGCGCTATGTCGACGAACAAGTGCAACAACGACGTGCAGCCACCGGATGTCCCTCGCGCCTTGGTGCGTTGCTGCTCTTGTCCACGAGTAAATTCAAGCACCAGCGACGGGATCTAACGCCGCTCGCTCGATCTCGATCAGCCACTTTCGAACCTCCGCCCGAAGTCGCTCTCGCCCTCGCTTGATCGCTTCCGCTGATAAGAAGATGGCGCTCGAGTCGCGACAGAAAGCCTTCCTCACGCTGGAAGATGCCAAGACCATCTTCAACATCGTGTGCTGCTTCTTCGGCATCGGCACGCTGTCCATGCCGTCCAACTTCGCGCGTGCCGGGCCCGTGTACGCCACCATCGCCATGCTGCTCATGGCCTTCGCCAACATCTACGCCACCATCGCGCTGTCCAAGGTCATGCTCGTGGCCCCCGCGTCGGTCAAGACCTTCACCGACGTGGGCGACTGGGTGCTCGGCAAGACCGGCCGCTACCTGGTGATCGTGTCCCAGCTGCTCGTGTGTCTACTGCTGCCCTGCGCCTTCCTGGTGCTCGGCAGCACGCTGCTCGACGTGCTGTTCCCGGACTCGTTCAGCCAGATCTTCTGGATCTTCTTCATGGCCATCACGGTGGTGCCGTCCTGCCTCATCCCGACGCTCAGGGAGGCGGCCGTCGTCGCGTTCGTCGGCTGCCTCGGTACGCTCATCGCCGACGTCGTGGGCGTGAGCGTGCTCGAGTGGGAGATGCGCGGCCACCCGTCGATCCCGACGCCCGACATCACGCTGCACCAGGTGCTCACCACCTTCGGCAACCTGTCGCTGGCCTACGGCGCGTCCGTCGTGGTGCCGGACCTGCAGCGCCAGCACTCAGAGCCCACGCGCATGCCGCGCATCATCCTCGTGAGTCTGGGCGCTGGTTCGGCCTTCTTCCTGGCCATCGCCATTGCCGGTTACGCTGCCGGTGGCTGCCAGCTCTCGGGCAACCTGCTCTTCTCCATCGTCAACATCGCGGACCCGTCGTCTCCGTCGGCTCTGGGCTTCGTCCCCAACCGCGGCGCTGTGCTCATGGCCTACCTGTTCATGCAGGTGCACATTGTGATCGCCTTCTCGACCGTCATCCAGCCGCCGTTCTACCTGGCCGAGCGCTTCATCCTCGGCATGCACAAGCCCTCGACCGAGAGCCTCCTTCAGGACGGCGACGTGCAGGAGAAGCTCTCGACCGCGGGCTCCCCCGTTGTCACCACGGCGGACCCGGTGACGCCCGACCTCGAGGGCAACTACAACGCGTCCAACACCCCGGGTCGCGTGTTGACGGCCGAAGAGCAGAAGAACGCGAAGGAGGAGCAGGAGCTGTCCGAGTACCGGGGCACGGGCGTCGTGCTGCGCTACGTGACACTTCGCCTCGCCATCATCGCGGCGCTCGTGGCGGTCTCCATCGGCCTTCGCGACCACTTCCTCGACCTCGTGGACTTCACCGGAGCCTCGGCCATCACTGTGTGCTGTCTGGCCCTGCCTATTATCTTCTACCTCAAGGTCTTCTGGAAGGACCTGCCCGTGTACGAGCGTGTGGTGGCCATCCTGGTGGTCGTCATCTGCAGCATCGTCGGCTGCTACGTCATGATCTACGCCGGCAAGAACCTCTTCAACCCGGACGAAGAGAGCGCCACGTTCCCCTTCTGCTCCGTGGAGAACCAAATGGAGCCATACTACGTGCGGAACGCCACCACCTCGAGCTAGAGGACCCCAACCAAACCCAACAGACCCCGATAGTGCATCGTAGTGTAGGATTTAACCACAAACCCAACAAGACTTCTATCAGGACCTAGAGGTGGTCCTCATTCGACTTGCAATGCAAGACAGTCACGTCAACGTCGTTCCTCAAAGCACGCATTCCCTCATCCAAGCTCCATGTTGGGATGAATGCATCGACACCACTCTCTAGCCTAGGTAAACACCATGTTGGGATGAAAGGCCGAACGAAAAGATCCCTTGATCCCTTGGGGTGAGTGCTCCGTTCCGGTGCATTGTCTACCTCGGCGGCTCCGTATCTCGCCAGTGGATGGTCTGCAGGCGTCCTGCCTGCACACGCCGCGTGAAAACGCCACGCGCGACAAGAGAGCGTGTGATCTCCCTTGGACCGTCGCTCCACTTGCCCCGGTTGCACCTCGTTGCGTCACACCGGCCAGCCCCGGCACTGCCGCCGGCAGTCGGGAGCTCGGTGCTCCTGCTGCCGGCCGCTCACTCTTCGTTCGGTCGCCTCCCTCCCTCCTGCACCCAGCAACGATGTCCGCGACTCCAGCGCGCCGCTCGCCGTTCTACACGCTCGAAGATGCCAAGATCAGCTTCAACATCTTCTGCTGCTTCTGCGGCATCGGGTCGCTGTCCATGCCGTCCAACTACGCGCGGGCCGGGCCGATCTACGCGACGATCGCGCTGCTGCTCATGGCCTTCGTGAACATCTACGCCACCATCGCGCTGTCCAAGGTCATCTACGCTGCGCCTCCTTCCGTCAAGACGTTCACGGATGTCGGCGCCTGGGTGTTCGGCTCCCCCGGCCGCTACGCCGTCATGATCTCGCAGCTGCTTGTGTGTCTGCTACTGCCCTGCGCCTTCCTGGTGCTCGGGAGCATGCTCCTTGACGTGCTATTCCCGGACGCCTTCAGCCAAATCTTCTGGATGATCTTCATGGCCGTCACGGTCATCCCTGTGTGCATGATCCCGACCCTGAAGGAGGCGTCGTCGGTGGCCCTGGTCGGCTGCCTCGGCACGCTCATCGCCGACATTGTCGGCGTGAGCATCCTGGAGTGGGAAATGCGCGGCCACCCGTCGATCCCGACGCCCGACACATCGCTCCACCAAGTGTTGACTGCCTTCGGCAACCTCGCTCTGGCCTACGGTGCCGCTGTTGTGATCCCCGATCTGCAGCGCCAGCACTCGCAGCCGGAGCGTATGCCCCGCATCATCACCGTCAGCATGGGTGTCGGCACCGTCTTCTTCCTGGCCATCGCCATTGCCGGCTACGCTGCCGGTGGCTGCCAGCTATCGGGCAACCTGCTCTTCTCGGCCGTCAACACCTCGGACCCGTACGCGACGTCCGCTCTTGGCTTCATCCCGAACCGTGGCGCTGTCATCATGGCCTACCTCTTCATGCACGTGCACATTGTGATCGCCTTCTCGACCATCGTGATGCCGGCCTTCTTCATGGCCGAGCGGTTCCTGCTGGGCATGCACAAGGACAAACCATCCATGGACCAGGAGCAGGGCGTGATCGAAGCCCCCGAGAAGCTCTCGGCCGCCGTCCCGATTGCGTCGCCCGTGACGCCCGACATCCAGTGCGACTACACGTCGGCCGCCGACAACCTCCAGGTCGTGGTCAAGTACGAGGACGAGTTCGCCGAGTACCGCGGCAAGCTCAACATGCTCCGCTACATCGTGCTGCGTCTGTGCATCCTCGCGCTGCTGGTGGTGGCCTCCATCTTCCTGCGCGACAAGTTCCTCGACCTCGTCGACTTCACCGGCGCGTCGGCCGTCACCGCCGGCAGCCTCGTCCTGCCGCTCATGTTCTACCTCAAGATCTTCTGGAACAAGCTCCCCATGTACGAGCGCGCCGGCTCCATGCTGATCATCGTCGTGTGCACGGTCCTCGGCGTGTACGTCATGATCTACGCCGGCAAGAACCTGTTCAACCCGGACTCGAGCAGCGCCACGTTCCCCTACTGCTCGGAGGAGTTCCAGTCCGAGCCGTACTACGTGCGCAACTCCACCTCGTCGGCCTAAGCGTAGTTAGCAGTAGAATGTAGTAGACCCCCCCCACACACACACACGTATAAGCCCCAATGCCTAACAAGAATTCACCCTTGACACTTGAACTCGCTCACCACTTCAACATGTACATATACATGAAGTGATCAACGCCCGGCTGACGAACAGCGTTAAACTAGTCGCGTCATCTTCCGCTTTAGTCAAACGCCAAGACGCGTCCAAGACGAGCGCGTGGCCAATGTTTTGACGCAGGATTCCTAGCGTCTAAACGGTGGCCAGGGTGGGTGTACATGAGACGTGTGTGGCTTGTCGAGGTCTGTCGACGCGAAAAAAAAACTCTCGGTGCGCGACGACGGGCTCCAGCCACTCGCTCACTCAATTGCTCGCGGCGAACGCGTATGCGTTGCCGGGCCGTGGTGTCCTCGTGGGTGCCGCCACCAAGCGAGGAAGCCGAGGAAGCTCGCATGTGACTTGGTGCATTTTGCCCATCATGGAGGATTGACTGGACGGGACAGGAGGAGGTTCCGCCGACGCTCTCAAGAAGGTGAAGGTTAACAGTCTCTGGCGTTCACGGTGCGTCCTTCGCGGCATCTGTGGCGGAGGTAATATGCCATGGCGCTGATCGATCGGCCCGAGTTTCACAAGATGAGCGAAAACTAACGAGGAATCTGAATTCATCGATCGGGTCCGGCAAGTTGTTGTGCTTTACTCGTGACAATCGACGCGTATACTGCAACGACGTCCAGCAGCACCAGCACACGCTTTCCAACAGCAAGTCTTGCTTCGCAGTGTAAGCCACTCGATCTACTTTTCGGTGAAAAGCTTTGGCCAAACTGTCATCGCGACAAAACTATACTCCTACACTGTGTGTAGAAGTTCTATACCAAGTCACCCTACGGAAATTGCCCTGCATGACAACATGGAGTCCGGCCAGCCCTCCGTTGGCGTAACTTAGAGCTGGCTTCAATTCGGTCTCCCACTCCGCACCAAGAGTACAGCAAGCTCGAAATTTACTTTCGAGCCTTTCGCAAAACGAAAAAAAGAGAAGGCATAGGGAGCCCAGCAATGCTGGAAAGTGTGAATAGTAGCATTGGCATTAGTGGTAATGGTTACCTGTTCTATTCACTGCCATCTACGACACATGCTCAAACTTAGTAGCCGCAAGACCAGCTACCAGATTCTGAAGTGCTTGCAGTTGTTGCTTCAGTGCATAGATCTCACGAGCCTGGTGCTCTAGCTGTTTCTTCATCTCATTCACCTCGATCGCAGTATGCATCTCTGGAGACGAATCCTTCTCATCATTGTTGCGCTGTCCGTCGTTTGCCGAAACCTCAAAGCGAATGACTTTCCTCTCCACATCCGAGTCGTCACCCTTTTGGTTATCCCAGAGAGAGCTGATGGCAGCGCCTTGCACCGCACAGATCTGCTGAAGCTGCTTCACATCTCGCGAACATCGAAGTACCCCATTTAGCAACCCGTGCCACCTGAATGTGGCGGTAGAACGGCCCCGTTCAGGGAGCTTGCAGTCACCAATGAGGACAGCTTGCCGGTCTTTCAGAGTATCTCTCCACAACCGTTGAATTTTAGTAGCCGCTCGATGCATTCTCCTGAACGATTTCATGCGTTGGCGGGTGATGAATCCTCGAGCTTGGCTCTGAATCATCTGGACGCTGGTAGCTTCAATCCGAGCTTGAGCAGTACCTCGATAGTTGGCACTCTGCATTGATATTGACGAACAATAACGGAAGCTGTACTCTTGTTGGCGACGTTGCCTTGATTGCAGTACTCGTTGTCGAAGTTGATCCCGTCTACGAAGTTGTCGGAGCCATCGTTGTATTTTCCTCGCCGATGCATCGCGCACCATCTTCTCACGTTTGACCCACACCTGCAGCAAATACCAAGGCGTAATGAGTCAATGAACGATAACAAGCGGTATCACCTTACGAGGGCTTTTTGGTGCAGCCGTACCTTCATGTATTTGCGCATCGTAACCACTTGATCTGCGAGTGCCTTTACTCTTTTCGTGAGTGCATCGTTGTCCGGACTATTTTGTGAAGGCGAGCCTTTCATCGGATCAATTGCGGAGGGAACTGTCGATGCCTCCAATGGTTTCATCACGCTCAGACTGGACGAATCGAGAGCTGCCATCGCTTGTGGAGATGGCTCTGGAACAGCCAGGTCTGCAGTAGTGAGAGCGGGCTTTCGGACATCATCTTGGAACGGGGGAACTGGAACGGGCTGCTCAATCTGCTGCTCCCACCTCACAGACTTGTCCCGCTTGACGGCGCTACTAGTGAATGTCGAGGCACTGCTTTGACAGAACTGTGCCTTGCGATCCTCCTGAATGCGTTTCCAAATCTCCATCTTGCTGTCGTGTGATAGGGGGTTGTCGAGAGCTTGGCCTTGACCATCGCCAGCCTCAGTTAGCGGAAATTGCTGCCGACTAGGAGGAAGTGGACGTTCTACTGGGGGAGGTGGGGGCATCACAGGACTGACTTGACCCGCCACCGACCCCGTAACGAGAAACTCGTCCAGGACTTCTTCGCGGCCTTCGAGTATAGCGCGTTTGAGGGAATTCATCGTATGAGGAGGAGGTGCGAACTCTTCGTGTCTGCGACCAGTCATAGTGAGCCCTCCGTCGTTGCTGAGCGGTAAATTAGGGAACAGCGTCGCAAGGAGCCGCTCGAGCTGCCCACCACTGCGTGCAACCTCAAGCACAATCGGATTTCCATCGAAAGCGAAGAACTCCAGCATCGGCAGCTGCATCCCCAGACAAGCAATACCGCAAATCTACACAAAAATAATGCCCCAGTGCGCTCAGAAAGAGAGAGAGTCAACCACTAGCATTTTAAACCTCACTACACCGCACCTTGTCGATCTGGTTCCGTGCAATTGAAAGACGCCGAAGCCTCGAAGGGAAGAGCGTCGCGGATAGAGAGGACGAAAACGCCCCCAGCATGTTGTCCGACAAGTCCAGCGTCTACAAATACATGCACAGAATTCTATCAGCCTTCCCAGTTCTTCCAACCTCTTCAAGCCCCCGACATCTATTCGTCACCTCCAGCAAGCTCAAGCCCGCCAAGGGAGGCCACTTGGTGATCCGGTTGTAGGAGGCGTCCACCACCCGCAGCTCTGGCAGCAGCTGCAGCGCGTCAATGCTCGTGAGGCTGTTCTCCGCCACCTTGAGCACCTGCAGAGCCGGCAGCAGAGCCAACAAGTCCACCGTGGCGATGCAGTTGCGAGACAGATCCAGACTCTGCAGACGCCGCAGCGCCTGGACCCCGTTCACGTTCTCGAGCTGGTTCCCCGACAGATCCAGCTGCGTAGAGTGAATATGAGTACAGTAGCTCGCGTCAGTATTGGCAGTAGTAGCACCGGCGGGTAGTACAGCCTATAGTACCTGGCTGACGTGTTCGAAGACGCCGATCTGGTCGATACCCCGCAGCCGGTTGAGCGACAGGTCCAGCGCGTACTCCACGCCGTCCCCCGTCTCCACTTGGCGGCGGATTTCGAGCGGAATCTGCTCCAGCTGCACGATCCGCTGCTCCGACAGGTCGAAGCTGTCCATGGTCCCAGTATGTATCTCCTTGTGGGGTCACCACTTCAACTACCGGTACTGGTTGTCGACCACCGAAGCCTCAGTAGAGTGCCATGACACCTCACTTCAGTGACAACCGCGCGCATTTCAAAATCTACCCTCGTTCTACCATGGCGCCGTCGGTCGGGGAGGACGTGACGGCCGCCGTGGAGGTGCGCAGCTTCGGGGAGCTGCAGGCGCAGCTGCGCGCGCTGTCCTACAGCGAGGTGAAGCGCCCTACCGCGTTCTACCTTTTCCGTTCTACCCTTGCTAACTCTGCACACTTTGGATGCCTTGTAGCCCGTGGGCGTGGAGAGCGTGCCACTAGTGCGGCGTCTGCTGGGGGACCTGGTGGCCGCTTCTACCGCGCGGGAGAAGGCGGAGCACGCGCTGGAGAAGGCGCAGAGGGACGCGCTCGAGTTCTCGCAGATTCTACTGCCGCTGCGCAAGGAGAACGCGCACCTCACGCGGGAGAACAACAGTGTACGAAGGAGGTAGAACATGGTAGAACACGAAAAAAAGGTAGAGTGGAGGTAGAACTCATAGCATTTTGTTGTGATGAGCAGCTGCACCTGGAGATCATCCACCAGGAGGAGGCCATCACGGAGAGGGAGAAGGCGTGCGAGCTGCAGCTCGAGGGGCTGCGGGACGACGTCAAGAAGCTGCAGTTCCTCAACGGCCAGAAGACCCAGCAGTGTGCGAAGAAAGTGGGTAGACCGAGAAGGTAGAACCGTTCTACCTTTGGTAGAACACGTCATCCTGACAAGAGTATTGATGTGTGCATTACAGGAGCAGGAGGCGGCCAAGCTCCAGGCGCAGCTGGAACGCGTGCTGGCCACCGGAGGGGGAGGGGCCTTGCCCGCCTCGCAGGGCTTGATCTCGCCGTCCATTGAGCTGAGGGGCTCGGACGTCTCGCAGTCCCTGCGCAGGCTCTCCATGGACAGCCAGCAGGCCAGGAAGGTGCAGCAGCAGTCGGAGCAGCAGGCGCAGGTGGCCAAGGACCTGCAGGAGCAACTGGCGGAGGTCACGAGGGAGAACGCCAAGCTGCGCGCCCAGTGCGACCAGTTCAACGACAAGCTGAGCAAGCGCGAGCAGGAGATCAGCAGACTGTCCAAGCTCTCGATGCAGGTGGTGAGCGACCAGGACGCGTCGGCGAGGAAGCTGCAGGACCTGGAGGAGCGGTACCAGACACGGTCCAAGATGGACGCGGTCGATCTGCAGGTGGAGCAGCTCAGCACCCAAGTGGACATTCTGAACGACCAGGTGGCCAAGTACGAGAGTCGGCTCAAGGAGGCGACGGAGCAGATCCGGCGCAACGGGGGCCTCGCGGAGAAGCTGCAGTACGCTCGCTGGATGTGTATGATGATGTTCTTGGACGAAGGCTGACTTGTATGCGTTCTTTGCAGGCAAGCTGAACTGGACCGTGAACACTTTGTCAAGGAGTTGAGCGTGCTGCAGGCGAAGTACCACGTGCTGGAGGAAGAGCACGCGCGTTGCGGCGGTGAACCTGGTAATCCTCCGCTTCCTCGCAGCCTGGGACCTGCTGTCAACTCACCAGACGCAGAAGGTGAGGAGGAAGACAAGGAAGAGCAGAACGCTGGCGAGGCGTCACTGATGGAACAGGTGCAGACGCTGACAACCCACAAGGATCGCCTTGAAGACGCGCTCCGCGCGATGCACTATGACAAGATTTCGTACACGAACGCGCTCTCGAACGCCAACTCGCACAACCGCGTGCTGACCAGTGATTTAGGTCGTGCAGAGGCGAAGGTGAAGGAACTGAGTGTGGAGAAGACGAAGCTCGAGCAATTGCTGGCAGACACGCGTTCTTCGCTTGATGCGAATTCACGTGAGCTTGACGTGCTACGTGGAACTCTCAAGCAAAGCGAAGACCACCACGGCTTGGACAAGGAGAAGAATGCCTCACTGCATCGTGAACTGCGGTCGATGGACAAGTTGCTGTCACAGCGTGACGAAGAATGTCGATCGTTGAATCATGCACTAATTGTTCAGAAGGGCGAAGTGGATCGCCTGACTGCCAAGATCGATAGGCTGGAAGCTGCGGCTAATGGAGCCGAAGGCGAGGATGCAGCGCAGGACGGGAGAAAGGCAGTGTTCGCACAGGAAATGAAGTGGCTGGAGGAAGAGCGGCACGATCTTCGACGTGAGAAGGAAGAGCTGATGCTTCAGGTTATGACTCTCGAAGAGGACCTGCAGAGGGCGAACGCATCTCTTCAGGAGGCCCAACATGAAAAGGAGAAACTATTGGAGAAGGTCGACGTCGCGACTAAATTGCAAGCGAATGCTGAAGGCATGCTGGAGACGAAGAAGAGCGAGTGTGCAGACATTCAGCGACAGCTTGTAGAGGCTAAGGACAGGGTTCGTGAGCTCACAGACAAGCAAAGCCAAGCGCAGGTGCTACTGAGTCGTGCTGAGGAGACGGAGAATGAGAAGCTGGTCGTGCAGAACGAAGCCCTGGCGCTTAAGCGGCACGTGGAAGAACTTCGTGACCAGAACGCCAGCTTGAAGAACCGTGTCGAGAACGACGATCTGTACAGCAAGCGGCTATCGGACCAAATCCCAAAGCTGCAAGCAGAGGCTGCTGTTACGAGTAAGAAGTGCGCCACGCTCGAGAAGGAGAAGGAGGAGTTGCTGGGCAACTACGATAGCGCGATGGTGGAGCTACGCAATGCCCGACAGACCTGGAACCACTATCAAAACGAGTTCGAGAAGTTGTCCAAGGAGGTGCAGGCGCAGCAGCATTCTCTTTCGTCAGGGCAAAATGCGCTTCAGTCAAGCCAGAGCTCGGTGAGTGAGCTAAGAAACCAAGTCCGACAGCTGCAGAGCGAGCTGAAACTTAAGCAGAACAACTCGCATCAGTTGGAAACGCGGCTGGAGCAAGAGAAGACGAGCCACAAGACTGTCCAGACGCAGCTAGTCTTGCTTCAGGACGAGTTGTTGCAGGTGAAGGAGACGAACCGCGCTCGCGAAATAGCTTTGAAGCAGCTACGCGCTGAGATTCAGACGAAGGACCGGGCCCTGACCGAGAAAACGGAGGCCGTCGAGAACTTCAAGCTGTTGATTGAGCAAATGGAGTCTTCTCGTGACCAAATGGTGTTCCAAACGAAGCAGAGGCAACAGCAGATCCAGCGCCATCAACAAGAAATGGACGATATCAACACGAAGGTCAGCTCCCTGGAGAGCGAAATATCGGCGAAGAACAACGAAATCTCCTCGCTGAAAAAGTTGACGCGGACGTTGGACAGCGAAAAGGACGCAGTGAACGATCAGCTGGACGCTCTTACCGAGAAGTATCACGAGCTTGAAAAGCAGAGCAACGAGCTTCGCAGGGCCGTGCAGGACAAGAAGTCGAACGCCACGGGACTCCAGGAGCAGATGGTATCCTTGGTGAACAAGCTGAACGAGGCTGAAGACAAGCTCAGCAAGATGCAAGCTCACTGCTCGCAACTGGAGAGCGAAGTGAATCGTCTCGAGCATCTGAAGGGGATGCACACTGCTGAGCTGGCAGCTCTAGCTCAAGACTTGGAGAACATGACGATCGAAAACCAGGCGATCAGCGAAGAGTGCGCTCGACTACAGCATGCCGAGCTGTCTCATTCCCAGTCGACCAAGAATATGAAGCAGACCACGCGAGAAGTCGAGCGCGAGAGGGACACGCTTCAGATTGAGCTGGAGGACCTGCGCCACACGTACCGGTCGCTGATTCAGGAACACGAAGGCATGCAAAAGGCACGGGCGGAGATCTCGTCGCTGCAGGAAGAACTGGCTGTTGTAAACGAGTCGCTGAGGAAGCAAGTGGCTTCGCTGGACAACCAGGTCCAGACGTTGAGGGAGAAGAACGCAACTTCGGCGACTGAAGCAGCGACGTACCGTGACCAAGTCAGCTTTCTAACGGAGAAGCTCCAAGCGAGCGAGGAGAAGCAGGACGATCTCCAGACGCGAATGCACCAGCTCACAGAGGAGCTAGAGGCTCAGAAGCAGGTGTCCACCGAGATATCTGCTCAGCGGTACGGGGCTCAGGCCGAGAACGCTGCCGTATCACAACGGATCGTGCACCTGGAAGCGAAGTTGAGTAACTGCAAGTACGAAATCAAGTCGCTTCAGGACAAGCTGCGTGCAGAGCAATCTCAGCGCCGTAGTCTGGAGGAGGTTGCATCGACACTGCGCCAGAAGATCGCAACAAACGACCACCTCATCTCCCGCCTTGAAGAGCAGCGAGATGCGATGGCGCAAGAAATCCAGGCGTCTCACCAGCGGCAGGTGCCAGTTTCCACGCCGGTGATGAACATGTCGGAGCTCAACCACACCCCGCCATCAGCTAGTCAGTCTTCGCGCGTCTCAGAACAGAGACGATCGCAGCAAACTCGTCCTGAGCACTCGCTTCCCCCGCCGTCCCCGTCTCGTTCCTCGCCATCTGATGCAGCACACAGCACCCCGGACTCTGGTGGCAAGGCATCCAGTGCTTCGTCGTACCTCCCTCTCCACGCGTTGGAAGAGGCCCAGATGAAATGCCAAGAGCTGGAAGACCGACTGGCGCAGCAGGACAGCACGATCAAGGTATGTGCAAGTGCTTTGCCGTCAAAGAGTTGCAAGAAAAACTAACGTTTTCGTTCATTGTGACTTGATGATGCCACAGCAACTGGAGCGCTCTCGAAGTAAGTTCAAGCGGTTCGCGGCCAAGTATGAGCGTGAAATCGAGCAGGTAAGCAGCCGCCTTCACGCGTAAAATGTTGCGGCGTGAGTGTGGTTTCACCATCTCTTTTTGTTATTATTGAGCAGCGTGACCGAAGGATTGAGGAGCTACAGAGCAGCTCCCATGCATCATCTTTCGTGTCTCCCGACTCGCGATTACTCCGGGCTGGACGATCGCATTCTTCTTCTTCCTCATCTTCATCCTCTAGTCGGTCAAGGAGACACCCAGTTGACACCAGTGTCTCCGCTTCATCTCAATAGAAACGCATTCTGGCCGTGACCAGTGTTTAAGGACAACGGACGCTGAAAGTGGACTCCAAATTAGGCGTTCGTGACGGACCAGATCAAAGTAGCATTGACTAACTTTTTCGATGTTGCTTGAGGTCTTGCAGGCTGTATTCATTCCCATTTCGACTACATGGGGCCTCGCGAGCGGAATCGGTGAACTATCCCTCCCAGCACCACCAGGGTGCGAATTGCAGAGCGTCAAGAAGAACCAGATCGTCCCTGCAAGGCTCACGAGATCGTTGAGCAGCCATGTGAAATTGCTTTCATCATCCAATCTACGCACGTGGGTCAGCTTTTAGGACGCCTTCGGTGCCTTCGGGCCCGTGCTAGTGGCCGTGGTCCTAGTCTCGATCGTGCGGACGACGTTGCTGATCGTGCTAACCCTCTCGCCCAATGCGACGGCCAACTACCTCATGGACACAGCCGAGCTCGACAACGGACAGTTCTGGCTGATCGTGGACCCGGAATACAGCCTGAAAGTGCTCAGCGTGATCGCTCTCGTAGTGGTGGATGCCTGCTACCTTTTTATCTTGCACAAGCTGGTTTCCTGGTGGGAACGATATCCGGAGGCAACATCCACTGGAAAAGGTACATCGTGTTCATGGGCTTGTGCCACTGCGGTGCGCGCTATCTACCATCGCGCTAAAACCCCATGGGGAGAGATCGCTGGAATTCGTGGGAAGTTTCGCAAGTACTGGGTAAGCAAGCGTGGCATTGTAAATGGTGTGTCTATCGCTCACAAATAACTACGCTTTTGGATTGAACAGAATTGGATCCAGAAGGCGTCTGACCTAACGATGCAGAGCATTATGCTGCATCAACTGCTCGAAGACGGGTCCTCCGTGGTACTGGTGATGGGGTACGCTGTGTTCGTAAGCGCGAACGCGTTGTCCACAGCTGCCACTATCGTTCTGGGCAACCTGTCCGCACTGACTGAAATTCTCATCGAATCAATGTTCGATCAAGCTTCACCACACTATCCAACTGACTTGTACTGACGGGGTCTTGGCTCAGTTTCGATATGATAGCCGCAGTCCTGTACCCTATCCTGGTGCTAGTCTACAGCGTCAACAGTTTTGACTTTGACCGCCAACTCTTCAGCGTGTTCACTGAAGTTCTCCCCCCCAGAAAGCAACGCTCGGTTGTTCGCTGACCCAGCGGAGCGGGCTCTTTTCCTCACTAGCCTGAACTCGCTCCGAATCTTGTCGCTATCGGACCTCGTGCTGCGCCTGAGCATGAACTTGTCGTTTTGTCTGCGCTTCGTTACTGTCGTTAACCTGATGGTGGGGGCAACAAGTGAGGAGATAACAAGGCGTTCGAGACGAGAAAGCTTGGCCAAAATGTTTCAGCAGCAGCTCCATGTACCAAGTATCACCGCGGCGACGTTCGTGGGGTTCGCTGCTGTTGCCGTTGCCTACCCACAGAAGGCAATAGCAATCTTCACAGCAGCGTGTGCTCCACACCCAGAGTGCGTCGTGTATGCCTACGAGTGGGGAGTCGACGACTTATGCCCCTGCATCACACTCGTGGATGTTTATCGCACACCACGGACTTTTGAAGAGTGGACGGCACCCGTGGATGTTTCTGCGAAGGTTGAGACCTTGTCGCGTGCCGGAATGCTGCAACATTTACAGCGCGTTGCCACACTGGCCGGAGGAACTGCGGAAATGCAAGAGGCTTCAGTACATGAAAGTTGATCCAACCCCTTCTCTAGAGTATCTTTGACTAACATTGAGCTCTTCCCGACTGGGTCGAGGAATTTTCGCGTCTACAATTTCTGTACGTGCCGTAGATGCATGAGCCCTCCCAATAGGCTAATCAAACGTGTATGCTTCTAGGCATATTGAAGGCAAGCAGCTACGACCAAGCTTGACATACCTGCCGGAAGGTTTATTCAGCGATATGCCGTTCCTGCAGATGGTTCACCTTGGCGTACACCCGAAGCTCCCAAGTGTCCCGCCTCTACAGACCCTGACCCTCGCGGCTCTACCTTGTACCGGAAATCCCCTCGTTGGACAAAGTGCCGAAGCTCCAAAGGCTGACGTTGGCTCTCATGGAGTCACTTCAAGTCATTCAGGACTTGGCCCCGCTGAAGCACCTCCTGGGCTTCGTGATTTTCAGCATCTGTCCAGCTTGTTGCAACGGCTTCCTGGGTGCCTGCGATACGAGCGACTGGTTTTGCACTGGGAACCCAGAACTCGGCACCTCTGCTTCATCTTGTCTTGGAACTGATGCCCCTCGACCTACTGCGGAATCTCAAGCGGTTTTCCAGCAATTCGCGGTCAGCATGTGTATCCGCACGGGCTTCGACATCGCGCGAGTTGTGGACTTGCTCTCGAAGCCTCAGATCGACGTTTGTGGTGGGGTTCCCTTCCGACGCTGCGAGCATCCACCCAACAGCGGCGCGTTCGGCATCTGCATGAACAACCGCCTCCAAGTGTTAACGTGCGTGGTTAATGACGACTACGTGCGACTGCGGCAGGTTGAAATCGAGAGGAAGTTGGGTCCGGCCTGTGACGCCGTCAAAGAAGCGTGGCTCGGGTGCAGCAGTTAACTTGCTGCTTACTCGTCATGGAGCTGAAATACTTCCGGTGTTGACAAGACCCCTCCAAGTTAGGTGCATAAGATGAAACGGAGGGCCATTTTAGGTCAAGTTTACGCGGTTTGCGCAGTGCAGTTTTGGCAATCTGCAAACCATATTTTTGGCTGGTCGATTTGGAGGCGAACTGGGCGCTGAAAACTATATATTGATACGCTCCTACTCGTTGGGGAGCTCGGGGACAGTTGCGAAGGATGAAGTCGACGACATCACCCCGGACGAATGTGATTCCCATCGGACCTTGTGCACCCGACACGTCGTGTAGGCGGAATCCACACATTCGACGTTCGCTGGATGGGTCCGCCGAGTGGTTGAAGGCTCTTCGGGCCCCCGGTCCCAGTGACGTCGTGCCGCTGGAACGACTGTCGAACCCAATGTCGGCGTCGTTCCGACCTAGAAAGGGGCCAAACACACCGACAGCGCACCACCTCTCGTTCTGGCAGGCCTTTGGACTGCTCGGAATCCCCATGCTGCTGTTCCTTCTCATCTCGATACTGTGGACTGCGTGGCTGATTATCATGACGCTAGCGCCGAATGAAACTGCGAACTATCTCATGAACACGGGCGACTACGATGACGGACAGTTCTGGCTGCTGCTGGATCAAGATATTGGCATCAAGCTTGTCAGAATTTTCGGGTTGTCCGTTGCTGAGGTGGGGTACTTCCACATTTTGGTGAAAATGCTGGTCTGGCGAACCATTCCAGCCCCTTTTGTCGCTAGGGGCGGTGGGATTCGAAAAGCCAACGTTGAAGGTAAGAAGAGTATGGTCGCAGTTCGGCGGAAAAGCACTACGATGCCTGGCTTTTGGGAAGAACTGACGGGCATCAATGGGTCTTATCGCAAGTTCTGGGTAAGCCGTTGATATTCTAACTGGATTGTATCTGTTCTGACGTGGTTCTCTTCGTTTGAGGCAGAATTTAGTGCACAAGGTGACAGATCTGACGACTCAAGTCGTTTTGCTGAGTAACTACCTTGAAAAGGGTTTCCCAGACGTGCTGGTGTACGGTTGGGCCGCGTTCATCAGCTGCAACTGCTTATCCTGCGTTCACAACATTTTACTCGATAAACACTCAGCGTTGGCCGAAATCCTCGTGGATTCGATGTACGTAACGTTCTCGCCTTCCTACAGCTTTATGCCTTTCCGTTAATGTCAACAAATTATGTGCGGAACAGCTTCGACCTCATTGCCACCATTGTGTATCCGATTCTGGTGCTTGTTTACTGCTATTACAACTTTCAGTTCGACCATGAAGTGTTCCGCACATACGTCCAAGTACTGCCCGCTGGAAGCTTTGAGATTATCGCTCGACTGTTCGCTGACCCGGCGGAAGTCGAACTTTTCCGTGTAAATTTCAACTCGCTTCGGGACCAAACACCGCTGCTTCTCGTTATCCACCTGCTCATGAACTGGTCGTTCTGGCACCGTTTTAAGGCGGTCGTCGAGGTGCTGGTGCGAACAAATCGACGGCTGGTTTATCCTAGAAGACACACAAAGTTCCACCCTCGACAGCAAAACAGGGTCCCAAAGCCGTTCGCACTGTTCTTCATGGCAATTAGTGTACTGCTGGTACCGTACGTCCATCTTGCAATCCAGGCTTCAAGGTCAGCGTGCAGCCCTTACACCGAGTGCTTGGTCTACGCCTACCGATTCCCGTGGACGCCTGCGAACAAAGAAGTTTGCCCTTGCCGAACGTTGATAGACATCGATCGGGCGCCAAAGACGTTTGACGAGTGGATCAACCCGGTGGATGTCACGGATGAGGTGAAAACTCTAGCAGCGTCTGGGGATCTCAAAGTGCTGCGTCTGATAAACCGGCAGTTGGTGGAGCTGCCGACTGAGCTGAAGAACTGCCAGCTAGAACATCTGTAAGTCTTCGCTAAAGTCAAGTGGGGCTGTAATACGAACTATACTAACTATACACCGATGAATTTGTAGATCGCTGATCTACACGTCTACCAACAGATTTCCCGACTGGACCAGCACCTGGAAGTCCCTCGAGTTCCTGTATGAGCTCCATGACAATGTTTCACTAAATGGTGCTATTCAGGTCTAATCTTATTCTTTAATTTCGTACACATCTAATAGGCACGTGGAAGGCAAGCAGGGCAGCGACAACTTGGTATACCTTCCCAAGAATCTTTTCAGCGCGATGCCGCACCTCGTATTCCTCCACTTGGCATTGCACAAGTCGCTAAAAGAGCTCCCAGCACTTGATGGGACCCTGAAGCTTCAGACAATCGAGTTAGCTCACTTATTTGGACTAACCCAACTTCCCGACCTCGATAAGACTCTGGACCTGAGAGGGATTGTCATCGCATACCTCCCGCTGCTCGAGACGCTGCCGGACCTTCTTCACCTCAAGCATCTCATCAGCCTCACGGTCTTCCGTCCTAGCTTCCTCTGCTGCAATGGGTACCTCGGACGGTGCGACTTGACGCACCCGTTCTGTGCTGCAGACAGCTCGCACAACCTTCCAGCTGCTACGTGCCTGACTGACAGTAAACTGCAAGCCAGCCCTGCGATGGTCAGTCTGCTAGATCGTTTCGGCTCCGCTGTTTGCTACAAAACTCCCGAAAATCTGCTCGAATTTGCGGATATACCGACAAAAGAATCCGTTGATATGTGCGGCGGTGTGCCCTATCGACGGTGCGAGATCCTCGACCCTACGAGGAACGAGACGCTGGAGGGCATGTGCTACAACCTCAGGATGCAGGTGTTGTCGTGCAATCCGGACCCCAACAACATGACCGTGCGTAGGCTGCAGATCAAGCTGAATGTTGGCACGCCTTGCAACGTCGTGGAGGAAGCATGGCTGGGATGTGGCAATAGCGTCAACTGAATGAAAATCCAACGAGAAAGATTTCAACTTGCATGAGTTTTCAACTGGTTTCCAGCAAATGGAATGTTTTCCGCGAAGTGCTCTGAAAAAAAAACAAGCTGAATAGAAAGCGCCTTCAATACGCAGAAATATTAAATATTTACAAACAAATTTTGTACACGTTATCATAGTCTATGGCATGAGTTGATGCCAAAGTTACCGAGTGTAATTGGATTGTTATGCCGGCAAGGCGGCTGTCATACTTCGACGCCAAATATGGGCCAAGTACATCCCACCTTTCCTATAGACGACGTGTAGCCTGAGCTTTGATGTTTACCGTAGTGTTAGCGGCGGTGTGCTGTGCTCAACATTCCTCACTTGCGACACCGTTGATGAGTCAATCTCATCTGCTGACTAAACTTGAGTAGCGTGGGCCGATCTTGTCCTCGTAATATGTGTACATCAATGTTTTGTTCCATTGCAGCAGATACAGCATATCCCTCAAACTCCTTTATGTGATACGCAGCGTGCTCCGCACAATTGTTTCTCTGACCCAGTTGCTTAGCTTTGTTTTTGTTGATTTCGATCGTCTTAGCCCCCAGTGAAGAAAGGGTGAGCACTTCAGGACGTCCCAGCGTCCGATACATGTTGGTCTGACGCTAACCTTGTAATCATCACAGTTTGCTACACTAGATTATTTCCTTCTCAATGGGCTGGTAATATATGGGTGGTCTACGCAGAAAACTTCTGCAAACATTGTCTAATCCGCGTATACCTGGCGCTTCGCATGTTCTCAACGTTACGTAGCTGCACTGGAGCACCCAAGCCACGCTTCCACCGATGAATTACACGGAGCCCCCACCCCCTCCTGGATCTGCCGCCGACGAGCTCGAATTTTCTCGGGGCCCGGATTGCACGCGAGTACCTGCATCCGATGATTGTAGCACATTCCCACAGCGGTCGTATTTGGCTCAAGTCCGGGTACATGACACTGACGGTATGGAACTCCATCGCACATTTGAATCGTCTCCGCCGTTGGAACTTGTGAGAGACCCGAATATGGCTGACAAACAGAGTAGGAAAAGTCCTTAAAAGCTGCAAGTGTAGCGGGTGAAGCCTCCTTCGAGCCATCTTCAAGGCAGGTAGCGTTTGTGCAGTACGGGTTTGTGAGGTCACACGTTCCCAGGAATCCGTTGCAGCACAAACGGGCACCTTGGAATACGATGAGGTGCCTCAACGCTGTGACAGGCTGGAGGTCTGGGAGATAGGGCAGAGTTTTGATTGCCGTCAGCTCGATCCTCCCCAGCCTTGTCTGATGTGTTAACGGCGGAAATTCGACCAAGTTGTATAGCCGAGAAAAAATTATGCTGCGTAGCTTCGGCGCGCCGTCGAGTGGTGGAAGGCGCGTCATATTTTCATGGACGCCAAGCTGGAGATACCGGAGCTCAGGCATATCACTGAACAAATCTGGAGCTAAGTCATCAAGATTTTGACTCCCAACTCGGCCTTCAACTTGCCTGTACAGACATTATACATGTAAGCGAGATAGAAGCGTACAGTTTGATAACTTACGTACAGATACTGTAACTTGTGAAAATCCTTCAACCAAGGCGGGAACTTTTCGGTAGCACAGTTAATCAGCGATCTGCAGACATAAATGTTAGCAAAGTTGAAAGCGACTAGTATCATTAAGTACATTGGTGGAACGCACATAAAGTTAAGATTGCGGCAGCCTCGGAGCTCGCCCGGTAGTTCCGTAAGTTGTCGGTTAATGAGTTGCAGAGTCTCGAGCGTGCCTGCCCTTGCGAGCATACTCACTGCCATGGAGACGTCGACCGGGTGAGTCCATTCGTAGTATGTCAAGGGTGCTGGATTCCCATCGACAATTGCACGGCAAGAACACCGCTCATCACTATGCCAACGGTATGCGTAGACAACGCACTCGGGATGCGGAGAACACGCGACTTGTGATGAACGATAGCTTTGTGAGTGAACACAACAACAGCCGCGCTGTAGATTACGAATAATATGGCAAGCCACCGAGGAACAAATCGTTGCATTGTGCGAAGCTGATGGGCTGAAGCTGACCGTGCCGGCGGGTGGAGCAGAGAGAGTTTCCGCTTGAGTGTATTATCCGTCTTCATCTCGATTAATACTTCAACGATCCGTTTGCAGCGATAGCTGAAGGCCAAGTTCATCGCGATGCGCAACACAAAGTCGGTGCTATCAAGGATCCTCAGCGAGTCAAATGAGGAGCGAACGAGGGCGATCTCCGCGGGGTTTGCGTACATTCGCGCTCGTCGTTCGAAACTCCCAATGGATAGCGTTTCCAAATTGATGAAATAAACCGCGCGGTCGTAGTGAAAATTATTCCAGCAGTAGTAGAGCACGGTAAGCGGATAGAGCACAGTCGCGCTGAAATCAAACAGCGAATCGATGAGGATCTCCACGAGCGCGGAAAATCTCGAGAAAATATCCCAAAAGCGCACGATAAGGAATTTAATGCCGCCAAAGCTGAAAATCCGTACGCTATCTTGACTGGCGTCCCCGCTTCCAGAAGGTCACTAAGTAGCAGTGTGAGCATTACTAGGTCGTGGATCTTGAGACAGAAATTCTATTAAACAGAGTTAGAAGAGTGATTTTGAACATTAAAAAATGAAAAAAACCCACCCAATACTTGCGGTACTTGCCGTGTATCCCTGTGAGCGCCTTCCATTGAAAGTATAGTTTCCAGCTCATAATAATGACTCGTTGAGAACACTTCGAGTGGAAAGAGTCACTGATTTTTACCTTTGCTGCAGCTCTCCAATGTAGGAGAAAACTGTTAAATTTGTTCTCCATCGCGTTCCTTTGAGAGCGCCAAACGAGCATCATCATTAAAATGTAAACGTAAAACAGGAGAACAAGCGCCAGACCCATCACACTGAACGTCTGTAGTGTACTCCACTCATCCGGGATAAGCCAGAACTGACCGTCATCGAGCTCGCTAGTATTCATGAGGTAGTTGGCTGCGGCGTTGGGGTCAACGCTCAGAGCGATCAGCCATCAGGTCCAAATGATACACCCTAGGACCATGGCTGCCATCGGAGGCCCCAAGAGTCCGAACGCTTCTCGGAATGAAAGTTTCCTTGTGCTCTGATGACGTGGTCTGATTCCAACAGTGAGGAAACTGTTATCCAAAGCACTTGCAGTGCGAGCAGGAGGGCCCAGTGGAACAACTTCCGTGAGTCTGCGAGTAGAGGAGAGCACTCCAAAGATCTTGGAAAGTCGAGGACTGCGTGAGTCATTCGGATTCTCATCTGCTAGGAGGTTGGACTTCATTCAGCGCTGAGCTTGTGTTAAAAGCTCTTCAGATATTTCTTCTGTCAATGCCCAGTCAACCTGAGTCGAAGCAAAAAAATCCTAATTGTGAACTACTAAAATGTCACGATAAGGTACAAATGTATCGATAATACCACCAGCCCGAAAGATGCGCTGAGGGTGGAAATCACTAATCAAGCCCTGGCGGCATGGCCACAGTTTTTAATATTGTACGTCTGCAAGTAGTTTCCGAAAATGTACAGCTATTTTGCCGGAGTAAGCAGGACGCTTTTTCAGCCCCGACAGACTGGCGAAGTGGACTTTACACCATGGCGAGAAGGACAATGAAGCGGAGACATGCACCTTAACAGCGGACCCGGAGCGACTTTACAAGCGAGCCAAGGCTCGGTCATGTGGCGGACGAAGCAGCGGCGGCAGCCAGAACAGCGTAACGGACAAGGACGCGAGGTGACCAAGCAGCGACGACATGGAAAGATCGCAGCAGCAGCCAGCAGGATGACTACGGAAGGGGTGAGCAGCACGACTCTGAGTGCAGGCTACCATGACATCCGGCAAGGGGTGGCAATTGTGTGGCTGAGCCGTGCTGGCAAGCGTCGCTGTCGAAGATCGCCCGCCCAAACGCCGCGCTCAACAGATAACAAGGCCGGCGAGTCGAGCAGAGGGCGCTCAGTCTAAGATCTGCGAAGTCGACGGCAAGTCGAAGACGCACAAGAGCGCGAGCTGCCGAGCTAGCGCCCAGCAAGACATTGCGCCGGTCTGGTGTAGTGTCAGCAACACGCTAAGAAGAAATACACTTGCGTTACCTGAGCCACATCTACTTGAGCCAACTAGAGGAGGACTAGTGAAGAAGCCACTGTCGAAGCAAGTCGCGTTACAGCAACTGCAGCAGAAGCGGAGGTCGGCTGAAGCAAGCCAGAGTCGTCGAACTACTGGTGACCTGCATCGACAGGCCCCACGGAAGAAGACCGTTGGAAGGGAGAAAACCAAGGCTGTGCGTGCACGTGGGCACGGTCTACACAAGTGATCGCTCCAGCCAGCTATAGCCTCTCTGGGCCTAAAGAAGAAGCAAAGGGTCGAGAGCACGTGCAATCAGTACCTGGGATGATTTCGGCGATAGTAAAGCTCTATCTGTCCAGTAGATATTGTACATTGCATCAGTAGTTGAGCTGTCGCCGTTAGCCACCGGAGACCTCGGAGCTGCAGTGACGAGATCCGGGCAAGGTACAGGTGGTAGCTGGAAAGCAGGGGTAGCTTACTCCGGCATTCGAATCAAAGCTGTACAGAGTGTCCCAAACCTATTTCTTTTTCTTAAAATGCCGTGTCACGGCTGAAAGCTGCGGCGTTCCGACCAAACAGAATCTGTCGGTATTGCAGCCTCCCGTTTGTCAACTCACCGTTCCTATGACGAAGGATGATTTCGTGAGTTGGTTAGCAAGACGCCACCTCCGACGGTGCCAGATACCACACCAACAGCCCCCAAAATTAAGAGAGCCTTCGCCCACTTCGGCCACCCTTGAGCAATACCCTCCGTCGATTGCGTGCTGATTTTCGACTTGCCCTTGTTCATTCGTGCCGCAAACCACAATGCTCCAGGGGCTCCGACCCTCTCCTCACTCCCCACCGTCTGACTTCCGCGGTGGCGCCCAACTAACTTGTCCAAAGCGATTCGCTTCAAGGTCGGTGCATTGTTCGTCGACGCGGCATCTTCAGCGCTGGTGAAGTCCACGAAGCCCGAGACGAATGTAGCCACAAACAAGACCAGGAGGACCGTGAGACGCATTGTGCTGGCTTTCGGGAATGCCTTGTTGGACTTCGAAGGAAATTCGTGAATGTCCGACTCGGCCTGTTGGCCCAGTCTTTCCAAAATATATGCAGCAGCAGCGCCAGGGGGAAGAGGAAAGACCCGCAAAGGGACCCATCCCCAGCTGTCACTACCATACTTGTATGCCATGCCCCCACCTCAACGTATTAGTATTGGGCTAGAGTGGTAAACAAGCAGATAACCTCTAATCACCACTCGTGAGCAATTTCCATAATCCAGTACATATGTAAAAGCCAAAAATTAATTCAGCGAAACATTGGCCATCACAGTAGACTTGGTGTTAAGTTCGAGGGTGCTCAAAGGAGCTCAGATGGCTAAGTACGGAATGAATCGGGTGTACTGTAGATGCCACCTGAACCTTTCAACAAAAAGAACAATACATTAGAGGGCAATAATTGCTGTATGGATTGTCCTATGAACGGTAAGTATTGTAGTAATAGGTGTGCTCATGAAGGGTGCTGGCGGATGCAAGTGGTAAAATTCGCCACGATTTCACCTTCTAGTGACATACATAACAGAGGGGTCTAGTTATGCAGTATTATCGATCGTGTTTTGTAAGCCTGGCAAAACAATAGCACAGAGCAGCAGTTTTACACATTACGATATGTAAAACTTTCGCAACGCCAACTTTACAGAATGAGCCTAGAGCAAATCGGTCAACATTAAATGATTTAATCTTACCAAAAACCTGGAACAAATAGGATACACTTGTCCTCACTATCACATAGCTACGCTCTACGAGTGGTTCCACAAACCATAAAGGCTCGATATGTTCCACGTTCGTATAAATATCGGATTCGACACATTGTAGCCGATTGTTTTTGTACTTGCAGTTATTTTTTTTATGTCGAGTGTTACTGTGAAGTTTGGGCTTGCCCTAACTAAAGCTGTTTTTAGTCGACGTAGAGTCGTTCAGCCGAGAACGGATCCCACTTGACCTGCGCCCGATGCTTGTGTGCTTGAGAAGCCTGGTGCTCGAAGCACAGCATCCCCAGTCAGTCAGGTAAACGATCATAATATAAAGAAGCAAAAACGACACTTAGCTATTTTTGTAAGTCGTTCGCTTGCGGTACTGCACGGAGTTAGTTATTATGGCTATGAATAACTCTAACGGCGTCAATCATAGCCCTTATAATGACTTTAGATTAGCCTTACAACCCTTTTATCTCGGCGCTAACTCAACGAAAAGCACGTACTCTGAATGCGATGCCTTCTGGTAGCCAATCCTGAAGGTCTTTGGGACTGGCACCTTTGTAAATCCTTTTCTGTGGCCTGGTTCCTGAGGATGCATGTTACCACCAGTGTGGTAAGTTCGCTTGAGCGAACTTAATGTGAACTGTTTACAGTGCTTCTAATTTGCCAGAGATTTTAGATAATCCAGTACATATGTACTGGATTATGGAAATTGCTCCACCACTCATCGAGCCTACAATTGCACGAATTTGTGTACAACACTGCGCAAGAATTTCCATCCTGTCGCCACGCTCTTAAGTGCGCCTTCTATTCGTCCCTGACAACAGCTCATACGTATAATAGGTGGACATCTCGCCGATCGAAGCATGCTCCCCAAACGTTCGCGCCTCGTCGTGATAGTGGTCATACTTGCAGTCACCCATGGTCTCGCACACGCCAAAGCCACCAACAAGATAGCGCATCAAACACTTGACACCGACACCAACGGAGGTGACCCCGCCCGCTTGCTCAGGAGAGAACATGATGTCGCCATGGAGGAAGAGAGAACGTTGTCGGATTTCACCAGCAAGCTCAAGTCTATTTTCCGGAAGAAGCCTACTGTGACCACCACCCTGCACCGACACCCTGCCATCAAATCCCGCGAGAATAACCCAGTTATCAAAAGCCTCGAGAGGAACCCGTCCATCAAAAGCCTAGCGAACAACCCCAGCAAGGAGATCAAGCTGACGAACGAAAACATCAAGAAGATCGGCACGGAACTGGCCAAGACCCCTGGCCTTAAAGATGAGCTCAAGGATATTGGCATTATCGTATTGAGCGTTCTGGCTGCATTTGGGCTTGCAGCGATCCCAGTGGGCGCTTTCATGATGATAATGGGGCAGGGACTCAATATCCAGAGATAAGAGAATGCAACGGGGTTGGCTATTGGGGCTCAGCGGGGATTATTTTAAGAAAATTTAGTTAATGTCGTGCTACCAAGATTAACATTCTCCATAGTTCACAAACCCTTAAAAACGCATGTCTACCAATTAGTTAATCAACTTATTCTCAGTAACCTTAACCCCTTACTTCCCGGGCTAGATACACGAGGTGTATATTTTTTTCCTGTCCCATAATCTAACGTCTTGATGTTTGTATGGACCATCGCCTAACTACGGATTATGAGGCGCGGGTTGGGGGTGGGTACGAGGGCAGATGTGTGGGATAGGAGTGACATATACAACATAAAGGCGTCCTATGTAGGCAAAATTGGCTAATCATTTATCCTATGATGGACAGATCAACATAAGAAATGTCCTGTTTATCGGTGCGTTCGATTTTTGGGGCATTGCACACGTGCAGCAACGCATAAAATGGACATGCGATCAATGATGGTAATGCAAATTGGCACGTTTCAATTGATTGCTAGCTGCAAAAGAATGCACAAAACGTACTGTCTACAACTCGTCATCAGCCATGCCTCCCCCCGCACTATCAGCATTCTCGCTTCCTCCAGCTTCCTCCTCCACCTCCGAGACAGCCTCAGCTTGGCTCACCACCGCTCCCAGCGCTTGACTGACGCGGCGTCGCTTCTTTCCTGGGCGCGAAGGTGGGGGGCGGCCGCGAACCTTGTGCTCTTGAAGTAGATGGCGCGGGGTGTCGTTTCCGTTGTCCCAATCTGCGTACCAGATCTGGAAGCACGTCTTCGCTCTTCCTTCGCGGACTACATTGCACAAGTACTTACTGCATTGCATCGGTACATGTTAGATTTTGAGCCTCGTTTTACAATAGAAAGCAGCACTTACCGTTTGTTGCCCGCTGAGCACTCCGGGCAAAAGTACTTCGTAAACTTTCGCGGCTTGACCTCGAACACGGCGCACACCTTGCACGAGCGCTGACGCCGTTTGACCCCCTACCCCCCGTCGACAGTATCAGGATTCACCTCGAGATAATGGCCGTCATGAACTGCTCCATCTTGCCCCGACGTCTGCTGCCGCGACTCGGACCGAGCTGGTGACGCCGATCCCTGGCTGAAGTTGCTTGCTGCAAGTGATACATACGTTGGCAACATTAGATCGCCTTATGTTGAACATACGTACCACGCCAAAGCGCTTATGTTGACAGGGCAACATATCTTACCTCAATCTCTGTGAAAACAATGTCGGAGTCCACGGCCAGAAGCTGCTCCATCAGCTCTTCAAAAAAGGCGTAGTGCTTCGGTGGCCGCTTGTTGTTCACCTTCTTGTTGTAGCCGTACACGATAAACGCGTTCACGAGCGCCATATCTAGAAGCCCCAGAAACAGCGTCTTGTAGTACATGCGCGTTTTGTAGCACAGCTATACACTGTAGCGCTGCATACGAAGCTGGTCGTGGACGTCGACACCGCCCATAGACCGGTGGTAGTCTCGCACCAGCTCCGGCGCAAGGACAGACTGTATTTGACCGTGGATTCGCCGCACTGTACAACCATAATACGATACAACGTTAGCGCTTCAACAGGACAAATAGCATAGACGCATAACTTACGGACTGCGACAGCCTGTCGGCTGCCTCCGCTCGACAGCATGTGGACCGGGTTTCGGTCCATCCACATCGCTGCCGTAACCTGCGGAAACATCTTGTTCTGCGCGAGCTTCGTTGTCCCCTGAGGCGGCACCACCACCTTCCGCTTGTTCACTGTTCTAACCTTTTTGCTTGTGATCACGCCCTTTGCGTAACCGGAACGATCGGTCTGAATCGTCCCTGTCAGGTACACACGGCGATGCAGGAGCTCCAAGGCGAGCTTCACAGAAGCGTAGAATCGATCGGTAACCACTAGTCTCCACGGCGACGTAGGCGAGGGGGGCAACGGTGCGTTCATATTGCGCAGCACGGCCGCTTCGCCGGAGTTGTTGTCCTGGGGCACGGGTGTGAGAAGTGTGGTATAGCAGTACACACAAAATCGTCAGTTGTGGTAACTTGGCTACAAACACAACAATAGCCGAGCTGGTCGGCTTTGTTGGCCTGCGCCGGATTGCCCCCGAGCGGTTCGGCCCAACCGGGACAGCGGGTGTCTCGCCTTTCGTCGAGACCTGCCAACCAAGATTACCCCTCCGGAGAGCCGCCGAGTTCGACGGCCTCCGTTCACTTAACCCTGTGCCCTCCACCAAAGGATGGACGGCGGCGCACGGAGCGCTTTTATAGGTCGCCGAGAGCAAAGGCTTCTCGACTCAGCAATCAGTGCCCGGGACGTACGGGAACACCGGTTCGCAGCGGTGGCGAGACTTTTCCTTCGCGCTTGGCGAGACACGCGCCCAACCCGGGCCGACCTTAATCTCTTGGCGCTACCAGTCAACACCCTACAAGCTATGCCTCTCGGGTACCGGCAGCAGACATAATCCGGCCCCGTGCAGGGACTTACCGGAACGTGTACACGTGTTGTGGACCTAGAAAATTCTGCTCTGTTGTTTGTTATCTCTGTCGGGCGCCCTGAAGGGGCACCTCCACTATTCCTAAGCTCCTATACAAATACCAAATGAAAGTGGGCGGTTTTGGATCTCGGCCGACTCTTCGCTGAGCTCGGCGACGCTTGAGCTCGGCTGGTTCGGATGAGCTATCCGGATAATTCTTCGAACTCGGCTGAGCCGGATAACGTGTCCGGATAAGCTGGTGAACTCGGCTGAGCTCGGCTACCGGTACAGTGTACCACTCCAGCCGAGTTGGTCGCGCGAAATCTGGTGTTCTCTACACCACAACTGCCCCGGTCATGTTCCGAGCCGAGTTGGTGAGGGACCTGACCATCACTCCTTGAGTCGAGTCCAATCTCGGCCAAAACTCCAACGGCAGCGAACAAGTCTCCGCGCCATGTCGTCGTCCGGCGCTCCTGCCGCTCCTCCGGTACGTTCCTCGCCTCCGACGGCTCCATCCATTCTGCTGCTGACCCTTCTTCTACTGATCTTCACAGACTTCAGTTGCGTCGTCTTTGCAGTCTTCACATCCTCCCGCGCGAGATGAGGGGAAGTTCGCTGAGTTGGTCGACTCGGCGTCCCGGGCTCGCGGGGTCAGCGATGGGCAGGAGCACCCTGTCATCGATCTGACAACTTCCCGTGGGTTCGACCGGGAGTCTGAGCCGGCATCTCGCACTTCTCCTCGCCGCTCGCCGAGTCCGCGTGGCGACACCACTTCGGACGCCGCCGACCTTGGTCGGTCGGACTCGGCTGGGCCGATGAGTCTCGACTCTCTCGCTGCGCTGATCCATGCGCAGTCCGAGCAACGCCGCATCGAGAACGCGGACTTGGCTCGGCTGTTGTCGTTCGTGATCACTCGTCCCGCGCCGGCGGTTGATAGAGAGGTCCGCCGAGCTGCTCTCGAGGCGACGTCCGTCAGCGAACTCGTGAGCCTCCTTCGCGGTCAGCACCAACCTTCAAGTCAAGCTAGTGACGTCGCTGCACTGAGGGTCGAGCTGGAGTCTGCTTGGACTATTAACGCTGACTTGACTCGGCGGCTGGATTCACAGGCGGCTGTGAAGGCCGACCTCGAGGAACGGTTGAAGACTGTTGAGGAGGAGCGTGACCGATGGAAAGCCGAGTCGAAGAAGTCGTCCCCTCTCCTGACCAGCTTCCGGAAGGCGATGGCCGAGTCTGAAGCTTCCTTGAAGTCGGCCCGCAAGTCTCAGGATGATAAAGTGAAGTCGGCTCTCGCTCATGCTAAGGATCTCGGCAGGCAGCTCAGGGAACGCGACTCGGAGATTGAGCGTTTGACTCAGCTTCTTTCGGCTCGTGACGCCGAGTACGCTGTGCTCCAGGGGATCTCGACCAAGCACTTCGAGCAACTGCAGGAGTCGGCTCGGCTACTCATTTCTGGAGACGCCCAGCCTCTCCGTGATGCCAAGGCTACCATCAAACACCAGCGTGAGGTCATCCTCCGGCAGAAGCGTGTCATTTCTCGCATGGGTCTTTTACCCATGCACGATCCTCACATGGCTGCTGCAGCTGCAGCCGGGTTGGACGTGCCTGGGTTGAGCCCTGCTGACTTGCAGCTCAATGCTCGGTTATGCCGGATCCTGGCTCAACGTTTTCCGGAGGTGATGGACATCCCGGCTGGAGAGACTCGTCGAGTCGAGTTGACCATCCACCCGCGAGCGGACGGCGCCGCTACTACTCTGCCAGCGCCCGTGAGCTCGGCTGGTTCTTTCCTTGGACAATCAACCCGGCTGACTGGGTCTGAGGCTCCGGCCCCTCCAAGCGTGTCTCCCGCATCATCTGCCGCCAATCCTGTGTCGGCTGGTGCGGTTTCTACGCCCGTGTCCACTTCTGTTTCGCGCCGTCGCCGCAGCAAGTCGGTCGACCAGGTTCACCGGGCTCGACTGGATACTCTGACACCTGCCGAAAAATTACTTCGCTACTCAAACCCGAAGTCAGCGACGGCGGCTGGTTCTCAGCGCAAGCCCAAGAAGCCACTCGAGCAGCCGTACGCGTGTCCACTTCCTGGTGAGGTCGGCCATGAGGACGCGTTGGTCCAGCTTGAAAAGGCTGCCCAAGAGACTGACGCCGCATGCGACCTATCGCTCCGGTCGAGCTTGAACTTAGCCGGGTTGACTGTCGACGATGTGAATGTGGAGGCCGGCGACGAGGTTCACTCGCTGGAAGAGGACCACTCGTTCGAGTTCACAGAAGTGCCTGGTTGCGCCGAGCTTCCGAGGGGGCCCGCCGGCCCGACCGTGAGTGTGCCGCCCGTGCAACTCGTGCCTTACTCTTCCTCCCCGGTGCAGACGCCTTCAAGCGGAGTGGCTGTTGTATCGTTGCCTGGATCTGCTGACCTTGCTGCAACTCCGTCCGCTTTTTCGCTTCCTGCCTCGGTTCCGTTCCCGACTCGTGTCCGGTGGGTTCCCCCCTCGACCAGCGTGCCGAGCGCGGCTGTGGTGACATCGACTGCCGGCGCCGGAGGACAACCGGGTTCCTCCGCTCCCGATCCGGCGCTTGCTACAACGCATGCTGTGATTGCGCCGAGCTCGACGGCTGGAGTCTCGGCTGTGGGTACAATCAACAGCTCCGCTGCGATTCCGCCTCGGGTTTCGCAGTCTTCTCTGGGTTCGGCCGCTCACCGGCTCTTGGCATGTACTCGCTCCCGGTTTGCCAATCAAGCCCAGAGTCGTCGTGGCCCGTTAGGGGTGGCGTCGGCGTCGACTGTAGTCACCCCAATGCCGAGCACTCCGTCGGTGGCCTCGACCCGGCCAGCGGTTCCTCCGATCTCAGCTGGGATGACTTCTCCATCGGGTCGCCCTTTACGCTCCACTACGGCTACTGCCCGAGTGTTGAACGCTCACTGCTTGGATCTGTTAGAGACTCCTGACTATCTCGTCCTCCGGTCCGCTCGGCGTAGCTCCTCCTCTGGCTCGTCGGGCTCGGCTCTTGGATTAAATGCTCCTGGAACCTCAGCACATCCGTTGTCTGTGTCCGAGAGTTCTGAGTCTGAGGCTGACGACCCTGGATCTGCTGACGAGCTCAGTTCGGCCGACCCTGACGCATCTCGCCGGGCTTCGTTAGCTTCTCCGCTCCCACCTCCGCACGGAAAGCTCCAGAGCTATATGGCTGCTCGTCAGTCTCCTCTCGTTCCGTCCAGCGAGTCAGGTGACTCAGACTCGCAGCCGAGTTCCAAGAAGCAGAGTGGTAAGGGCAAGCGCAAGCGGAGGCGCAAGCACAAGCACAAGCACGAGCGCAAGCACAAACACAAGTCGAAGTCCAAGTCCAAGTCGGCAGGGTCAAAGAAGTCGAAGAGATCTGCGTCTCCGGACTCGGCTAAGGACCCCCGCCCGTCCAAGCGTCAGCGAGGTTCGACTGGGGACTCGGCCGCCGGCCTAGCCGGAATTTCTGCCGCTTCCAGCTCAACCGGCAACTCGGCTAGATGCTCTGGTATCCCATCGAGCTCAGCTGTTTCGCCGTCGCCTATTTCTGCTGGTCCAGCTTCAACCCTGTCGGTGCCTATCGTGACCGCTCACGACGCTGGCGCCCACGTTCTCCCTCAGTTGCCTACAGCTTTGCTCTAATCGCTCGCTCAGCTGCGCACTCGAGCTCGCCAGGCGGTCGGCCGAGATGCCCGGATCACTCCCCAGCTAGCTCAGCTGCGTGACATCCGCTTCGTTCATTACGGGTCTTGGCGGTGCTGGGAGGCTATCCTCAGCCATCAAACGGCCAAGGTCACTGTGGATGACGCGTCGGGGAAGGGTAGCGTGCCGGTTACGCTCTCTTTCCTCGCTGGGATTAAAGCGTTCGCGGACGTCTACCATCCGGATCACCCGGCTCAGCGGCTCCTTCGTCTGCTTCCCAAGACTCCCATCTTCTTCTCCCCTCAAGTCCTCGATGATGCCAAGCGCCGGTTGGCGAACTCGGTGAAGTCGGTGGCCCTGATGGAGCGTCTCGCAGAAGTGTTCGTGAAGATCCGCGGGGAGGCTCCGAACTCGGTCTGTGACAGAGGGTCCTACCAAGTTCTTCGTCGCACTGTTCGAGCGATGTCACTGGATGGTCGAGTCGAGTGTGCTGATGAGGCTACATCCGGCTTTTCACACGGGGCTCCCGTATCACGTGATAGCCGAGATGAATGGCACGTGGGTGTTGTACAAGTTGGCTCGCAAGCGTCGAGGCGATGCCCTCCGAAGCCTCATGACTATCCTGCCGGACGACCTGTTCACTGCAGTGATGAAGCTTCTTGGCGGGCTTGCTGCCCCAGAAATCGACGCGGAGCTCTTCTTCGAGCCGTCGGTCCCGTTGTATCCGCTGGTCAATCTTGCTTGGATTCCTGCGGGCAGAGACTGGTGTGCTGAAGCCGAGTCTATAGACGACTCCGAGCCTTGGCGAGCTTGGTGGTTGACCGACCCAGCGACGCACCCATACAACACCTGCTTCCGGACGC